TTATATTATTATTATCGTTATTATCGTCGTTACTATTATAAGGATCTGTCTTAGTAATAGGCAAGAGGTTAGACTAACTAGGGTTAGTAAGTACTAGTAAAGTAAAGAAGACACTTACGTTATATTAATAAGTGTCTATAATAACATTAATTAAGTAGTAAAGACCTTATAGTACGTTAACTACAATTAGGACGGCTTTAGTAGTAGTACGTAAGGGCTATAAGAGGCCTTAGAGGCAGGCTTAGTAAAAATAGCTCTTAATTCGCTAGGTAAAAGAGTACTAGTAAGGCCCTAGCTTTGCCTTAAGAGTTATAGAGTAAGTAGAGATAAGATTAGCCGTAATAGCGGCTTTAGCGCGATTAGATAAGAAGAGTAACTTATTAAGCTTAGCTACAAACTCTTATAAGATCTTATAATAAGCTTTATACTTAGTAGTATATTAGTTATACTTAGTCTAACCTACCTAAGTAATATAAGTAAGCCTAGGCTTAGCCGCTTATGTTTTTATATAGTAGATGTAGTATACGTAAAAGAGGCGTAAGGACGTACCTTACAAGCGTAGAGGCAAGTAGGGTTAGCTATAGTAGGGTAGTATCGTATAAGGTAGAGGGGGTTAAAGAGAGAATAAAGAGAGGTATAAGGCGTAAGGTAATAACTTAAGAAAGAAGGCTTAAAAGAGGTAGTACTAAAGAGGCGTAAGAAGTAAGGCTACTTAATTTAAAAAGAAAAGAAAAGAAAGGTAAGAAAGGGAAAGTTTGTCTCTTTATATACTCTTTCTTAGTAGCGTATTATAAGACACTTACTAATAATATAATATAAACATTTAGTAAGGCTCTATAAACAATTCTTTATATTAAACAAATTCTTACGTAGATAAGGTACTATAAGTAAGAAGCGGCTAGAGCCTTTATTATATAGCTTATTAGGAACGTACTAGCGCGAATCCGGTATAACAAGCGCGCTACTATAAGTATAGATAAAGACAGAAGGTAGATAAAGAAAAGAGATATTCTTTCTTCTTATATTTATACTATATTATTTTAAGGTTTTAGAGTAAGAATAGTCTATATATAGGGTAGAAGCTATAAGGAGAGGCATAAGGCTTACTTAGTACGGCCCTTATATATCCTAGGCACGCGCTACAAAAGGAGAGCTTAGCTATATCTAGTATAGGCTCTATATAACTCTAGGAAGGCACTATATCTAGCGTAGCTTACGCGACTCTAAGATAGAGCTATAAGAGAGAGAGGTAATGTTAAGGACTTAAAGGGGTAGGATTAGGAATACATAGGCCCTACGTACCTATAAGTACGCTAAGGCTACTTAAGGTTTTTAAGTAGTATATATATATCTTAGGAAGTAAAAGGTAAGGAAGAAAGGTAAGAATTAGTTTAGATTTAAATAAAAGTATACTACGACTCGCTAGCTACTTGACTATAATTCTCTACTATATTACCTATAATACTAATCTCTAACATATAAACCTTTACTACTTACTCTAAGATAGAGCTAGTAAGACTACCTCTAAATTAAAGACCCTCCTTTATCTAGCCTATAAGTAGTAGCTCTTATTACGTATACTCTAAAGAGAGCTAACCTAAAAGAGATATAGTAAATAAGACTTAACGATTAATTACGTGTAGGCTATAGTAACGCTCTAGTATACCTACTAAGGTAACCTAGAGTATAAGAGATCTAACTACTACGCCTAGCTAATTAAGGTTATTACTTAAGTAAAGGATCGCTATAAGAGAGCTATAAAGGTACTAAGATAGAGCTAGACCCTAATAGACTAAAAGCTAGTAGTAATTAAGGCTAAGAGGCTCTATCTCTCTTTTAAGCCGCTAGATATACCTTATAAGGTTAATAAGACAGTTAACTTACTTACTTCTTAGCTTATACGTATTATAGACTTATCTACCCTAAGAAAGAAGGTTAGCTAGAGACGTACTAAACCCTAGTAGAGTAGTAAGGTCCTTAAGGCTGTCTAGTAAATGTAAGTAGTACACTATTAATATACTACTACCTTAACTAAACTTTACTAGCACGACCTCTAGTAGGCTAGTACCTACTAACTCTAGACGATCTAAGATATAAAGACTAGAAGCTAGTGTAGCGCCCTTACTACTACTTTAAAAGACTAATAAAAACTCTAGAGTCTTAAAAGGTAGGCTAGACTTTATAGCTACGTACTCTTAGAACTAGCCTTACTCTTTCTTTTTTAAGGCGCTAATAAAGAGGTACTAGCTATAAGCTACTATAATAAAGTAATAGTATTAGGCTAGTAGTTCTTTCTAGAATTAGTAGCTAATCTTAGTAACGTCGTTCTAGACCTTTAGGACAAGTAGTACTAGTAGTTTACTATTAATAATACTATAATAAAGGTAGACATTACTAACGTTCTTTAAAGGACAGGTACCTAAAAGACGCTAAGACCTAACCTACTACTTACTAGCTTTCTTAAGGCATATAAGCGCCCTTTAGCTAAGCTTCTTATAGTAGTAGTAACTATAAGCCTCTAGCTAAGGCACGTCTTAGTATAGTTTAAAGTAGTAAAGGTAGTAGTACTATATAAGCCTAGAAAGACCCTTAAATAGTAACAAACTATAAAGGCTTATAGGCTAATATTACTCTTAAGTATAATAAGTAAAGTAATTAAGTTAGTAATTAGCCGGTACTTTACTAATACTATAAAGTTGTAAGGGCTCTTTCTAGAAATATAGATAAGAAACCGGCTATAGTACTTAATAGACCTTATAGTTAAAATAGTAGTTAACGCTACGTATATAGTATAGAGCTATAAGGCTATAGTATCTCTCTTCTAACTTAATATTAAAGGCGCCTTTAATATAGTAAACTATATACGCTTTCTCTATACTCTTTAGTACTTAGGGTTCTTTATATAGGCCGTATAGTAGGTATATAGCTTCCTTACTAATTAGACAGCTAGTCTCTTCTTTAATAAGGAGGTAGCGCCGCCCTAAGAAGTTACTATAAAGGTACTATAAGGCTTACCCTTCTCTTTTATCCTCTTTCTCCTCTATACTACTAGCTTATACGCGCTACTATAAGGTTATATAAGCCTTATTATAGTAAGGTTTACTAACGACCTTAACCTCTTAGCTTTTAGTAAAGACACGATAAAGACACGCTAGTACCTTAAAGGGGCGTAATAAGTATATAGCTAATAGTCGTGTATAAGAAGAATAGAGTTCGCCCTTAAAAAGAGTAAGCTCCTTTACCTTACCTATACTTATACTATACTAACAATACTTATCTACCTTAACGGCTAGGTTATTCCTTTAGTCTAAAAGGCGCGCTTTTTAAGAGTTTAGATAGATTAGAAGCTTAGATAAAAAGGCTACCTTAACGCTATTAAACAAAAGTTTACTACCTAGTAGTTTGTACTTATAAGGCTTACTATGTCCGCGTAAGGATATAGCCTACTACGCGTAAAGGAGATCTATATAAAGGTAATCTAAAGTACTATAGTATATAGTATAAAGGTCTAGTACCGCCTTTTTAAGTAGTAGGCTAAAGAGATTATAAAAGACCTTACTATAAAGTAGTTATAGTACCTTTATGTTATTATAAGGGCGTACTAGACGACTCTTGTCTAGTTCCTTAAGTCTAAAATAACTACGCCCTTACTTAACCTCTACTTTAATAAGTAAGTAGTAGACTTTAAACGACGTCTTAAATGTATAGGTAAGGGCAAACTTATATAGTCTATCTATAATAAGGTAGTGACCTGTCTTTAATAACGCTAGAGACACTACTATAGCGCTACTATAGCGCTACCTTATACGTTACTTAAGTATAAGGTAGGCTAAGCCGTATAAGTAAAGGACTAGTATAAGGACTCTCTTCTAAAGAAGACCTTATAAAGGAACTAAAAGGTATAATAGTCTTAATACGATAGCTTACTAGTATACTACTAGGGCGCTATCCTAGCCGTACTACTTACCTCTTTAGTAGATACCTTTAAAAAGTACTTACTCTTTTATAAGTATAAGAGCTCTCTTTTAATATAGATCTGTACTAGTAAAGTTAGACTCTAGGCTTTCTTATTTAAGCGTAAAGTACTAGAGGTAGCGACCTTCTAGTACCTTTATAGTAAGGCCCTAAAGATAGTAGTATACCTAGTCCTTAACTACTAGTAGCTAGATTAATAGTAGTAGGCCTTATAGTAAGCACTTTACTTAAGAGCGCTATAGACATTCTACGACTTTATAGTAGTAATAGAAAAAGGTAAGAGTACCTATATACTAATCTATTAGCTACTATTTACTAGCCGATTCTTATAGTTCTAGCTAGCTAAGTACTACCTAGTAAAGGAGTTATAAGAGAAGGAGTAGCCTTAGCTAGTAGCCGGCGCCTTACTAGCGCCTTACTAGTGTCTTATTAGTATGTTTAGTATTACTAGGCTAGAAGGTTAAGTTCTAGTAAGGTAGTAATAAGGACCTAGCGCCCTAGTAGTACTATAATAGTATAAACGTAAGTAATAGTACGTAAGTTTTTACCTAGCTTTAGTATAGTTTTACTACGTGATTTATGTAGTATAGAGGTTCTACATGTAGTAGGCATAGGTAGTAAGAACAATAATAATAATAATATTTATGTAAACATAGTAAAGTATTTATAGGATGATAATGATCTTATACTGTTGGTGGTCTAAGGTAGTTAAAGCTTTGAATTCTTGAGATTTCGCACCTCTCGTCTCTTGATAAATGGAAAAGTCTTGAGGAATTTGCATGCAAGAGCTCACGGGATCATGGGAAAGCCTTGGTTACCTACATGCTCTGCGGTAGCAACTAAGTCAAGCATCTTGCTCGATCTTGAAATGGATATTAATAGGGGAATCTCGTACTCTCGTATTATAGGTACAGTCAGAACGATTAATTTGAACACGTGATTCGCCGCTGAAGAAACGTTAAAGTACCTACAGTCTAACCCAAGCCATCTATCAGTCCCTTATCATACAGTCCCATGCGCACACATCAATCCTGCAGGACCTTGTCGCCATTCTTCTCCATGACCGAGGTCAAGAAATCCCATTCGCCTTGGCTGACCCTGCTAACGCTCAAGCGCGTAAGCTTCAACATCTGCATGTTCTCTAGCGGATTGCCCTTCTCCGCTTGAAAGGCGCGGAGGTCTTTCAGCGTGATGGGCGTCTTGAGTTTCTGGCGGAAGACGACGTGCACGACGGACCACTTGGGGTTATCCGGGGAGGAGGAGGGGTCGTAGTACGGCGCATCCGGGTCATGGGCGGAGACTAGGGGGGTGTTGGCGTTCATCGCGTGGGGGAGAAGAGCAGGTGAACATGAGGAGGGGGCCTTACGATCAGGGGAGTGCTCTTGAACAATTTCCATGATTCCAACAATAGCGGGAACTTTGCAACTCGAATGGTAGAAGAAACTTAGATCTCCTTTCTTCATCGCGCGTAGATTGTTACGTGCTGTCGGGATCAGCTTGTGCGTTCTTAGGGACAGGGAGAAATTTCAATCTGTACCTGGATATGCTCGGATTCCTGTGAGTTAATTGTTAGCATGTTCTCGGATGCTTAGTTGGGGGGAGGATTACCATCCCAAGGCTCGGGCTCGGTCTTCGCTGCAAGATCATCGATTGAGAATTTGATGTCGTGTCCCTTCTCCAGACGACTCTCAGGCTCGGCTTTCATGAGCCAGTACTGGCGAGTGGATGCCTTTGGTGCATCTGACTCTGTAGGCTTCTGAGATAACAGTATCAGAAGAGTGATTCAACAAAGGAGAGAGGTTCATGCGCGATAGTTGCACGTGATATTGGTGCACGTGACCATATCGAATTCGAACCCCCTTCTGCGAGAAGGCTGGAAGGCTCCAATTGCTTGGAGACGTAGATAATTGGAGGGATATCCCCAGTGGAGCTCGCGCATCAAAGTTCAAACCAGATAAAGTGCACACCTACTGATTCGACAACTTCATGTTCTTGGCTGACGACTCCACTCGGAATCTTCTTGCCGGGCTTTTGTTTCTGGACTTTCTCTGTCGCGGTCGGTTTTCGGCGACTGGACCGCCGCGGCTCCTCAGCCGGCTCTTCCTCCCCCAGGTCCTTGGCTTTTCGTTTTGCCATGATACAGTATCAGATGGATTGGAGGACTTTGTATCGTCGGTAGGAACTTTGGGTACCTAAAGAATGCGCCGCCTTGGAGAACCAACGCGGAGACTAACGCCTGAGGTTGATACGCGGTGCGGTAGAAGCGTTGATAGTGGGACAATGGACATGGATGCAACACGTGATATGACCAGACCAAAACCGCTGGCAAGACGGTTCAACGGTCTATAATTCCCCTCGGGCAAGGCTTAATTGATGACCTTAAGCCTTGAATCTTGAGCCTTGCGGTCCACTTGGGAGGGGAGCAGAAATAATCTTGAGCACTACTGCCACATGGCATGGACCAACCCACTACTCCACTGCTACTACTACTGTAGTAGATAGATACTACTCGGTACAGATAAGAGAAGTTGCACTACTACTGTGGTATTACACCTTACAAACATTGTCCCGGCCCTTCCTGTGACTGGCAGAAAGCCGATGCATGCATGCCCTGACGATTTGGGCGTTGGATCGTTGGATCGCTGGATCGTTGGTCGTGAAGTAGGTAGGGCTTTACCACGGAGCATTGGGCGCTGTCTCACGCTGTGTGTCTCTCGCTCATCCTTGCTCAATGCTCAATCAGAGGAAGCCTTCGCATCACTACGGAGTGGCTCCGGTCACGATCTGACTCCGGACCGTTCTGCGTATCATCAGTGCCGCAACGTGCAAGGGCGGGCAGGGTGAGTGAGCTCTGGGCAATGAGCAATGAGCAGAGCGTGTCTGGCCCGTTCTCCACAATCATCAGCAGGCAAGCCAGGTGACAGAGTCGGGATGCCGGGTCCCAGGGACTCTTGGCCCCGGAGCTGGTCGCCCCTTCGTGGTCCTGGGCGAGCCACGGAGTCTGGAGTCTTGCCTGACCGACGACTGACTGATCTTTGGGGGAAAACGGGGCGCCCGTGAGAAACAAGACCCGCGACACTTGGGCAGTCGGGCGTCTTCTGCGTCGTCTCCGTGCCTCGATGATTAGTTATGGCTTTCCCCGCCAGCATGCAAATAATAATAGGATGATGCTGTTGCAAATGTCAAAAGGACCAAGGCCCCAGGGTTTATTGGTCCGCGGGAGGGCTTTGGACGGGGACTAGAGGGAAGAGTGGTTTTAACGTCTACTAAGGACTGGATCATGGATGACGCCGAAAACACAACGGAAGATGGGTAAAGGCACGACGAGCGAAGCGTGATTAATCTGCGTGGCCAGGATTTGGGTTGATTCTACTTAATTAAGGCTTTTCCCCCTCCCCATCTTTTCCATCCTCCTGTCTCATTCTTCTTCTTCTTTTTCATTTTCTTTTCCTGTTTTCTTTCACCTCATGGTCTCCCTCCCCCCCTCTCTCAGCCATCTATCCATCTCTTCGTTCCCCTCATCCACCCTCTCTCCCACCTATCCTGGACCACCCGCCTCGTCCCTATCTTATGGAGTATTATTCCCCTCCCAGCTTGCGGCCGTCGTCCCAGCCCGGCTCTGACCAAGCAATTTCAAACGCAATGGTCAACATTCTTGGCCCTGGGGCTTTCACCCCAGCTGGATCATGGAGCTCTCGTGCTCAGGATAGAGGCCTCCCCGACCGCCATCCTCTCTCCAGAACAGCCTGGAAGGTCTGATTTCACTTGGTCCAGAGACACCGGGGACGATGGCCTGCAACTAAAACGCCTCTCATACGGAGGACCTTGCAAGGGAGCGGGCGCTCCTTCAACGGTTGGCGGTTGGAGCTGGGCAGTTGCACGAGACGAAAGACACGAGCCTGACTATCTTTTCCTTCCCCTTCCCACGTGGAGGGGGGTTTGCTATACCAGACTGATGAAGCCCGGAGCGCAGATCAATTAACCTCAGCCTCTCCCCAGCAGGCCAGAAACAGGGCACCGATGGTCATCTCTTATCCTCCATCCATCCTCCAGCCATCAGTCCTCCATCTCGTCCTCATCATGGTTGCTCGTGGCGGGCCCGGTCCCGTAGCCGTCCTGGCGTGCTCTCGTAGGACGATGGATGATGGATGAAGTGGCACCAATTGCCGAAAGGAGATGACGATTGGCTCGCTTACCCAGGCGCCTAGACCCGACTCGGACGCTGTCTCTGGAAAGGCCACAGCTGCAGAAAAACAGGCGAAAAACAGGTCAGAATTGGCCATGAGCAATCAGCAACTCCCTTTGCCCCCTTTGCCCCCCTCTTCGCCCCCTTTGCCCTTTGGTCCTTCGAGCGGTCTAGTCAACTGTCAACCAGACGCCCTTGACCGCCTACTCAGACAGCATCCGTGACCTCCCGTCGTACTCGTGCTGTCCCTTTCTACCCCCCCCAATAATATTATTATTTTCTTTTATTTCCATTACGCCGTGTCGCCCGCTTCCCAACTCCACACGTCGCAAGGAGCTTCCCGCCACTCCGGTCTAATCACCCAAGACCCTGCCACCACTCAGAGCCTCAGAAGGACGGTGCGAACACTCACGGAGACTCAGCACCGTTGCCGTAAGGTAGATTACTGCGCGCGTCTCCCGTCGCTCATCCCCCTACCTGTCATCTGAGCCTGTTGGCTGCCCTCGCAGCGCCTGTACGTCAGGGCGACACGCAGTCGACTCGAGGGGAGGGAAAATCCTGCCCGGCACCCAACACCGTTCTCCACCATCCCTTCCTCGGCCCAGTCAATTCAGGTAGACGGCAGTACCTAATCTTGAGGCTCATACCGCATGGTCCGATCCCCCCTCTGGGTCCATCATCTCCAGGTATGTCCCGATGCGCCTGCTGCTGTCATACGCGGCGATCTCTGCATCTGCTCCCTCCAGCCGCTGCCCTCTCGCCTCAGGCTGGCCATCACGACCACGTGATCCCAGGAGCCGCCTCCAATCAATCAATCAATCTTCCCCCCCTTCGATCAGATCAATCACGATTCCCCCTTTGCCCATATTCTGGGCCCTTCTGGCTGATATTTGCTGATCTTATATTGCGCTCCTGTGTAGAAGACCTCTCTTTACCATCATTACGGCATCCAATCATCGCTCTTTTCCCTTTTGGGCCTAGCCTGATACTATCACGAAGCGACGTCCAAAATCAACACCCACAGCGACACAACACCACAGCGCGCGTTAGGTAAGACCTCCCATTCTTCTATCCTGGCTCTGTCGATGTCTCGTGACGTCTGCTGGACTCTGGGCAGACGCGTTGATGATTGCCGTCGAGGCTGTTGATGCTGCGGATGGGCATTGGTCCTGCTGCCTTTGTTCCCTCGATCCCCATCAACCGCGTCGCGACTTCATCGCGCTCGGCCTTGTCTCGCGCTGGGCCATCGCTCTGTGACCCTCGAGTCCGTCTATGGCGGTCATCTTTTAGGATAGCATTGCTGACGTTGTGCCCCCCACTGCAGATGGGTTGCCTCAACTCTTTCCCACAGACATGAGCTCCTGGATGAACGATGCCTCCATCCAAAGCCATAATGGCCCAGGCTTCAACCATCTCGACCCTAACGCCGGCGGAGGCATGCTCGATGCATCTGCCTTTATGGGCAACTCGAACTCCTTCGATCCCTCCCAGTTCCAGAATCAACAGCTTCAGCAGCGGATGCAGAACGGCGCCATGCGCAACGGCTCCCCGGCGTTTAACAACCCGGTGTACCAAACCAACTCAGTGATACCATCCAAGAGACCAAGACCTAGAGAAGACAGCTTGGGTACATCACCGCGTCAAGCCGCTGGCATGCTGCCAAATTCGCGTTCTCAGACTCCGCAACAACCCCCCTACACTGGCTTTCAGCCCAATAGCATCCCTCCACAACACGCGCCTCAGCAGAACCCCTACTCGCATCTACAGAACGGTTCAGCGAACGCGAGTCCGTCTCCGATCATGAGCAACCAGCTTCGTCCTGGCGGCGTACCGCAACGAGTCTCGACAGCCTCCCCCCACCCCTTCTCCCCGGTGGCCCAGCAGTTTGCACCCCAGGCCTCGCCCTCCCAATCGGATCATGGAAGCAGGGTTGATACACCACAGAACAATCCATATGCACAGAATCCAGGTTTTGCGCAAGGCTTCCATCAAAACTTCACTCCGCCGCCTGGCCGAGGCTCAGCTCCACCTCCAAATGCCATGTCCACTCCCCAGTTGCAACAGGCCCATATACAGCAATCCCAGATGTATGCGCAACAATCCCAACAGCAGCCCCAGCCGGGGCAGCAACGGCAAAATGATCAACATGCGAAAATGATGTACCAGATACGATATCAACAACAACTTCAACAGCAAGGTTTAATGGCCGCCCAGCGTCCAAATATGCCACCTAATGTCAACCCCTTAGCCAAAGCTCAAATGCAAGGACCTAATGGCCAGCCCGTAGGAATGCGACCTCAGCAACCTGCGCAATCGGGCCAGCCGAATCAGGAACAGTTCATGAAAAGCTTAACACTTTTCATGCAATCAAAAAATCTATCCTTTGACATGAACCCAATTGTTGGGGATAGGTCGATTACTCTGATTACTTTATATATGGCGGTGTTGAAATTCGGCGGCTACAAGAAGGTCACTCATCAAAACGGCTGGGCTCAGGTTGCGCAAGCGCTTCAATTCAACCTGATGCAGCACCCAAGTGCGCCACAACAACTGAAAGCCCATTATGAAAGGAACCTGCTTCTGTTCGAAGAGGCTTGGCAACGAAACCAGATGGCTCAAAGGCAAAAAATGATGCAACAACAGGGGCTAGCTGGCAATATGGGAGGACCTGGCTCGCAGATGTCACCCACGAAGCAAATGAATCCTCAAGGCCCGATGCAGCAATCCCAACAATATCTGCAGCATCAGCAACTCATGGCTCAGCATCAGATGCAGCAGCAGCATGCACAATCCACTCCCATTAAACAGATGGCACCCATGCATCTCTCCCAACCGCCAGCAATGAATGGCTTCTCGACTCCGCAACCGTCTCAAGCACAGCCGCAACATCCAATGGGTCCCCAAGGCCATGTGCGAAATAACCTGTCCAGGAATATCGACGGAACTCCACCGCAAAACGGAGCCTTCCCGATCCCTTCTCCGGTTTCAGCCACCAAATCCGCCAGTTTATCCTTACCATCCCCACAAGTAGATGTGGCACGACCAGGAGCCAAACCAGCGGACCCCGAGTTCAAGCTTCCGAAAGAGTTAGATCCAAAGACCCGAGTCCTCGACACCTTCGGTGGCGTCGAACTAGATTCATTGCAACGGCTTGGTAATGCCCTGATCCAATTCAGACCCGATGTCCCTGCAGTAGCAGACATGGGTGCCATCGACATCCATGCTTTGACCATGAGTCTCCAATCTGGGATCCATGCTGAAGTACGAATGGCATTAGACACGCTTGTCTCGCTGTCAGTGGAGGCTCGGCTCCAATTAGACTTGAGAGCCTGCGAGGACCTGGTGGAAACACTAGTTGACTGTGCCGAAATACAAGTCGAACTTCTGGCGGAAAATGCGGCGGAAGTATCTGATGTAATGCTCGTCAACTCGTATGAAGATGTTATACGCGGCTGCCGACTCGAGGAATACACTCTGCAAGATGTTCCTGCGTTTGGGACGCTTGAATACGACCTCGACCGTGCTGTGGACAGATTAATATGCATCAGCACCATCATGCGGAACTTATCTTTCTACGAGAGCAACCATCAATACCTAGCGGATGAACTGGTTATCAAGTTCTTTTGTGTTGTCATCAGGTACCTGGGAACTCGCAATATGCTCCTTCGGACACATCAAAATACCCTGGACTTCATGAAGGATGTCATCATCTTCTTGTCAAATCTTGCGCAACAGATTGAATTGCCTGGTCGCGAACAAGCCCTATGTCTACTCCACTTCCTCCTAGCCTTCGCACCTTGCCCACCGCCAAATGGCTCCGACCGTGTCACATTCTCTCCATACGACCCCGTGATTCATCGGTATCTCCCCCCTGCTATTGACAGCCTCGCGAAACTTCTCGCTCGGGATGAGCCCAATCGAACGCACTACAAGAGCATCTTTGCTTCTGATGTTGCTTCATCTCCGCCTTTTGATCTACTCACGAAGACATTTGCTCTCGCAATTTCAGCAATACCAGATGAGAGGCTAGATACCAAACGAGGGAGTTTAATGTCGATCATAGAGGCCCGGAAGCCATTCCTGATGCAGGGAATGCTAGCAGCCGAGATATTGTCAAACCTAGCGCCTGGTTTCGAAACCGGCGTAGCAAAGTCTTGGTTAATGTCGGAGGATGGTTTTGCGCAAAATCTCTCTCGATTAATACTTTTTATCTGTCTCGAGACTGCACCCGCCGCTCCTCATCAGAGAGTTCCTGCTGTCGCGAAGGGTGTGGAAGACGAGGCTCTACTCCACATTACACTCGGCGGGATCACAGTTTTACGGCGACTCGCTGAGAAATGCAGGGACCCAGATGATCCAAAATCTGCTATACCATTATCGGGGATCGTTCCCAAGGAGAGGTTGCTGAGAGCATTGGAAATACGGCAACCAAAGTTGCAAATTGTTTTAAAACAGTTGTGTGCATATGCGGGGTTGGACACATGAGCGTTTTCCTTATTCATTGTATCACATTCCATAGACGCATCAAGGATTGTTAACAGCGTGTGGAGTAGGCGTTCGAAGTTCTAGCTTCTCTGTCTAGCTTGGCTTTGGTCCTGCAATTTCTCATTGGGTGGAATCTGTTACTTGCTGTACCATGTTGATGGGGGTCTGGCTCTTCAGGATGAGGAAGAGATTACGCAATATTGTACATATATAGGCACGAGCCCTGCAAATCTACAAACTGCAGGATATGGTTTCGAAAAGCAACAAACTCTGATTCCCAGCCCCGTGACACCGCCCATCCATTGCAATGCTCTCTCACACCACGATCCGTACCGTTTCCTAGAATTTGCTATCCTCCAAAAACTTCAAAACTTCTGGTTTCTTGTGGCCCTGTGTATCATATCAGCCGCTGACTCCTGGAGCTACGGGCACTCGAATCGAACCCACCCTGACAATTATGTGCTGCGTCAATTGATTGATCGTGATGTCCTTGTCCTGCAATCCCAAAGCCTTCTGCAGGTCCGTCCGCAACACATTTATGTTTCCCTCGATGCGTCGAACCTTTGTTTGCTTGAGATTTCCCCCACGCTTGGACAACAGATATACGGGTAAGTTGTTTGTAGTCGTTCGATTGACTCGGTATGGTTTTGCTAGGCTTGATACCGCGGATGGAGCAGCAGGTGTTGTTGCAGGAGCGGCTGCGGCGGAGGTGGAGACTCTCGCAACGCCGAGGAAGTGACTGAGAGTAGAAGGCCGCGGCAGGGCCATGGGACGGAGGAATGGGAGCATCATCATGGACGAGGATATCCTGTTCTCGTATGCTCTGGCGGCTTGAAGAGGTATCGAGGGTCCCAATGTACGACGAGGTTCGCGGAATCTCAACGCTAAAAAAAGTTAGCGTAACTGGACTAGCGCGAAATCGATCCCTCGCGCTTGGCGCAGCGCACAAAATACAACTGAAAACCCCACATCAATCCTACAACACATCTCGCAATCATGGCGCCCACGACCGCGGCGGCGAAGACTCCTGAGGAAGTCGCAAGAGAAAATGATCTCCTCCCCAAGCTGGTCACGCATCTGGACCGCCACTTAATCTTCCCGCTCCTCCAGTTCGTGGCAGACCAGGAAGATGAGCCGTCCCCGGAAATCACCAAGGCGAAATATGAGCTGCTCAAGAAGACGAACATGACCGATTATGTGGCAAGTCTCTACTGTGAGATGCACGGCGTGGAGGAGGCGCCCAAGGAGTTTGCGGTGAAGAGGCAGCAGGTTCTCGACAAGTTGGAGTCGCTTGGCCAGGAGAGCGCGAAGATCACGGATTTATTGGGCAGAGAGGATGTTGTCACTAGTCTGAGGAGTGATAAGGTTGCTAACTTGGAATACCTGAAGAAGGAGCATGATGTATGTTGCCGGAGCTGGATCTCTTAGGGGTTCTCGCTGATTGATGTTTAGGTTACTCTCGATATGGTGAACGTCCTCTACGACTTGGGTAACTTCCAATATAGCTGCGGTAACTACCAAGCTGCTGCCGAACTCCTCTACCAATTCCGAGTCCTCTCCACCGACAACGACAAAGTCACAGCTGCAACATGGGGGAAGCTGGCTTCCGAGATCCTGACCACCAACTGGGAGTCTGCAATGGAGGAGGTTCAAAAGGTGAAGGAATCCATCGACACCAAGCTCTTCAACAACCCTCTCGCACAACTCAACCACCGGACATGGCTCATCCACTGGGCTCTCTTCCCCTTCTTCAACTACGAACCTGCCCGCGACACCATCTGCGAGCTCTTCTTCTCCGCCCCGTTCATTAACACAATCCAAACTGCGTGCCCATGGATCTTACGTTACCTCACCGCAGCGGTCATCACCAACCGCAGCCGAACACGCAACACTGGCCAGTACCAAAAGCAACTCAAAGACATTATTCGCATTGTCAAGCAAGAGAACTACGAATACAGTGACCCCATCACTGATTTTATCAAGGCGTTGTACATCGATTTCGACTTCGAGGAAGCGCAAAAGAAACTCTCTGAGGCCGAGGAAGTCCTCCGTTCGGATTTCTTCCTCGTCGCCGCTTCGGAATCCTTCGTCGAGGCTGCACGACACTTGATTTCTGAAAGCTACTGCAAGATCCACCAAAGGATTGATATAAAGGACCTGAGCGCCAGATTAGGCTTGAACCAGGACGAAGGCGAGAAGTGGATTGTGAACCTGATCAGAGACACCAGGGTCGATGCCAAGATCGATTACAAGGAGGGCACGGTCGTGATGAACCACCCGCCAAGCAGCGTCTACCAGCAAGTGATTGAGAGAACGAAGGGTGGCTTCTTCCGGACACAAGTGTTAAGTGCAGCCGTGGCGAAGTGAGCAAGCCCCGCATCGTTTGCGCAGAGGGGGGGTGTACCCGAAGGAACGTCCTTGAGTCGATTCGCATGGAAGCAATGAGTTGAAGAGGGACGGCATGGCTGGCGTTAGGTCTGGGCAAGCAAAAAAAGAGAAGAAGAATTTTAAATGAGGAAGCGATCGGCCGTGTGGTGTCTGCGTGCGATAACTGGCTGGGCTTTTTTTATTTTTGAGTAGCTAGGCTAGGTACGGTAGCAGGCAGATTCGCTTTAGAAGAAGAAGGCCCCCCGGTTGAGAAATCTACGATTCAGCTATGTCACGTCACGTCACGTCATGTTCAATGTCCATACATCCTTCCATCTTTCCGTCCTGGCTCATCAGATCAACCTCCTTTCTTTCATTCCTATAATTCTCCTCTCCTTATCCGTATACCTACCTTACCTACCTACCTATCATCATATCAGAAGAAGGGCGAGACGACGAGATATAAATCAAGAAATCACGAACGAGATTCATTGTAAACTAAGGTATTGGCATTTCTTGTTGATTCTTGATTTAGAAAAAATGTAAGAAATGTATGTATTGAAGCTCCCCTGCATATATATATCCCAGAACCGATATCCCTCTGATACATAAGGTACATGACTTGGGGTGTTGAAAGAGCCCAGCTTGCTTGCTTGCTTGCTTGCTATTTCTGTCTCTTATTCATAGCTCAAGTACCTAACCTTAAGGTAGATATGCTGCAAATCCCAGAACTGGAAGGAGGGAGGAGTATTATTTGGGAGAGTAGAGATGGGTTCCAGATGTGGGGAATGAAATGTGCTCCCCTAGGGATGGAGATAAGACCAGGATAGGATCCTTGGGCGCGGGAATGAGCAAGCAGGGTTGCTGAACGGGTGAGGAGTGGGCGAGAGGAAGGGGATGGATGCTTGAGCAGTACGTGGAAAGTCCACTACCCGTCATATATATTAACCCAGAAAGAAATTTTTGCAATGAAAGGAGGAGGGCCATCATGAGGAATCAATCACTCGTCTAGGAAAATGCAAGCAGGATGTGGAGTTTGGGTTTCTGATGCTCGAATTGTTCATGTCTCCAGCTTCCGTAGCGTGTGTCTCAGCACTGTCTGGACGCCTGGGTCCAACTCCTTGCGTGCTAATATAGGCTCGATCCATCTCCTTATCTTCTTTGATAACTCGGCCCTGTCCTTCGTCTTCTCCATCGATTCCTTGAGCCGGTCTAGCGCGGATGCGAGGGCCATCGGGAATGAGGCTGAGGTGGGGTCGATGCCGGTACAGGGCTGTCGGATGTAGCAATCCAGGGCGTGAGGGTCCGTCGAGTAGGATTCCAGCATGCTATCGAGAACGTGCTGCAGGACCTTGGGCAGGCATCTCACCTGCGTGAAGGCTGCGAACATGTTGAAGAAGTCTGCTGCGGCCGAGGCATTGAAGAAGGGTTGCTTGCGGGCTGCGTCAAATATGGCAAGGGGAATGGCTCCGTTAAGAGCAGGCGTCTCCATGGGATCCTTCTTGGCTTCCGAGTCGACCTCGACCTTTTCGACCATGCTCGGTCGCAGGGTATCAGTCTTGAAGTCGGGGATGGCGATCATGTCCGCCGACGTCTCGAAGCCCGTATTATCAGCCGCTCCATCGTCTTCCCCATCTGCAGCCTCGATCGACCTGTCGATATCGAGCCCCAGAATCCTTCTCCGCAGGGCAATCTTAGCAAGCCAGATCATCTCCAGCTTTGCGTACTCGATCCACAGGTCCTTACTGTGCGTGCAGAATCTCGTCCCCCTCTGCATATAACTCCGCGCCCCGTTCATATCGGCATCGAGTTCCAGTGTCCACCGCGCCGCGTAGAGCCACAATTCTGCTTTTGTAGGATGCAGCCGGATCACAGCAGTCAAGACCGTCTTGAATTTATTCGTGGCCTTTGCCTTCCTGGCGTATTCCAGATACGTCATCCATAGCGCCACATCCCCAGGATGCTTCCTCGTTCCCCGATCGAGTATATTGAAGATGCGCGCCTGGCCAGCGTGCGAAGAGCTGCCTTTGATCCGTAATCGCTTGCATCGTTTCTGGCGGAGATGTTCCAGACTGATCTCCCAAGCTGCGTACCGAGCAAAATCAACAGGCGTCGAACCCCGGGCGAGGACCTTGTGCTCGAAATCGGATCTCTTCTTCACGAGAGTTCTGATCTCCTCCTAAACTTGCACCATCAGCAATTGAATTCTTCTTGGACGCTGGGGGAAGAGGGGGTGGGGATCTGCAGGCCAGACGAACCGGGGTGAAGATCTTCTTCTGCTCGAACTCCTGGAGCTGCGGGACTGCTCGCTCCAGGTAGAATCTGGCCTTATCACTTGCGCCAGCCATATTGAGAGGGTTTGGGCGGGTATCTGGATTTTGCAAAAGTTCCCTCGACCGACTGTTGGAAGTTCTCGAACTTTTTTGTTCTGCCGCTCTGGGCCGCCTCGTAAGACCGCAAGCGCTCTAGCGTGTTTCCCGGCACGAGCACCCCTTACTCGACGCGGCGGCTCATCCCTGAGACGACACCGAGGCTTTTTGATTCCCTGCGATGGAGTAAAACATCTCTCGAGCAAACACCCACCAACTTCGCTTCGCGCATTCGTTTGCACCTCTTACTTATCATTTATCATTTCTCTTTCTGCCGGACTTCTCGGATGACATTCCTTTGGATGTGAATTCTCCCTGCTTCACAATGGCGCCCAAATTCAAGGACGGCGACGTTGTGCTCTCCTTCTCTGGCAAATGGGTGTCTTGGGCTCATACCGTCGCTGCTTATAGTACGCAATGCAGCTAGGGTTGTCTTTCATATGCTTACGGAGAATATAGCTTCTTTCCTGAGTGCCCTCGTCGTTGGAATCTCGTTACATTACCACAAGATCGTCCAGAACGAATACTATGGTTACCCTGAAGAATGGTTTCCCTCTGTGTCAGCAACGATTGGGGATCGCTACCCTGAGCGCTCCTTTTTCATGATCTTCATAGCTGTTACTGCAGGTACGAGGCATCAATCACTTCGGACGTGTGCATACCTAACTTGAAACCAGGTCCGCGATTCGCTCTTGTGGGTTTGTGGTATCTCCTCACGGCTCGACCGAACTCTACTCTTCCAAAATTCGTGGCCTTTATGGGCGTATTTCGAACCGTCACATGTGGTGGCTGGACATACGTTACCTCGACGGATGACCACCAATGGCACGACATTTTCATGATATCATATTTAGTAGCAACCATACCATGGACTTTCGGATGTTTGGCACTGAGCCCAAATAATGCTAGAGCAGTCAAGTACCGGAAATACCTCGCGGGAGCTTTCTTTGGTACCCTAGTGCCTCTGATTTACTATTTCATCCAGCACAAGGTCCATAGAGTTGCAGGAGGTAAGGGATCCACAACCCTTGTTAAGATGAGATGGATCTAACTCTGGTCACAGCATACACAATATATGCTTTCTTTGAATGGTCTTTGATTTTGTTTGACGTGGCGTTTGATGCTGTTACGGTCCTTGACTTTGATACGTTCGAGTTGGTTGTCAAAGACGTCAAGGGCTCGAGTAAGGGGTACGTCCATTGGCTCCCGAAATAATTCGTGTACATATATATGTATTTCGATAACACATAATGATGAACTTATCTAAATACCTTCTCGTATAGCCGTACCCAGCGAGTAGCCGATGCCGTTCTTGAGAAGGAGTATGTGATCTTGATAGCCTCCGCGCAGTTGTTCGCTGCTAACCACGTCTACAGAAAGGACAAGCCAATCAACCAGGTCTTCGGACAAGTATTCTCCTGGGGCGAGGCACTTGATGCAGCTGCAGATATCTACAATGGAGTAAGTTGATTGCTATTGGTCTTAATTCCTTACTGACTCGGTGTAGTTCGTTTTCTGGTCAATGTTGACCTCCTTGGGCCTCTTGGTATGGTGTGAGTATCTCTCTGGTCCATCATTTTGCCCTTATCTAACATTATCAGACTTTCCTCTATGGCACATGGGAATCTCGGGCTACGAAGTCATGGTCATGACCACGATCTCGCCCTTTTTGCTCGGAATCAAACCTGTCCGCTCGTTGGTCCTGAAGAACCTTAGAGCTTGCCATTTCTTAAGTCTTGCAGGCCTCCTCGCCTATCTCGTCAAGGACCCAGTTTACCGACTCTTTACTGTTGGCTTCGCTGTCTGGATGTCCTGCCTTGCTTGGGCTGCTACTTGGTACGCAGAGGGTCTTCAACCAGCACGACTGGAGTCCAAGATCTCGGCATGGCTTATCGGTCTGGTTGCATCAAGTGTTGTGAAGTTTGCAAACCATACCAACAATCCTATCTGGCCCACAGCACACGCTCAGAACGGAGGCATGAATGGCATCGGCCTGACCTTGGCTATCTTGGCTGTACTCCGGGCTACTCGCAAAGGTCCCACGGCTGGTAGTGGCCTCCCAAACCAAGGACGAAAGGAGGGATCGTCAGTTCTCGCTGCACTTGGGATTGCTGGCCTTTTCTTTGGCCTTCATTCGCTCCTGTCCGACTCCAGTACAATGATCATCTGGGTTTGGGATGGATACCCGGTTAGAGGTCCCATAGCAGCACCTCATGGCGCCGTGACCATCGCTCATATGGGAGCTGGCCTAATCCTGGGTCTCTTCAGGGAAGACCTGGCTCGTAGCTGGACGCTGTACGGCATTGGTAGCATTGGTGCTGCGTTACTCACATTGAAGAGTGGCTGGACGGGCTATTATGGTGGTCTAATTCTGGCTACTTATCTCGTCGCTGCTTCGGTACCACTGATCGGATCGGCAGCACGAAAGAACCCAGCCGTCACCTTCGGTCTTGGCTTCCTGATCTACAACTTCATGGTCTTGTTCCATGTCTGGGTTGTTGCTTACGCTTTCGTGCCTGGTGGACCCTTGGTCCGTGAGCACACGGACTGGGTCATGACCACCACCATGCTCCTGATCGGCTGTGGCGTCTTCACCTCTGTGTCGTCGACTCCTGCCGCGCAGAAGAAGCGAGCCAACGCGTACCTCAACTCGCGCAAACAGCGATCATACTACCTCTATATCCTCGGCTTCCTCCAACTCATGTCCGCCTCCATCGCGTACCTGCGATTCCCAACCTATGACTATGTTCCTTATCACAAGGACGACAAGATTCTCACAGCCGGAATCTGGACCATCCACTTCTCTCTGGACAACGACATGTGGTCTTCGGAATACCGCATGCGAGACGTGATCAAGGAGCTGGAGATCGATGTCATTGGACTGCTCGAATCCGATCTCCAAAGGATCATCATGGGCAACCGTGACACGACGCAATTCCTGGCCGAGGATCTAGGCATGTACGTGGATTATGGACCAGGACCTAACAAACACACGTGGGGAGCGGCGCTGTTGTCTAAATTCCCCATCGTCAACTCCACCCACCACCTCCTCCCTTCTCCGGTGGGTGAATTAGCACCCGCCATCGAGGCGACGCTTGATGTCTACGGCGAGCTGGTCGACGTCTTCGTCTTCCACTCGGGACAGGAAGAGGACCCGGAAGACCGACGCTTACAAACCGAATACCTCTCCAAGCTCATGGGGGCATCGCCTCGGCCCTCGATCCTCCTCTCGTACCTGGTGACCAAGCCGCTGGAAGGGAACTACAACACGTACGTCTCGGAGCTGTCAGGCATGCACGACATCGACCCCAGCGACTGGGACCGGTGGTGCGAGTACATCCTCTACAAGGGCGTGAAGCGCACGGCGTACGCGCGCGTGTCCCGGTCGACGATCACGGACACGGAGATCCAGGTGGGCAAGTTCCTGATCGGGGCGAAGCCGGACGAGGCGGCGGAGGTCAGGGACGCGCGCATCGACGAGAGCCAGGTGCCCGAGGGCATGCGCTTCCCGGCGATGTTCCGGGGCGAGGGCGTCCGGGGCCACCGGTACCACGTGTTTGACGAGCCGCGATACTATGCTTGATCATTGATGGGCTGGGTGCGAGGTGAGATGAGGGAGGGAGGGCTTCATGCTGATTTTCTTTTGTTGGATGGGAAGCTGGAGGATATGATTGATTGTATGGAGGGTCAGGGTAATAATTGGAGAAAGGGGGGTCAAGCAAGCAAGCAAGCAAGCAAGCGTAAGCGTATGTATGTAGGTAGGTGCTCCCAAAGATAGTAACTCAAGATCAAACACACACGCAACATATCAACCATTCATTAATCGATACAACCGCCGCGCGCCGCGCCGCAGTGCCGCCCTCACCAATACACTGCCCTCTTCTTCCGCCGCCGCCGCACGCGCGACTTGAAACGGGCGCAGGACAATTCACATTCACATACGCAATCATCATCAATCATCATCATCATCATCATCATCATCATCATCATCTATCTATCCCAAACGAGTTGAAACTTGAAACTTGAAACTTCCAACAGTCGACTATCTACTACTCAGCCTCATGAGGCGCAGTACGGCACGTATACATAGAGAGGCTCTGGTTAGCGCTTAGTAGTCCTGTACGTAAGTACCTGGGTTGGAAATCGTCACAGCTTTGATGTTAACGGGGGGTGAATACATGGGAAAAGAAAATGTGGTAATGATGGGTTTTATGTTATGAGTTGTATGGGTTTGGGTGTGATAGAGAATTGGAGGGAGGGAGGGAGTTGAGGTAGAGGGAATCTGGAGAGAAGAGAGAAGCTCAGACCACGAACCCTGACATCACGGGACATTGGGACAGGATATTCCCGATTGCGGCTCGACTCCCGTCGCCCGTGCAGGAGGTCGATCATTTGTTTGTTTATTTACTTTATACTTGTATTATTCTCTGATCTTATTTACCGTATAGAAAACATTACAAGGATACCAGTCGTAAAATACTCACTCGCCTGATTATTCCATCCCATCCCATCTCAACAGCAAAAAGCACAAGGATCTCAATAGCGAAATGAAAGCCCCCATGCTCGTAGCCGTGCCAAGACCACATCCCGCGGGTCTTTTTTTTCCCTAACCGGGGTGCTGATTGGTTCGTTTGTCAGGGTCAATTTCGGGGATTTAGGAGGGGGATTTTTATGTTTTTTTATGAATTCTTGTTATGCAGGTTTATGAATGAGGGGCAGGGTTCGGAGTCCGGCGTCGACACTTGGGGGCTTGGCGTTGGGAAAATGGATGCCTGAGGTGTTGAGATTATGGATAGTGTATTAGTGGTATACGGGAGATATGGTATATGGATATGGATATGATAATGGACGATGATTCGAGATAATACCTAGGTAGGTAGGTAGGTAATATCTGGACTTTACCTTACCTTACATGATGACAGTCGGCAGTTGCTCGGGAGATGGATGGCATAGGATTCCAGGACCGTCTCTGCATCTGCATCTATCTATCTGCATTATCCTAATCGCAGGATCAAAACTGTCGACGCGCTAGCAACGAACGGGTCACGGGGCACAGGCGCTGCTTGCCGACCGTCGTAATTACAGGATTATACCGTACAGGATTAGGGATTACCGTATTCCAGGGTATTATACGGTAATCTCGCCAAGGCACGGACTGGCAGTGTTGACGCTGGCCCGAGCATCCGCAGTTGCAGCGGCTTTCACTCGTCTGTCTCTCTCGTCTGTCGTTCGTCTCTCTCAGTCGCTCGTCTCTCGTCTCTCCCCGTCTCAGGCTTCAAGTCTCTTCTCTCTCTCTCCGCGGCGCTGCATCTTCATCCTCCTCCTCCTCCTCCTCCTCCTCCTCTTATTCCTCTTCTTTTCCCTCATCAAGGGTTCTCTCTCTCTCTCTCTCTCCCTCTTCTACCCTCCTCCTCCTCCTCCTCCCGATTCTCTCTCTCTTCCTCGACCATCCATCCATCAATCGAGAGATTATCCTTCCTCTCGAACCCATCCCCCCCGTCGATATCTATCTATCCATCCGGCTTCATGTACAGCTCATAGCATCGACTCCCTCTCGCTGTACTCTCGTTCTCATCGCCCATCGCCCATCGCCCATCATGACTGAACCCATCACCTACTTCAGGGCTGATTCCCCTACGGCCTTCACCAAGATGCCTTTCTCGTGGCCCTCCCTCCCCAATCCCATCCCTCGCCGCTACCGACGTCGTCTCCGCTCCAAGTTTCGCTCCTCCCAGTCGCCCGCCTCGTCCATCACTGACATCGAGACCTCTTTCAACCCCGCCGACACCATCCGCGCCCTCCGCACACACCGGTGGTCCGTCTACGATGCCCAGTACCTCTTCCTGATCATGATCGGCATCTTCTCGCTCTCCATCAGCCAGGCTCCCGGGCCCTTGATGAAGACCGGCGCCGCCTCCTTGATGATGCTCGCGCTGCTCATGCCCGTGACGAGGCAGTTCTTCCTGCCCTTCCTGCCCATCCTGACTTGGCTGGTCTTCTTCTTCAATGCTCGGTATGTGCTCTGCAACACCTCCGGATTTTGAGGCTTCGCGCTGCTTCGAGCCAGGGATCGATGCTCGTCCCAGTGTGGACCATCTCAAATGCTAATTCTGCTGCATAGCTTCATCCCTGCCGAGTACAGGCCTCACATCTGGGTCAAGGTCCTCCCGGCCCTCGAGAACATCTTTTACGGAGCCAACCTGAGCAATATCCTCTCCGCACACCAACACGTGGTGCTCGATGTGTTGGCGTGGTTACCATACGGGATTCTGCATTTCGGGGGCCCGGCCGTGTGGGCGGCCGTGATGTTCCTCTTCGGGGCCCCGGGTACCGTCCCCGTGTTTGCGCGGACCTTTGGATACCTGAACATCATCGGGGTCATGATCCAGCTGATCTTCCCGTGCTCTCCTCCGTGGTACGAGAACATGTACGGCCTCGCGCCAGCCAACTACTCCATGCAGGGGTCTCCCGCGGGATTGGCACGCATTGATAAACTTTTCGGCATTGATCTGTACACTACCAACTTTACCGCCTCCCCGTTAGTGTTTGGGGCCTTCCCATCACTCCATTCTGGGAATGCCGTCTTGGAGGCCCTCTTCATGAGCCATTGCTTCCCCAAACTAAAGCCCTTCGTAATTACCTACGCGATGTGGATGTGGTGGGCAACGATGTACCTGTCTCACCACTACGCTGTTGATCTCGTCGGGGGCGGACTCATGGCCGCCATTGCATTTTACATTGCAAAGACGAACTTCCTGCCCCGGGTGCAGATGGACAAGGTGTTCCGTTGGGATTACGACTATGTTGAGATTGGCGATGCCCCCAGTGGCGGCTACGAATATGGACTCACGACCCTCGATACCGATTTCCGGAACGACAGCAGCGACGAGTGGACTGTTGGATCTTCCTCCTCCATCTCCTCGGGATCACGAACCCCGGTCGATGAAGCCCAGTCTTCGTGGGAAGGAGAGACTCTGGCATCATCCCAGGGATCCGACACGGAACTCGCCGAGGTCGTTGTTCGGTGATCCGAGGGATTCCTTGGTCAACATCCTGACATGCATCCACCTGGCTCGACGACCCCCGTCGAGATCAATCATGAGTTTACGGCTTCATCATGTCACGGCGTTTAGCATATGAGCGAACTGCATTTAATTTGCTCCCCAATCTGCGACCTCTGCTGCTCTGGATGCTTCTCCTGTATATATAATCCGCCCACCCTCATCCAGATGCAGAGGATCGCACCGGGAACCCTTTCCATACATTTTTAATGACGCCTAATCTGGGCCTGATCATCACACTCTCCGATCTCCAGCGACGACCGGGGGAAATGGACGATCCAAGGCTCTTTTGATTCTTATCTTCGCTTCAACCTCTCCACGTCTCCGGAGGTGGGGACGGATATATTTTTGTGTCACGATGTGTGAATGCAATCCCCACGATCGCTAGAGTAACCGCCGACTCGTCTCTTGGGTTTTAGGAGGGACGAGGTTATTTTTTTCCGTGCTGGGCTCGCTATGTGTGCAATGCTTTGTTAGCATTCATGACCACTCGCTAAAAAAAAACAAGGAAAGGAAATAGACGTCTGTTTGTATTAGAAAACTTTGGGGTGTTTATTTTTTTTTTGGAAATGTGCGGTCACGGAGGTCGGATTTTGCATTTGGAACCAGTCAGCGGGGAGGGAGGGAAATGTACTGTCTCTAGTCTCTTCTATAGACTTTGCATGCATCTGGGCCCTTGGGGTTGGGGGGAGGCAGGGGGGCATTGGGAAGAAGGCTTCGGAATTAGGTCCTACAAAGGGGGTAGCTAGCTAGGTCTTATGTCTTAGGGTCTGGTCTGGTCTGTCTGGTCTGTCTGGTCTGGTCTTTTTTCGACACGAAAGACGAATATTCTTGAGGCGAGGTTCGTCTGGTTAATGCAATGCAAAGATAATGGAGATGATGATGAAAAGAGATTGTTTTGAATTAACCATTTGTTTGGTGTATTGCTTTATGAGTGATTGGTTCTTGGAAGTCTTGATTGATTTTCTCATATGGATCCATATATCCATCCAAGCAAACTCTATATCGAACACCTCTTCCAACCCAGTCCATCACGCCATTCAATATCTCAAATCCACATCTCAAAACCGGGTATAGATAGAATCTTTTTGGGGAGGGGGCACTTTTTAGAGGGGTTTTTTGATTTGGTTTGCATTGCATTATGATCTTCCTACTACATTCTTCGTCGTCGTTGATCCATTCCATAACCCTTTCGTAGTTGTAGACTCTGTGATCTTTCTCGATTGCGTTTGCGCATGCCTCTCCACCATCCCACCAGCACCAGCACCAGCACCATCGCCGCTGTCCAACCCCGACACTCCTACCCCCGGCCCCGAATCGACATCGACATCCATCTGGGCATCAGCAGCCAGGCCCACGCCCGAGTCCTCCGCATCCGCGCGCGCTACAAGGGGCCGCGCGCCACGCGCCGGATCCGTCGACGTCACGCCGTCCATCAAGCCGTGCTGCTGGCCCTCGCGCAGCTTATTGATAGCGCGCACCGTGTCGATAGCAGCGTGCAGGGTGCGGCGCGCGTTGAAGTTCTTCTTGACGACGGGGAGCAGGTCCGCGGCTCCTGCGCCCGGGCCTGTGCCTGTCGCGCCCGATATGTCGCCCGCGACGAAGGGGTGCGAGAGGGCCTCGTGCGCTGTGAGACGCTGCGTGGGGTCGATGGTCAAGCAGCGCTTGATGAAATTGCGCGCGTGCAGGCTGACACCGCGCCAGTATTCGATGGGTGTGAAGCTGTAGTCGGCGACGAGGATGGCTTGCATCTCTTCGAGGTTGGAGTCCCGGTCGAAGGGCGTGTAGCCGCAGAGTAGGAAGTACGTGATGACGCCGATGGCCCAGATGTCGACGGGCTTGCCGTGTCCGGTCTTCTTGAAGATCTCGGGCGCCATGTAGCCCGGCGTGCCGCACGTCGTCGTTAGCACGTGGAACTGCTCCTCGTCCATGATCCGCGATAGCCCGAAGTCGGCGATTAGGAGGTCGGCGTTGTCTTCTGGTGTGCGGAAGAGGAGGTTCTCCGGCTTGAGGTCCCGGTGCACGATGCCGTGGTCGTGGAGGTAGGCCACCGCCGAGAGCGTCGCCCGGATGAGGTCCGCCGCGTCTGATTCGTAGTACGAGCCCTTGCGGCAGATGCGGTCGAAGAGTTCCCCGCCCAGCGCAAGGTCCGTGACGAGGTAGAGGTTGTTCATAGTTTCGAAATAGTCGACGAGCGTGAGGATGTTTCGGTGTCCCATGGAGACGCGCTTCAGCACTGCGATCTCATTCCGGACCTGAGAGGAGCAGTTAGCCGCATCGTTCAAGTCCGCAGTTGAGAGAGAGAAAATACCATGTGTTCGCGCCCGGCCATCAGTCTCTTGTTGATGACCTTTGCCGCATAGTATCTGCCCGTGTCGATATGGACGCACTCCTTCACCACCGAGTAGGACCCCGCCCCCAGCGTCTTCCCGGTCTTGTAGCGACACGGCTGCACCGCAACCTGCGCCTTGGCCTGCTGGACCTCTTGAGGATTCTGGTAGCTCATGGTAGCCATATTGTCCAGGGCTGATGGCTCCGTCCCTCGTGCGCAGACCACGCGGGGTCGATGATGTTGGCGACGGCAGGCGATAAGAAGTGGACGGGAGAGCCTCTAGGAGATCCGCAGAGGGAGAGGATCAAGAGCGACGACGGGAACGAGTCTCTGGGGGCTGGTTGATTTTGAAATTTGGAGATGTGGAAGATCTGCCTGCGTCTTCCTCCTTTGGCGTTGTAGGATTCGAGGATTCCAGGATTCGAGGATGCGGGTCAATGCAGCAGTTCCTCGCTGTATCGTTCGTATCAGACGTTCGGATACTGGCACGACCGCACTATTAATAACTGCACTGCGCTGCAGTTCAATTGGCCACAGATGTCCGGAGTATTTGCTCACCCAGGCTCAAGCATTAATAGGTCGGGATGGGCATTGGCAAGTTCTTCGTAGGGCTGTAAGATCTCGGGTACTTTTGTTCAGGCCGCCGTGCAAATTCCTTCGTCCATGGTTTTGTCGCAGATCAGTGTTAACATTGTCTCTTTTGGCTCTTAGCCACCCAGATCTTACACGCAGTTCTCAAGGTTATCACACTTCGAGGGGTAGATCAACGTTGTGGAAGTGTACTGAAGTGGGCATTCCTGGTTCTATTGTCCTAAAAAGCGATTGGGGACTTCACAGCAAGAAAGATACAAGATGAGGCTCTTGTGGTCAAGCGACTGATCCCGATTCGGGTGACTGGGTCGTTGCCGCGCGCGAATGCCTTATTGAACTGGCCTTTCCTACCTTACACTTGATTCTGTTCACGTCGTAGTAAATTATTTGATCATCTCGCAATCACATAAATAATACTTGATGCTCTTGATTTATTTACTTATTTTGATCAACAGAGTTTGGTGTATGGTGTATGGTGTACCTCCGTAATGACACGTGCCTGGGCTCCCGGGTGTACCTATAGAAGTTAATATTAGAGAAACCTGACCGTTTACCACTGCAATGGCGCAAGTGGTAAGCTAGGCCTCCGTGGGATCGGCCGAATTATAGAAACCACCGGCTCTTGGACAGCATCTCCGGTCAAAAGTGTCTCGGCTTGAGATCAGAGTGTCCGTCACACTGAGCTGATGTACCTATACAAGAGATATACAAGAGATCGACCTCTCCCCAGGGTCAAGGAGACTAAAGTCCACAAGAGAACCAGTGGCAATGGGGAAAAGACTAGGCTGATGAATTCGCAAGGGCGCGAATGATTCGGCTGAACTTTTTGTTTTTTTTTTTTCGTACTGACGTACTGTATCCAGCTGGCCTTTTGGACTGTATGATTTTTTTGATTTTTTGATTTTTTTGGCCGTCTTTCCCCATTTTTCTGATTTTTCTCTTCGAAGGTGCAGTTGAACACGGGTAAATTATTTCGAATAAGCGAAGTTCTTAGGGAAAGCGAACAGCATCATCACCACCATGATCCATCACCTCTCCCCTTTATTTTTCAGCAGGAGATCCGCTGAGCTTCGATCCCGCAGGGACACAGAACCTGCAATAATAAATTGATATATTATCCTTGTTGCAAACGACTGGACGGACACCGAAGACCTGCAGGCGGGATGAATCACCTACGGAGGTACCACGATTTATTTCATTCCCTGCCCAACTCTCTTTTTGGTAAAGAAATATTTGAAAAACAATATTGTTCCATATCCTGCCTTCTTGGAATATCTACCTTCTTGAAAGTCTTCTTCAAGTAAGTGACGTACATTACTGGCCATCAAGTATTCTTTCTTTTCTTTCCCCGCACCATCAGGTCTCACATCAAAGAAAGACCTAAATCTGGGGCTAAAAAGACCCTCGACAAGGAATGACCCTGCTGGAACTCCCTTTTTAATAAGATCTTGCAGATTTGCGATCTGCAACAAAAGTCTTCTGCTGCTGCCCTTCCAGTTTCTCGACCAATCATTTGTTTGATTGATTGATTGCCCTTTGTCTGTGTTTGGCCAATGTCAGGTTAGTTAGGTATATCAGACCCTCCTTGTTCTATAGCGGACACGGATGTGTTCAAGCGAGTCCCAGACGTAATATTACATCTTCAAGCATCAAGTGATAATGCGTTTATGATATGAATGGGCTGGATACAGCGGCGTCTTTTATACAAAGCCAGATAGATAGACCTGCTTCACGCACTAGGTGCACGATATATCTACTTACCTACCTTACTTCTGTCTGAATGCCTTTCTATACCACTACTTGGAATGACGAGAGGTTGCCCACCAAGTTTGAGAATGAACCCAATCCGTCTTTCGTTCAAACACTATCGAGATCTTTCTTATCTACCTCCTTGAAACCATGTCTTACTTACAAAGAGCGGAACAGCAGTAGCAGTGGCGTCTAGATAGTGACCATGATGATCTCTCTGATTGCGATGCTTCTTGTCTCAATATCGACGATGTTCATGTCGAGGATCTGCCCCCTAGAAACACGGTGGGCAGGCAGTAGACAAATAACAATTGCTTAAGCAGAAATCAAATGTTAAAGACAGATGATCGAATTCAACCCCAATCAAAAGAACCCGAACAACTAACTATCCACTTCTTAAAATATCAAACAAATCTCTAGACCTACCTACTAAACTTCAACACCTCCCGGGCCTCCTCTCTCCTTACCTTATCCAGAAAACCTTTCTATCTACCTAGATAGTTCATGCATGCGCAAATCTCATTTCATTCATTCATTTGTATTTGATATGTATAGACAGGTTTCTGTCCAACAACTTATCTATCTAGGGAATTCTTGTGAAATAAGGTATTATCTAGCACATGGGGGATGTATCGAGTTTAGATGGATGGGATGGGATGAGATGGATAATTGGCAACTTGGCGAGGGACATGTTCAAGAGCTTGATGTCGCGTTGCGAGTGTGGAGCAGCGGGACGGGGCGGCGCGGACGATCTAAGGTAGTGTGGGAGGGGAAATGGGTGATGCGGAGGTGCGTGCGAGAAGGATGAGTAACTACAAACTCTTTGGATTTAGAAGAATAAAAAGAAAGAATTTTAAGCTCTGTGGTATGTATTCAATTGTATCATTATCATCATGGAATATTACTCAGGTTCCCAGAGACATACATACGCAAGCCAGAAAATAGGTAGGTATACCCCATTGCTTGCTTGTATTTTCAAAATTCTGTACCTAGTATTTTCAAAATCCCTACAACACCGTCCTAGATGCAAATCTCATCTCATCTCATACCTCATTCATATTTATCAAGTCCCATATCATATCATATTATCAAGTTTTTTTCACGCCATGCCGCTCGCTAGTACCAAATCACCAACCAGACGTCTAACCAACACCTAGGTATATCCCGTACCAACAACAAGTCAACAAGTCCCCAGTCGTTATTCCAGAGAAGAAAGAAGAAGAAGAAGAAGCGCAGCAGCATTCAACGCCTCGCCGTGCGTTTCTTCCCTGGAGACCGCACCAAATGATAAGCGATCGATTCATGACGGTGCGGCGTGTGTGCCCACTCCTCGAGCGCGCTGGGACCAGTGATGACCTGACTGCTGCTGCTCAGGTTTGCATATGTCAATTGGGGGGAGCCCCCACCGTGGTAGTTGTCTGCGACGGCGTCTTGGTAGTAGTCGCTGTGCCAGCCTGGATTCGATGAGCCCGTGTGCTGGAGAGAATAATAATCTACAGCGGAGCCATTGCTTGCTTCTGCCGAGGCAGCAATGTATGAGTGGACGACGTTGCCGTGCGAGTGAGCGATGCTGGTGGGCTCCGACGCTTCGCCTGCTGCGTATGTGAAGGGCTGCTGCTTGCTTGAGCTGGCTTCGCGCTTGTTGCTCCTCTCTTCAGAAGCCGCGCGGGAAAAGTAGCCGCTGTCATCGAAGACTGCCTCATCATCTGCAGCAGCATCAGCGTCGCAGTTGAGGTCGTCTGCATATGAAGCCTCCGTGATCATGCTGCCTTGGAAGTCCCAATCGTGCTCCATATTCTGATTCGTGATGAGGCCTGGGTCTTGCCTGGCCTGGTGAGAGGAGGCCATGGTGAGAAGAGGTGGTGGCTAGGCAGCTATGTTGGTACAGGCCCCGGCTGTAGAGCTCGAGGGGCCTACAATATTTGAGGAAGTGTTGAACTATTTTGAAAACGCTTGTGATCGACTCCACTGGATCGATCTCTCTGAAAGATTGATTTCCGATTATGATCGTGACGACAGACTTGTCGAGAGGAGAGAAAGCGTCAAGCTGGGAGGGAAGAGGATGGGGGCGGCAGCACTTGACAGAAGGGAAATCAACCTAGCGTACTGCCTTACCAGCAGAGACTCATTGGCCTACCACCTCTGCCCCCAAAGATTCTGGGAGACCGAAAACATCGGTAGGTACCGCTCTGCCAATCCCAAGTCATGATTGCAATGGTGCCAATCAGAGCTGTTCAAGAAATACGTGTTATTCTTCCTCCATCGTCTGTTGCGCCCGTACTGGAGGGCAATTCGTGTGAAGGTCCTGCGGCCTCAGGCGACAGCTTCGGTGAGGGCTTCGGTGAGAGTCCCATGATATCAATTATCAAACCAATCAAAGAGCGTGGATCGTGGGTGGTCGACGAATGGATGGCCAGCCAGAGAGAAGGATATGATTGGCTGCTGGTAGATGTAAAGACACGTGAATCCGCATTCAGTGCGAAGGTGAGATGCGAAGGTGAGAAAGGTATCCAAAGTTATCCAAAGTTATCCAAAGATTCCCCTCTGGAGAGGCGCGAGCTCATATATTTTGGATTTAGCAGGGCTGAGCATTGACACGACCTGATAATTGTCATGCTATCACAACAAGAGTCAACACTCTGGCCATTGTGCCCATCTCTTGACGAATCGCAACAGCGTATATGATCCGCCTCCCTGGCGCCTGGTTGCAGCACAGCCCGAGCGAAGGATTCTGCATTTCAACCACTCAGCCGCGACCATGCACGCTGGTCCTCTGACGCAGGACGGCTGAAAAGGCAGTCAGCTCTGGGGTCCCTGGTCTCTCACAGCGACGATATCTTTTGAGGCCTTTTATGATCCATGTGTCGGGAAATCCAGACAACTTCCAACAATCTGACTACTCCGGCTTTCATGCGAACAGAAGTACCGAGTAAGCCGCCGGGTTAGCTGACAACCCTTCTTCAGCCCATCTTAAACCAACTAGGATAACTATCTGGCAGCCTTGCACATGTCTAGAGATGCTTCATCCTCTCTGTGAAGTGATCCCGGGACGGGGAATGAGGCTGGCGCAAATGCATTGTTGGAAGTAGGAAAACATTCGTTTTTGCAAGGAAGGCCGGTCACTAATGATAGGCCTGTGAACTGAACTGTTGACCGACAATGTAAGGTAAGCAGAGCCTTGTCAGGCCGAACTGCTGGCATGTGATCCATAGTTGACTCAAGCAGTTGATGAGATGGCATCTTTTGGAGTAACGATAAGGCAAGGATCCGCCCCCCGTGTTGCTTACTGCCCACTTTTGCTCACCGAGCTACATAACAAATTCCCAAGGCTCCTAGGAAGATTACTATTGGCAAAGGGGCGTCCCACGACAACTTTATCTCGGGCTCATCGGGTTCTCGGTCCACCGAGCCAATCAGATCCGGAGACTTGCATTCCACACAGCGTCGAGAATACTGTAACCTAAGTTATTCCCTCATTTGCAAGCAGCTATGATTGAGGACTTGGTTCACACATGACTCTCAATGGAAAAGGCTTATAGTAGCCAAGGAACCGGTCATTCAATGGTTTTCGCTGAGTTCAATACCAGGGAGTACACTCAACAGAATATGTCAGACGTAGCAAAACGACAGAACAAACAGACCCCAGAGGATGACGACGATATGGATATGGAGGACGAATCGGAAACCAAATACATCATGGATCACGTCCTTTTAACTTCCTCATAGGAAATTTCTTCGGGAAACCCGCACTCAGGAGTGGCGTCTGATGCTGTACGACTGGAATGATAATTTTGTTCACTTGAACGCGCCTGTTGCATGAACGTGCCGAACCGGCTCATATGAGGCCAGAGGCTGATTTTTACAAACTTTTTTTTCTTCATTATTTGTACGTACTGTAGGGCAATACCACATGTTCTCCTTGCTACGGCCGATCATATTCAGAGATCCTCATCTCGCCATAACGCCATCAATCTTACATGCCCTAAACCCCAGAGAATTGATAGAGGGCGGCGAAGGTGTGTGGGCCAGGTATCCATCATAGCCCTACAGCGCAGATATAAAAAATGCCCCAAGAACGCCCTCAGAAACGTGTCTCTCGGTATCTCATACAGACTCCTTGAATCGTAAACACTGTCATTCCACGCCAAACGCCCCCCCAAAAAGACACATCACAACTCGACGCTTACAGTTCTCGGCATCTTCGCAGGGATGCTGGAATCGCTGCCATCGCTGGAACTATCCGAGCCCGAGTCGCTACTTGCATCCCCAAAGTAGTTGTATACATGCTGGGTCGCGAGTTTCTTGTATGTTTTTTCGCGGTTACCCTGTCGAGGTATGTCAAGATCCACACTTTCACTATCGTGGCGATCTGGAGCGGCGTTATCTTCTTCATCGGTATCGACACTAACACTTGGACTTTTGTAGCCTTGGGTATTGACCATCTCATCCTCAGTAGTAACCTCTAATTTGGGGCTGGTAGTAGCCATGCGGCCACCCGGGAGTGGCGTATCAAGATCCACGCTTTCTCTATCATGGTGTTTTGGAGTGGTGCCATCGACTTCATCAGTATCAACACTTTTGTTTTCGTAGTCTTGGGCATCATCCATCTCATCATCAGCGGCAATGTCCGATTCCGGGTAATCATCCCTTTGAGGTGCATCTAGATCCATACTTTCGGTATCATCAAAGCCATTTGCAGTGATGGGATGGTCTTCTTCCAGGTCATGGTCTTCCGGGTCTTCGTCGAGATCATGGTCTTCATCAAGATCACTGTCTTCGTTGCCATCAAGACGTTCGTTCCCATTGGACCGGATAGACTCGGATTTATCTTTATCGGCACCATCCGATTCGGAGCCGGCAGAAGGCATGCGGTCAACCTTCAGAGGTGTATCCAGATCCACACTTTCAGCTCTATCGAAGCTATTCGTAGTGACAGCATGGTCTTCATCAAGATCGTGATCGTCACGGCGATCAACACTTTCTGTTTCGTGGTTCTGGACATCCTCCATTTCATCTTCGGCGGCAGCTTCAGAGGCGGAGATATCTTCAGAGGCACCATTAGCTTCGTGTTTATCAGCACCCGTGTCAGTGTCAGCATGATCAGCACCCATTTCGTCTTGGCCTGTCTGGCCATTGGCAAGACCCTCATCATCGCTCGACTCATCAACAACCTTCTCTTCACTGAGAATTTTAGACCGCTTTGACTTCCTTGGCTTGCTGGCGGTCGATACTTCTTCTCCACTACTGCCTTTACCCCTCGATTTAGATCTGATTCTTCGGACGATGGGAAAACGTTCTATATCAAAGCCTTCAGGCTCGTTTGGCGCAGCAGCTTCGAAGATATCGACCAGACGCTCGATGATCTCCCTGAATTTCATGTCCTCGTGACCAGGTAGCTTCTCCTTTAGCTTTCGGTAGCATAACTTCCATGCCATTCGTTTTCCCATTTCACCCATCTTGTGCCGAATGCTCGCCCATGGAATCTTGCCTTCTTTGCTAGCTCCAGAGTCGCGAATTGTACGTAAAAGGCGTAGTTTTTCTTCGGCAGTCATGGTTTGCACTGACATCTGGGCGTCCTCGAATCGCCATGAATTGCTGATGGGTGCATTGGCTACGGGGTCTTCCCCGTCCGATTCATTGAGTGCCTTCAACTTTCTCCATTTGTAGCTGCATTGAAGTCGACTTCGAACGTGATTCATCTTCTCAGACACCTTTTGCCAGTCTAGGAGTGTCTCCTCGTCGACGTCAATCGCACTACTACCTGTTGTTCGGCGTCTCTCCTCACGTATGGCCTGAAGGCACTCCTTCACTGCAATTTTCAGCTGCTCCTCTTCCTCCTTGTCCCAGATATCTGTTCTCCTATTCCCTCCGCAGACCAGGTAATTTCTCCACCGGTCCCGTGCGTCCTCCGGAAAGCGGTGGATTTCCCTGCCAATTTCTGTCCATTTATTTGGATTCTTCTGATATGCGCGTCTCAGTTCTTCATCTTGTTCTTCAGTCCAGATACCTCGTGCCTCGTAATTGTGAAATTTCCTTCTGCAAAAGTCCAGGACATGTCTGCCAGTAAGGTATGGTACCTCCTCGCGCAGGAACTTCCAGAGCTCTCTGCCGGCCGGGGATTGGGCGGGTTGTTGAACTAGATCGTTTATCTCATATTGAGTCATGCCATTGAAATGTCTATAGTTATCGACTGCCTGCGTTATGGCATTGATAGTCTCAGGTGATAGTCGACCTCCTCGAGGGGTGGTACAAGTAGCGGGCATTGCTTGGGTCTTCCCACTTGTTTTAGGTGTTCTGGGGGTCTCTGTTCCTGACGTTTCTGATTTACGTGTCTTCCCCTTCTTGGACTTTACACTGGAAGGGCCGGGCTCGTCGTCGTCAACAGGAAGACGGCGTTTACGACGATCTTTGCGTTCGGCAGAGCTCAACGGGGCAGATTGATGCTCTGACTGAAGCGTTTCCTTCAGATCTCCGTTAGGAGTTCTTTTGTCACTGACTCTCTTGGCCTTTTTCTTTGGCTCTTCTTCCAGATGTTCTTCATCAGCCTTCCTCTTACCTGGAGTTTTCTTCGATGATCGTCTTGATTCTACTTTCTGCGAACCATTAGGGGCGGTCCCCGCTGACACCTCGAGCTGAGATGATGCAGCAAGATTATCTTCCTCGGGCTTGTCCGCGGAATGATGTGGTACGTGAGCTGGAGTTGTAGGTTGACTTAACACCCCAGTAGAATCATTATCGTCTTCCTGCGACCTACTGGAATGGCCATTCGAATGCTTCTTCGCCTTTGCTTTCTTTGCTTTCTTAACCTTCAACGGATGTTGTGCCAGGTCCTCAGGAATGGCCTCGTCATGGGCAACGATATTGGGCCTGGGTTTCTCGGAGCTAGACTTAGACGAGACTGCCGCATTCTTCAGTGCCTGAGCATTTAAAAGACTAACAGACTCGAGGTCGTCCTCTTCATTTTCAACTGGCGAAACCTCAGCTGGAACCGCGGCGGCCGCCTTTGCTGCTCTCTTTCTTTTTCGCTCGGCTTTCTCCGCACTCTTGGATTTGGAGATGTCTTCAATCGCAGGTGATCCGCGGTTTTGAGCAATATTTGCAGCTGCAACACTTTCGTCTGTCTCTAGGATAGGCGTCGCTACACCATTCTCCTCGACCTCTGGTGTGTCTGTCTCTTCCGTAGCTTTCTTGCTCTTTCTCTTGGATTTCTTCTTCTTGGAGCTTGTAGCTACGGCATTTTCCTCTGACTCTGGGATAGGAGTCGCTATATCATTCTCCTCAGCTTCGCGTGCATCTGTCTCCGCAGCTTTTTTGCTCTTTCTCTTAGATTTCTTTTTCGAGCTTGCCGCTGTGCCACTTTCGTCCGCCTCTAGAATAGGTGTCGCTACGCCACTCTCCTCGGCTTCTTGTGCGCCTGTCTCCTCAGCAATTTTCTTGCTCTTTTTGGATTTCTTCTTCATCGAGCTTGTAGCTGCAACACTTTCCTCCATCTGTAGGGGGGAAGTCGCTACACCGTTCTCCTCGAACTCCTGTGTCTCCGCGTCCTGCGCAGCATCCTTACTCTTTCTCTTGGATTTCTTCTTTTTTAAGCTCGTAGCTGCAGGGCTTTCTTCCGTCTCCAGAGTCGCTACACCGTTCTCCACGGCCTCCTGTGTCTCCAGCTCCTGCGCAGCTTCCCCGCTCTTTCTCTTGGACTTCTTCTTCTTCGATTTCGATTTCTTCACTGGCTCTCCTTCGGCCTGTTCCTCCGCATCTCGAAAGCCCTCGATCTCCTCATCATTGTGACTTTGCCTCCTAGCCTTGCTATGCGATTTGGAATTCCCGTTGCTCGATTCTAGTCCCTCCATTCTGTCCTCGTTTTCCTCGATCTGTGAATCATCTAAATCACCCATCAAACATCAGTGACTGGCGCTCTTGAAGAAGAGAAAGGCAAGGAGGGCCCGCTTCACGCGCCATCTGGCAGCTAAGAAGAAACTTACCGATATAGCCACTATCTTCCTCGGTAATTGCAAGAGAATCTTGCGTTTGGGACGAGTTGAATAGACCGAAGACCCGGCGCAACATAGTTCGACCTGTGTATGTTGGCACTGTACGTGTAAGGAAGGGTCTGTCGCGATCGCGTCCGCGAGATATTTTTGGTGGGTAGGTTATCCGCGACGAACTATAATTTCTTTGTGCCTTAGAATCAAGGTTTTATAACATAGCCCTTTGAGCGACGGGATTCACCCGATTAATCGCAGCAAGAAAGGTCAAAATCGAAAAGCCAAAGCATTCAGAGAAAATGAAAGAAAAAGTACCTTATCACATTAAGTCAGTAAAAATTCAAGCCACTAAATGGTGGAGAGAAACCCGCAGTTTGAATTCTCAAGAGACAATTATCTTCCGAGGATTATGCATTAACACCATCTACAGGGGGTAGAACGGGTAGTTGAATGGAATCATGGAGCTCAGGGAGGTTGGACTTGAGGGGAAGCAAGTACATGAGGAGTTTATTTACTTTTACAATTTTTCATTATGCTGGTGCCAGTATCCTCATTCCGTTTCATACATCGTGATTGTGATTTCTACCGTCCCATCCTCCAGCGAATATCAAGCTGTTCAAAACTATCCCATCCCAATACCCATAAAACGCACCCCCCCATATGACAGTCGCCTCTACTTCAAAACATACTTATCCACGCTGATTGGTGTGTGTTTCCTTGGAGCCGGCTTGACCAGCCCATCCCTTTGTGGAACGGTGCTATTCCAGCTCTGGAAATTCCGCCTTGGTGGAGGTTTCGGAGTGGCTCTGGGATACTCGAAAGGCAGCTTTTTGCTGTCGTTGTTGCTGCTCAGATTGAGTCGTTCGGCCTGGGTGGTCTCTAACCAGTATTGTCTCGTGGATTCATCTACTTTCCATTTCTGTGAATCCGGTTGTAAGGATTCATCACCAATTTCAAGTTCGAAAGGAAGCGGAGGGTTGATGGCAGAGTTTTTGACAAATTCTTTTCTGCTGAGCTTGAGCTGGAGCTTTCGTAATTCTGAATATGTTTCGTCGTGGTCGGCCCGGGAGATGGAAAGTTCAGAATCAGCGGCTGATCTGAGCGTGCTAAAAGATCGCGCTTTCTTGACTTCCTTATCCTGTTCAGGTGCAGACAATAGAGTGTACCGCTGGTACTCGTCGCCTGTGGCAACAAATAGTGGCTCCAAGTCTTCCATTGGCGAGGTTTGATTTTTGATGGAGATTGCTGGGAGACTTTTCTGCTTCTTCAACTGGTATACCCGTGGATCGGTTGTAAAAGTTTCAGGTCCAGCAGGCTTGGACTGCAGGTTGTCATCTGTTCTTGATTCCGTATCTTCATTTGCCTCGGTATTCCTGCGGGTCCAAAATACTGGAGATTTGATCTTAGAGCGCAAAGTGTCTGTTCTGGAATGAGGTTTCTGCAAAAGGCCCATGCTGATCTTCTTTCGTAGACTTGGTCGCTCAGATGCGTCGGCATTTTGATCAAATCCTGGAAATTGCTCAATCGATCTAGAAGTGTCCGTTCTGGAACGAGATTTCTGCAAAAAGCCCATGCTAATCTTCTTCCGTAAACTTGGTCGCTCAAATGCCCCGGCATTTTGATCGAAACTTGGAGATTCGATTGATCTAGAAGTGTCTGTTCTAGAATGAGATTTCCGCAAGAAGCCCATGCTGATCTTCTTTCGTAGACTTGGTCGCTCAGGAGCTCCAGAATTTTGTTCGAAACCGGGAAATTGCTCCATTGATTGTGAAGCCTCTGAAGAGATGCCAAATCCTACTGGGCTATTGGAGGTCTCACGTAGTGTAGATGATGACTTCTTCTTCCAAAAGAGGTTGCGAAAGCTGGATTTTTTCCTTATTGTTGATGGGCTGGGATCAGGAGGGATAGGTTCGTATGGCCGATCTAGCCAGTCAAAGTCAGGTGATTCAGAAGACGTCTGAGCCTCAAATGACACTTGAGGACTGTCCAGTGAGTGTCCGAAATCAATAGGTCTTCTCAGTTCCGGAGTACCAGAAAGTAGGGGAGTGCCGGGAAGTATGAGGTCATCAGATGTGAGAGACCGGTTTGATGACATTGTCTGATGGTGCGTCTCTCTTGCCATGCGTCGAGTTTCCAAATGTGGAATCGTCTGTGAGAAGCTCCTCTGCTCTGCTGCTCCAGATTCCCGTCTGATATACGGTACGGGTTGCCTTGGGGGGAACACCTGCCGACTATCCATAGAATTCGTACTGATCAGAGGTGCTGGCCTCGAAGGACCCACTTGGCGACTGCCCACAGAGTTTGTATTGATCATAGGGGCTAGTCCAGAGGGAATGACCCGACGGCTGTGCATTGAGTCCGCATCAACCAGAGGTGTTGGTGGCCTGAATGGAAAGATTTGGCGATCGCCCATGGAGCTCGTACTGGTCACTGGTGTTGCTGAACCGAATGCAGCGCGCGGGTGGTTATGGACCAAGTTCATTTCCACTGATGGTTTGCTAGAGGTCAGTGGTATTGGTGAGAGAGGCTCCTCGCCATCATCGCTGTTATCTTCACTGTTGCTTGTTGTCGAATACACGCTAGCGGTATACAAAGAGTTTCTGTCGTTTGAACACGTATGTTTGAAGTAAGTGATATCGTATATGTCGATCGCCTGTTTGATCATTTCATCGGCTCCATTGATGTATATCCCCAGGCAGTTTCTAACTTCTGGCCAAGTATATTTGTTTGTAGGCATCTCTAGGTTACTCACATATCCATCTATGATATGAGGACCGTTTGCCTCAACTGAGACAAGATACCGGTAAAAGGTGTTTCGGAAAAGGTGAGATACCTTGGGTGAAATTCCGTCTGGTAGTCTTTGCACACTTGGTGGAAAGAGTGTATTTAGCATTGCCAGGACATTGTATTTGTCAAAATCTTTAGATCGCAGTTGATACACCATTGTCTGAGACTGTTAGAATTGTAAGTGGGATAGATCAAAGGACATACCCAGATCCGAATACCAATGAACACCTGGGCATAACACTTCTCCAGATAGTGTCCACGAGATTGCACATCTTCAACCCATGCTTTGGCATTTGGATTAGCCGTCAGGACATCTCGCCAGTTGTCTCGTCTTATGGCAAGTCGTTCGGCCGCCCCACGCAAAGCTGCTCGTCTCGTGCATTCAAGGTCTTCTAAATAATCAAGAGCATGTAGAGCTAGATCAAATTCGACTTCTTCATGGCTCTGGGCAAATACATGCTCGAGACAGAAAGATTTGATGAAGCTGACAGGCATCCCTTGGCTGTAGGGTCGGCCATTTTTATCATCTGAGCCAACTAGATCGATCTGCTCGTTAGCAAAATCGATGTTGAATAAGTGGTCATTGCCATCATCCATAAATCGGTCTCGGGGATAATGATCTGACAATATGGGATGATGCAGATCAGGTCCTGGTGTAATCTCATCTAGTGAGGATAGGAATTTGATGATGAGCTGGCCCTTTAAGGAACACTTCCAAAAGCGTTCAGCTTGATTGACAGTAGGGAGTTTGTATCCTTTATCAGAAACGCGTCAGTGATCAAAAACGCGTCAGTAAATAGATAGAAAGTTGAACTGGGCCATCCCATACCAGCATTGAACGAAAACATGATTCGTAATGGTAATTCATTCGATGGTTGACATTCTAGTATCTGGTAGAGAATCGAAGGTATTGTGTGAAGTTGTTGTTCGGATAAAGGACTGTCGGGTGGTGAAGAGCTCAGTAGGCTTGTCGAAAGTGAATCTGTTACCGAAAGCGCGGACGCGTAGGAGGACATTTTGACCCCAACTATCACAGCCGCACGCTAGATGAAAGCAAAAAGGACAAGGCAGCCCAAAGGTGACAAGATGTCTACACTAACAGCAAAACTCTCTAATAACTGAAAGCGTCCTGATAAATCAATCAACAAAACATCTCCATCCCAAGCCAGAGATAAACAGCCCGATAAGCAGCTCTCCACCAACATCTCATAACTTAAGGGTTTTTGAACCATGCTCGAGACCTGATGTGGGTGTCCGTGACAAACAAATAAGAAACGGAAAGAGATGGTATGGTAGAGTGACAGAGACGCATCTCAGAGAATTGGGATATGATAGAACAACAACCCCACTATCAGGAACAATCCCATTGTTATCTTCTCAGCATGAAGTCCAATCTATTGGAAGAATCCCTTTGGAATACAGGTATATCTCGTGGGTTTCCCAGATGAACCACTTGACAGTCTTCTGATAGGCTGCGCCTCCCCCCAACTCTACAGTATGTATACACAGAGATCTTTTACTGTTATCAATAGCTGAAATAGTAGATCTGCCATGCGCTTCCTTTTGGTGTTACGCCCCAGCTTGGGGTAGATGTGACGTCGAGCACTGTTCTTTGGAAACCATCATGCAGAAAGCCTAGGGCCCCGGCCTCACAAGGATCACAGATGAACCCCTAGTGGGGTCTGTCACTGAATGACCATGCACAGAACAGTCCATGCGTGGGCTTTACGAAAACCCCTATTTTTTGAAGAGGAGATGGTCATTTGGGTGCTCGCGTTTCAGTCAAACGAGAAGAAACATATTCTCCTCCCGGCCTTGCCGTCAGAGTACCGGGTCAATCCCTTAGTGGAAAGAAGAAAAGAGGCATGGAGCTGAGGCCTTCCATGGTTAAAGAATCAGGGGCAGACAACCACTAGAGACTTCAAGCTGCAGGCTGCCTTCGAGCCACATGGCAACCTCATGGGCTGCCCTTTGAGTCCAAAGAACTGGTCACAAAGAGTTTGCCTTCTATTAGCACTATGGTTAGAAGTTGCGTTTGCGAGCCGTCGTACCCCGCCTAGGAGGTTTGGGTTCCGATATAATAGGCGCTGCCGTGACACGAAAGAATCCCATCTGCGACGCAGGAAATTCTCTCTTCCCACAGACTGTTTGGGAGAAGAGTCACGGTCACGGCCCTGAGTAGGAATCCTCCAACTCTAATACTAGAGGAAGTTCGGCATCAGAATTCGCACATGCCGGCATTGCGTGTGCCATGTGTATCAAAAATGCCATTGTGCTGTGCATATCCAGCGGAGAAGAGGGTGGCACCGTTTGCAGCGCGGTAGGATCCAGATATGTCGACTGACGTCTGCAGCATCTGCAGAGGCCCGCCGGCCCGTCATCTGGAAGAAAATGCATCGCGGGTAGCATGGGTTTCAGGATCGACGGGTGCTCTCCGAGTGCGTATTTGTATATCAAGATATAAAAAAGAAGAAGAGCTGATCAAGGAGCGGAAGGCTAATCGCATGCGTGGAACTTGGCTTTGGCCCCTGGCTAAGGTACTACTGGCTGTGCCGTCTGCGGTGCCGGGTTAGTGCCCGAAGTGCACATCTAACATCCTGAAGAAGTTGGCATTTTATTTCCAATTTATTTATTACAAGAGCCATGCAAGGAGGCTATCAGTTGATATGTCGAAAGGATTCGTTGCGAAATCCGTTCTTGAAACAATGCAAGAGAATCTTCAAGGTTGGTTTTGGTAACTGTTCATACACTGACCCTCACGTAAGGAGGTACAGTAATACTTTGCGTATGCTTTGCACTGCCAAGTCCAATAGCTTCTAGGCAAAGAACTTAAAATAAACAGCAGCAGAAACTGCGCATTTCCAGCTCCAATATTCGGACACGCGACAAGAGACGATGGAAGCTGTCCTATCTGGCTCTCAAGGCTGCAGCCAATCCGTCCCTTTCCACCGATAATCGTCTCAATCTCGCTGCGGTTCATCCTCAACAGCGCTGACAATGAGACCGTCGCTGATCTCGAGACATATCATTCGGCATCGCTTCTCGAAGGCAGGCCCGTCTCGCGGTCCTGCGACGCGCCATTGGCCTTCGGTTGCGCGACAAAGATGGGTATCTACGAGCCAGACACGAGGAGGACATGGCGGGGAGCCGGGTGAGTAGATCCTTTATGAATTGTTTGCGAGTTGGAGCGACTCCAATTGCTTTTCCTTCAGCTTCAGATTACTGCGAGGGACAAAGCAAATCTTGGATGCACGTGTCGACGGGCCGCGTATCGAGTGTTTGCGACCTGGAAGAGATCGTCTACAGTTCTTGACTTGACATCCCGACCTTTGCTAGTTGGCATTGCGCGTGAATCAGTAGAAGAGAATAATACTGCGTTACTGCAACAAATCTGGTCTATAATGGGTGCACGTGGGCGGGAATTCCAGACTGAGTTGTGATCTGTCAACTATATTTTCACGTGATTTGATAGCACGTTGTCTCTCCCGTCCTCCACATTCTCGACATTCACGTTACTATCTTTTGAGAAAGAGAATCGCTGATCGATATGCAGGGACCGAAGGCTCCTCTAACCAGTCACACGATCAGTCCAAGACTCGCAAAAGTTCAGAACCTCAAGATGGCCTATTTTCCAAGATGCTGGAATCAGCCGCAACCGCAGTTGCCAGTATTCTGGTGCTCGGGTCCGGCTTTGCTATGGGTGGCTACATGTACCACAAGTTCTACAAATGGCTTGTTCTGCGCAAGATGGAAAACGCCTTCAAACCCGGTGATCCCGTCTTGGAACTCGCTGCTACCGGCAAGCAAAGACCCAACTCTATTGCTCAAGACGCGGGGGATGATGAGACGCATTGGATCCTGCGGGACGAGCAGGCGAAAATCGATGCTATTGTGAACGGGACTGACACGGGACATTACCACTTGCTGATCGGGGAGAAGGGGACGGGAAAGTCCAGTATGTTGCTTGACGCCATGAAGAAAGTCGATGGAGAAGGGGTCAGTATGTTTGAGGCCCATGCGAATCTTGAGATCTTTAGAGTGAGACTGGGCAAGGCTCTAGATTTCGAGTTCCACGAGGATTATATCGGGTCATATTTCTCGGAACGGGGACCCAGAGATACTACTGCCTTGCTGGATATCGAGCGGGCGTTCAACAAGCTTGAGAAAGTCGCGCTCCAGAGGCGCAAAACGGTCGGCAAGCCGTTGGTCTTGATCATTAATAGCATTCATTTATTGCGGGACGATGATGATGGGCGAGACCTGCTAGAACTGTTACAGCAACGCGCTGAGCAATGGGCGGCCAGCAATCTTGTCACGATGGTCTTCAACAGCGATGATTATTGGGTGTATGAGAGACTGAAGCTGCTGGCTACCAGGATGGAAGTGACGTCCATCACCGATCTGCCAAAAGCCCAAGCGATGTCTGCGCTCGCAAAATACCGCCGGAAATACTTCAGAGAGGAACCGCCGTCAGAAATCCTCGCTGAAGTGTATAACCGCGTTGGTGGTCGTTTAACCTTCCTCAACAGAGTCGCGAAGTCGAAGGATATGCTCGCTACCTGCGACGATATCATTGATGTCGAGCGTCGATGGTTCTTGAACCAATGTTGGATTCTGGGAGCAGAGATGGATGACGACGTGATGGATCAGCAAAAATACGCCGTGAGTTCCTCTCTCCCTCTCTCCCCCTCCCATCATCTATGTACTCACTAACCACCCTCAGTCCGCTGCTATGGTCCTAGCGCAAGCTCTCGTCAATGCCGAAAAGGAGCAAGCCGAACAACAACCCCCTGAAGATGATGATGGCTCCCACACCCTCCCGCAGATCCCTCTGCACAAGGCACGCCAGATCATGACGCGAGCAGATTTCATCCGCTCCTACGATCACATCAATCTCTTTACCATCACCAGCAAGGCATATGTGAGAGCCGACTCCGTGCCCATGCAGAGAGCGTTCAGGAGTATCTGCGCCGAGGAAGGATTCGATGAGCTTCTGGAAGCTACGCTGCAGAGGATCAGCGACATCGAGAGTCTTGGACGCACGAGGGAGCTCGTGGCCAAGGATCTTGTTTTGGGAGGGAAATATAAGTTCCTGCTGAAGGATGGGGAGAGGAGAGGAGAGAAAGTGACGGAGGTGACTTTGGAAAATGAGGCTGAGGAGGCAGATGATGCGAAATGATGACTCAACTTTATGCGTGTAAGATTTCTTATGTTGATGAGATAGTGATACTGTACTGGAATCTTGGCAGGGTAGGAATTAAAGGGAGAACACGGGTTTCTGAAGCCCCTTACATCCATTTCATAGAACTTCAATGTATATTATATCAAGTCCTATACGTGGAGCGATTTTATTAGCAATCTATTGTAGAGAAGTCAAGTTCCATAAGATGGATGAGTGATGCATTGCAAGGGTTCCACTTCAAGTGAAGTGAGTTCCTGTGTTGGCTAAGTAACCACAAAGAACAACTTTGAAAGCAAGCTTAGCATAGCACATAGCTGGCCTGTTCCTCACCCAGTCACACTTCTCTCCTTCCCATCACACCAACCATGATCGTTGAGCCAGCCTCCAAATTAGCGCCATTGATAGCTGTGCAGCTCACTTTCTGCACGCCTGCTTCGACATCAAAGACATATCTCACTATTTCTCCCCACCGTGCACAAATCTCTCCAGAATTGCACATGCCTTCTGTCCAAGCTTGTTTCCATGGTCTGTAATCCTCTTGTCCCTGTACCATCCTCGAGACAACGGCATAATAGCGTATAGGTCGATAAATAGCAATTAACTCTCGTTTCCCCTGTACTCGAGCCCAAAGTCCTTGAAATCAGCATTCAATTTGGGTTTGACCAGAGCATACGTTGAGCATTGGCGACCTTCCGAAGCATTATAGGAACTTTTGCACGGTCCACACCTTTCTCGAGAGATCTTCAAGGTCTTGTCGAGTAATAACAAAATCTTGTTCTAGGGGTTGATTTGCTGGCCGGCCCACCACTTTGTTGAAGGGTATAACCAAGCCTCCAGTAACCAATATTGTCTGATTTAAATAATGCGATCTGACTTCTTGGGTGCAAGAAGCTGGCGGATGAGATGCTCGAGTTCTCACAGAATACACCCGGGGTACGATTTCCCAACGTTGAACGACGATTTCTGGTTTCTTCCGATTGACCATTATCGTGACGGCAATTTGGACTGTTGAGCCGGTTGACTCCAGCCACCCTCGAGCATCAAGCACAAGCCGACCAGACGATTCAGATAGTCCAATTTCTAGAACAAAGCTTGGGTTTGGATTCTGTGACAATCGTGCCCAGCCACCATCAGGTTCTTTCGTAAAGTCGCCAAACCGAATAGTTGTTTGTCCAATGGGATATAGCTCACCACCCAAACCCATTGTGGTGATTTGTATGCCGATACATAATTTGAGCTCTTCCTTTGCTGTCTCGTGTGCTATGTAAGGCATTATCTTGAGGATTAGCGTATGCGTCTTCCAGCTGTAAAGTATCCGCGTAGTTCGGCTAGTCCGTGGAGTTTTTTCACAGATCTTCAAAAATTCGCTGTCTGGTACGTCCGTGAAGATCAAGAAGGGATTTTGAGTCTTGTCCTGCAGAAGCGCGATATGACGGTCATGCGATCTCTTGCGGACGCTGAGGATATTGGTAAACTGACGAATTTCAGTTCCTTCTGGGAACCCTTCGAGGAAGTATGCAGGATAGCCGATGCCTGATGATGCATCAGACTGCGACTCGCATTGAGGACTGGAGAGACGTGGATGATCCATCTTGAACTGCTTTTGAGAGTTGGTCAGAGGTGGTTGTTGCCTTTGGTTGCGGAGACAATAAATAACATACATGCCTTAAGGTAACGGTAATCGCTTAGGATGATGGATCATGGGCAGGTCTAGTAGGTAGGTAATCATGTCGTCACCGCCCGTCGAGTGATGAATTCTCATCTTCCCGTAGTGCTTGTCAAAAGTTGGAAACATCTTGAAAGAGGTTGACAGGCTGTCTTCAAGTGAGGTCTCTCTCACCTCGAAGTGAGGGTCCTATCGCTTAAAGGTGAGGACACTGAGGAGGCTATAGTGAAGGCCAGTAGTCCGCGCATAACTTCATAGCCTCTGAGGCTAGGATACTAAGCCCAACAATGATGTTCTGGGTATGAAATATATATACATATTCAGTCCAAGTCGCAATCGCAACTCATTCATTTACGCCTTCTTTCGCTTCAGGGTGCATTGCAGAAAAGGGGGCGGGGTGGCTGTTAAGCGACTTTTACTATTCAACATTCCCTGCCTTGATAGCTTCGGAATCAATCCTATCTTATCTCACACGTCCACAAAACATTCTCGTCCTGCAAATCCAAAGACTTTCGGACTTCAGACTACAGGGAAAAGTACAATGCATCTGTTTGGTAACATCAACCGTATTGGTTGATAAACATTCCCCGAGGCGCACCCCGAGCCATTCCAAAGTCCAACGATTAGCGGGAACGAGGCACGACATGATGGCCGGTGTTGAAGCAGATGTAATGGTGTATGTCCATGTTTTATTTCATCATCTTCGCGGCCATGACCAGTCGCCAGTGCAAATCAAGAACCCCTTGGGGGTGAACATCTAGGCCGTGGTAACGATGGTAAACATCCGGGGATTGTTCCTGATACCTGGTCGGAAGAACTTCAGGGATAACTTGATACATTGCCGTGGAATATTTCTGATATGGTTTACCTTAGGGATGAGTATACACCTCTAGTACCTGACACGAGTACAACAAAAGCCCCAGAGCCACTGCGAGAGGCTGAATTACATTCCCCGTCGTTGGAAGCCGATGATGCGACTCCATATTGGGACGCAACTTTTGCTCGGCTTCTCGTGCATAAAATCGACCTCCGGCTTCTTCCAATTTTCTTCATCACATTCAATTTTAATTTTATCGACAAGACCATCCTCTCCAGCGCTTCGGTGTTTGGCTTAACCAAGGATGTTGTAAGCCCTCACTCATCCCTAATGAAATCAAGTCTGGATCTCTGGTCATTAACACGTCTGTAAAGAATCTCGTGGGGAATCAATATGCCTGGGTATCCAGCATTTTCTATGTGGGATACTTCATCTGGGAATACCCCACCACAGTCCTGATCCAGAAACTTCCCGTGGGGAGATATGTCGGGGCTAATATCGTTGCTTGGGGAATCGTGGTCGCTGCCACTGCTACCTGTGGCACGTATCACCAATTGCTTGCAGTTAGGTTCCTTACTGGCGCACTGGAAGCCACCATCTCCCCAGCTTTCGTATATATCACGTCTATGTGGTACACGAGAGACGAAATACCGAGTCGAATGGGGATTTCATATGCAGGAAACTCATTTGGCGGGGCTGTGGCAAGCATCTTGTCGTATGCCATCGGTCATATCAGTTATCATCTTAGCCCTTGGAAATGGCTATATATTGTAAGTTGCTCGGGGGTATGAGAGAATGAGACTAAGCTTCTATAGATTTTTGGCCTCTCTACATCTTTGTGGGGAGTGGGAGTTCTGCTATTCCTACCCGACTCGATCGATACAGCTGGCTTTCTTGATGACCAGGAAAAGCGGTGTGCAAACAATCGCGTAGAAGCTGCTGGTGCTGGTGGTATTTTATCAGTCAAGAACAAATGGAAAGTCGAACAGGCTGTTGAATGTCTTGTCGATCCGAAGACCTGGTTCTTTTTCTCCATCTCACTACTGACACAGGTAAGAGGCTCCTGCCCCAAAAGCATCGGTCTATTCAACAACTGTCCCAGATGCCAAATGGCGGCACTCAAAGCTTTGCCAATCTCGTCCTTACGGGCTTCGGCTTCACGAGTCTGCAATCAACCCTCGTTGGACTACCTGCATCTTTCATTTCTTTCAGCACAATTCTTATCACCGGCCGACTAGCCACCAAGAGCCGTGATATATCAACCATACTCATATCCGCTATGGCTATCCCTCCAATCGTCGGAAGTGCGCTTATGAACTGGGGCGGCCATCAAGGGGTGAAACTCATTGGGTATTACCTGTTAGGTTTCTCCCATGGAATCATACCGCTTACCATGTCCCTGATCGGGTCAAACGTCAGAGGCGTAACCAAGAAAATGACCATGACCGCTCTGATGTTCCTTGCTTTCTGCGCTGGCAATATGTTAGTCCCGTCTCGTACCTTTTGATATCCTGCGAGGAAAGACTGACATCCTACCAGTGCGGGTCCGCAGTTTTTCAGACATTCGGAAGCTCCACATTACCCAACCGCCATCATATCGATTGCGATATCGTATACCTTGGCCTCTCTATCGAGTATGGGTCTTCGTTTATATCTCGTTTGGGCCAATAAAAGCCGGGAAGCAGCTGAAGTCAGTGGCTACCGTGAAGTAGATTCTGCAGCAGTCCCTCACTCAATGGTCGGTTGTGAGGATCTCACCGATCTCAAGACTTCTGGTTTTCGATACATGCTATAACCGTGAACTACTGAGACAAGAGGACGACGTTTAGACAAGTGCTTATTTGGAAACATCCTATCCCAATGGCATAATTAGACCATATGTTTTTGACCCAGTACCCCATGATCCAATGTTGTGCAGAATACGCCAGCTGTACTAGCTATCATCAATTTTAAAGATATTCAGCATACTAGATTATAATATTAGATACCAAAGCGCCCCCGTTAACCGTATTTACCAAGTTGTCTGCATCTTTTGATACTCATTGGAGCTTAGACCTAAGTCGGCAAAGACCGGGTCATCTTGTTTCAAATGCGCAACACGAATGTGATCCTATGTTCATCAATACACTGACTCACTCCAGATCACCAGAAAAACTTACCTCATCTTCCAGCTTTTCTATTTCCTCCTCAGGCGTTTCTCTACCTTCCTCCTTCAGGTCCTTCCCTTCTTCCTCGATCGCCTTCCCCAGCGTCCCCAGTCCCTCGCCGATAAGCAGCAGCTGCGTATTAACATAATCCAAGAACTCGGGCTGCAGAGGGATCCATCTCAAGTCCCTGAACTTTTCTTTGAGGTCCTCAGGATACTCTGCTGTTTTCCCGAGCGACACGGGACTGGGAAACTTGGGATTCTTGACCGAGATAATATAGCTTCCCTGCTCATGGATCCCAAACTCCTTCTGCACTTCCCCGAGCTCGGGATATGTGGTCTGGTACGCGAGATGCGATGCCCGGGGTGTGGAAGTAATTGCGTATACGCCTTCCGCTACGGGAGTTGCTGCTGGGACATGTCTCGTGCTAGATTTCGCGCATCAGTACTAGCTAAGCTCCTTGAGAGGGAGGGAGGGAGAATCGAGAGAGAGGACGCACCCGGCTGTTTTAGTCTCGTGCTCGCTGCTGGCGAACTGCTCCCGGAGGTCCTTGATAGAAGACGAGGCCTTCTCCACGAATGCCCAGAATCGATCCCGGTGGCTCTTGGGAAGTACTTTCTTGGGCAATGCTAGCAGTCGAGCATTCCCAAGGTCCTCGAGCGTACCCTCGCCAAGCTTTGCACCGAGGGGAAGGGGTCGAAGAACGATGAAGCCGCGCGCTACATCGGAGATGGAGTGGGGATCTTCAACGCCGACTCGTGGTCGGAAGAAGAAATAGATGATCCCCTTTTCCAAAATGTTGGATGGGATTTCGGCCTCCCGCTCTTCATCTTTGACCACGGACTCACTTCTCTTGAGATTCCCCGGTTTCTGCTCTTGCTCTTCCTTGACTGCCTCTTTCGCTTCCTCTGTGTCGGCCGTCTTCTCGCCATTCTTCTCTTTGGCCTCCTCCTCTTTAATAGGCTTCTGCTCGCGATCCTTATCCGCATCCACCTGATCCCCCTTCTTCTCAGGCTTCTTGTCGGTTTGGTCGGGAACTTTTACGTTGTCTTTATTATCCTTGGTGCTCTCCTTGATTTCCTGTTGCTCCTTCTTCTCCTTCTTTGAAGGCCTACCACGCTTTGAAGGGGCAGAAGTGGCACTGTCAGAAGCGCGCTTCGTGCCAGCCTTGGTGGCTGGCTTTGGGGAGGACTTAGACCGGGTAGTTGGCATTTTGACTTATGCAAGGGCTTGTTAGCATTGTTCTTAATAAGAAAAGAAGGGAGATTAATCAGAACCGAAAAGAAATCACCCGCATTAATTTCTTCTGCAAGGAAGGCTTATGCTTAACTATTGACTCGGTTTCGGTTCTGGTAATATAACGGGTTATCATACTTCTGCAGTTTTGATCCGAAGATGATATCTAGATGATATGTAGATTAAGTTGAATGGATTGCTATCAACTCATTCAACTATAAGCCAATTGATCAATTTGAAAGATGTCAATATTGAGATCTTGAAAGTCGCACCACCAACGTCAACTTCACGCGCTCATCCAATGACGTCAATACTCACTTCAGTAAAATAACACGTGATTGCCGTTGTCTTCCCTGCCCCCCTTTCGAGGCCGATGGGTGGGAATGCAGCAAAGCTTCACCTCAGCAGTCCTCCGATTTAATTCTCATCCGTTCTGTCCGCAGATATCCCATCCACACATATCCGGATCCAGTTTTCAACCAACATCGCCACGCGATTGAATGACTGAACATGTCCTTCTTCCCCCTTCTCTTCAACCCAATTGCCTGGGTGCTGAGTGTATGGCTGCTGGTGATGCTGATAGCCATCGTCGTGAGTGGACGGTTCCGTCGTAATGCTTCTTGAAATCGTATATCTTCCCTCTGTGTCTCAACCACCCACCTCGTCATCCGCGACTTTCTTATACCCATAACCCTCCACAAACCCGTTCGTATCAACCACTCTCTCGAGTCCCAGTTTCTGCTGCTCAACCCATTCCCTAACCTTAGCTTTGTCGACCTTGACCCTCTCCACAGTCCCTTTCCCGCGTCCTGCGGCTTCCACGATTCCCATATCCCTCAGGACAGTCAAGCAATCCTCACCAAGTATCCAGGTCTCCCTGCTAATCTGCTCCACACTCACCAACCCCTTTCCCCTCTTCAGATCTGTCTCCTTAGTCTCTAATAGCCACCTCGCAATCTCCGCTCCCCAATACCGCTTATAACCCTTCTTTCCCAAATCACTGATCGGTTTTTCCGGACCGCCCAAGATTTCCTCTCTGCGTGAGATTTCGTAGGATACGCCCATCAATATAGAACCGAGGCCTTTCCGTTGCCAAGGGGGGAAGACCAGGATGCAAGCCAAATTGTTATTATCCCAAGACAGCTTCTCCTTCGAGAAGAAACCGACTATCTGCTGGTGATGCGTGGTAGGTGAAGTGTGCACAAGGAGGAAGTAGTTGAAACCCGCAACATCGAAGAAGACGGATTTATTATCCAGGAAGAGCTTTGCGAACAGACTGAGCTTCTGGCAGAATAGCTATACCATCCCAAATCCAACTATTAGCACAATCCCCAATATTTGTATGAGAGAAAGGGGAAAGTGAAAAAGGGCAGCACTCACAGTCTCAACCTCTCCATCCACCTCCCACACACTCCAGACCCCATCGCCATCCTCGCCCGCCCCATGAACGTACACCTTTCTCCCAGGGACTCCCTGCTCACACACCCTACAATGCCGCACCCAGTCCTCAACTACCTTCGCATAGGCAAAACATCTATTGCAGACATACAGCGTCTGCACCACTATCCCCTTGCCATCGCCATTGAGCGCCTTCTCCCCGATAATCTCCTTGGGGTACCAGCTCGGATACCAGCTCTTGAACATCACATCGCCAAACACCACATTGTCGATGTTCCGCTCTAGGGCCTTCTCTCTATCTATTCTCTCCGTGTGCGTCTTGCTCGCGTCGTTGCTATGGTCGTCCGCAGAGCGGGAGGGCGTGGTGAGAGACGCTCGTCGCTTGAGGAGACTGGTGGGCATTGATGCCGAGTCGGAAACGGCGAGCTTCGTTGATACTTATAGGAAGTTCCCCTTGTAGAAGGGTGGTGGACTCTTGGTTTGATTTTCCCCGTTTGCATGGAGGTTTGAGCAGTAGAAGAGGGGTTTGAGGTCGTGAGGCTTGTTGGCGGGGGAGAAATGTTGGTCGCATCATGGTTTCGCGACGCGTTCGGATCTGGTCACTGACGACTTCGTCATGAGCGTTTCGGCGGTGCGGGGGAAGTTGCAATGTATAGATTCTGATTTGGTCATTAGACTAGATACTACGCGATTCAGCAAATCGTGGTCCTGATCAGGAGATGGTAGAGGAAGAGCTTCGAGGAGACAGCTCTTTGCCAATACAACATCGATCATAGATCCAGAGGGCACAGCATTCATTACAAAAAGAGTCCGATGTGCACCGATATAAAGAGACATCTATCAATTACTACCATGCCGATCAATGCATGACTGCGCGCGCCGCGCAAGGCGGAAATACCGTGCGAAACTAATGTAGCAGCTCGATCCTCTCGAAAATGAAAGACAGGCGTTTGCCATGTCTATCTTTCTAGGAGATTCGAGATTGTAGGTGTAGTAGCAAGACAATATTTGTGAAGTGCCACCAAACCAAACCCCAACCCATTCTTTCAATGCACCATCTTGTATAAATGGATACCAGAAACCTCTCATCTTACATACCCTCGAACTCTCCCCCAAGGTCGTCCTCATCCAGGTCTCCATCTTGGATCTCCTTTGCCATCTCGCGTTCGCGTTCTCGTGCTTCTTGGGCGTTCTTGAGTTCGAGCCGGTGTTGATTCATTGGGAACCGCATTGCCTGGTAAGGTCAGTACAATCACTGCATAAAGATGGACAACACAACATACCTTTACACTCTCGTCGTGCAGTGCAAGACAAGCACGGATACGGTCATGGAATGCCTCTCCTGGCTCCCTCGTAGCGTAGACGTCTCCAACCTCCTTGCTCTTCATGAAACCCCTCTCACGGTCCAGAGAAGCCTCAATAACACCATCTCGAATAGCCTTAGCCACGATATATTCTGCAGACTCTTCACTCTCCAACTTCAAGCGTATGCAGATATCTCGGAGCGAGATTCGAGAGTATGACAAAGACATCATTCGAATACCGGTCTTGATGACATTTTGTCGGAGACGGAGAATCAGAGTGTAGGTTCCATCGCGTCTGAAGGTATCGCCATGTTGTCTAATTACGTTCTCGAACTCTCCTAGTAGACCCACCCGCACGGCTTGCACAAGTTGCAAGTATGGCTGCAAGGCGCGTTCAAGGCTAGGAATACGGAAAGTAGCACGATCAGGAATATCGCCCATCAGCAGTTCAACTACGAGCAGAAGCTTTGTTGCAGTTTGCGAGAATCCTGCAGCGCTGGGACTAGATGGGGCTTTTCTTGTTGCGGCCGTTAAATGCTCGTGGGCCTCGGTATATCGCAGTTGGATGGCTCGAATGCGGCCGAGGTAGTACAAGTAACGAGCAACCTGGTTGTTCGCCGCATTCTCAGGGAACTTGGTGTGAGATATGAGTAGATCGGCTTGAGCAATGTGAGATGTAGAGAGGTAATTTCGTAATAGCAGGACGATGACGGTAGATTGTGTGTCGATATCTTTACGCAAAACAGCTGTCCGGAGAGCAGAAAGCAGAGCAGGTCGAATTGATACAACCGGTGATGATGGAGAAGGCGGCAGAGGTGCCAGCTGCTCGCAGAACAACGAATAGTAGAAGTACACGCGGGCAGAGAGGGAATCCAAAGTCCGGCGGTTAAGAGAGTGTATGCGCTCAGCGAGGTGAGCAGAGAAGACAGCGCCTTTTTGGTTCAACTTGTTGTCCAGATAGTAAATTTGAATAAGAATACCCAGGAAGATGTCGACTTCGGGAATAATTTCTTTTGGCTCCTTCTTTCCGTTCTTCGCCTTCGACTCGTTATCGATCTCCATTTCGTTCGAAACCGACTTTCCAAATGCCACATGCTCTCTGTCAAGGGCGACAAGTAATGACTTCGCTGCAGGGCTTGTTGATTGGTATGTTTCGGCAATGACTTGGGCTAGGATATCGGGTGTGAGGCGTTTGCGAATAGAAGAGATAGACCGAAGGGCTCGAAGAGAGAATCTAGCATCAAACAGCGTCACAGCACGTTCCAATAATGGGAAGTTGCTCTTGATGTCTGCCGCGGAGAAAAAAGCATTAGCCTCTGCGAGATCGTGGAATAATGATATCTACGTACCTGATATAGCCTTGGCTACTGGGTCAACCTTGGGCGCGCCAGCATCTTCCTCATTTGTCTCCTCAGTACCATCCATAGCTACATCGCCATTAGAGTCCTTCGAAGGAGGAGTAGCGGACAGCTTGGTGCTCTTTGAGGGCGGTACGACGACTGTCATCTCCTCGTCGCCTTCTTTGGTCTTCTTGCCCTTTCCACCCTTCAACTGGTTGGGCGCATCATCCTTCATCTCAACATCATCGGCACCATTGATTCCATTCTCGACTGGATTACTCCCGTTCGTATGAGGAGTCTTGCCAGGCATATCGTGCTGTCGGCGTCTCAAGGCGCCCTTTCGTGGCGAAGAAGTTGTGTTTCGGTGACCGTGTTGATATGGTTGGAATGGGGGGAATTAGTGCGTGGCAACGTAAGGCGGCTCTCTAGGAGTGCGAAGCTTCGTTGATGGTCTTTGAAGGGGATTCGGGGAGGTAATGTTTCTGCGATGTTGACGAACAGGTAGGTAAAGCTACTTCTCGATTACAACAGGATGAAGCTCAAGAAGTACGGTGGCCGAGAAGTTCCAAGGTGGCACTTTCGCGTTACGAGTCGGTCGTGCCTGAAGCGGATCTCGTGAGCAGCGTGCAGATGATTCTTCCAGGTATATAAGATGCTTGTTGTATGGTCTGAAACCTTTTCCGCCTTTTTCGTTTAATAAATAGGGTATGACATTCTCACTTCTGTCATTGAAAAGCAATGGATGGCAAGATGCACGACCACGACATCAGCTGCAGCAACAACATCCACATTTCCAAAAAAGCTGACATCAAGTCACGTGATACTACATTTTAGACTGGAAGATTCAAAGGCGATCAAGTATTTGTATCAGAAAATGCAGCATACCACCCAAGGTAGAAAGCATAGTGCGGAAGTCCTATTGTGAAATCCCCATCAGACATCGTGTACACCGGATTGAACGCCCGTATATCCATGCCGAACCCATTCCACGCAGCTACACCAGCAACGCCAGCAACGCGAGACCCAACCCTAGATCTAACTCCAAGATGCCAGCCCTTAATCCATATTCTTGCCACCTGTAACCTTTGCGGCCTGGACAGCACTCATCTTGCTGATCCAAGCAGGAGCAGGCTGTATCTTCCTAACGGTACGGATCTCGTCGCTAGCGTAACCCGGGATGCGAATGTTGTAGCCACGCTCCAGAGTGAGTTGGATATCACGGATCTCGAGTATTTTAGAGCCGCGTTCTTTTGCATTCTTGCATGCTGCCTGTAGAACTTGATCGACGAATTGATCAGCAACGGTGAGGATGGACTGTAAACATATTAGTACTGCTCCAAGTACGCGTTTTCGCGTCGGAAATTGAAGTGCCGCTCTCAAGATGACAAGGAGCAAAGACACATACCTCTTCAACTTCTGGAGTCAAGCTCTCTCCACCTCCAAGTCCTTCCCCTCCGCCTGTAACCTGCCTAACAAGCTCGTCGAGTTTCTTCTTGCTCAAGACACGGTCACCGTCGCCCTCCAGGTTATATCCTGGTGTCTTTTGAAGAACTGGTTGAGACATGACTCCATTACCAACGTTGCTTGGGCCACCAGAGAAAGTCGGCCTTGGTTGTGCCATCGGGACGGGTTGTGGTAGTGCTGCTGCTCGTTCTGGGAGATGTTTGGGGATGGGCATTTTATTTGTCATGACATTTGGAGTCTCCCGTGGGGCTGACGGATGTGTATGCGAATGACCCATGACGTTTGGAGTTCCTGATGCTTGAGTGCTCGAGTATGTGCGTGCAGCGTTCTGTAACGCAGCTTGGTGGGTCAAAGGTCGTGGGACTTGCGGAGCTGTCGCTGATTGAGGGCCAACAGACTGCGCTGATTGTGGCACTGCAGACTGAGGCGAGTTATTCTGCATCGGCCGCCCTTGCATCTGAGTGTTGATCTGGGGTACTCCTGCCTCCTGCTTGATATTCTGAACCTGACCACCTTGGTGCTGGGGTATATTTGGATTGGAAGGTGCGTTTTGCATCTGGGGTGGTTGCGCATTTTGCTGTATAGGTGGTCTAGCTCCACCCATCTGCTGGTTTCGGGCTGCTTCAATAGCAGCATTGACTGTCTGGGTATTCTGGAGGGCGGGATTAGGTGGTTGTTGAAGATTCATCTGAGGTCGAACAGGTGCTTGTCCACCATTTTGGTTTCCGTTTCCTCCTTGTTGCGGTCCATTGCCTTGCTGATTAGCCTTCTGACCCGCCATCTTCTGTTGCTGCCGGAAAGTGTCCACAAAGTTCTTCGCTTCGCTGTGCGTCTTTTGAGCAGCTTCCTTCTTCTCCTTGAACTCTTTCTCTTCCTCTGGAGTGAAAGGTTTCCCTTCCTCGTTTCTCTTCTGTTGCATTGAGTCAAGAGCTGCCAGCCGTGCCGTTGCGCTCTCCATAGCAACAAGTCCTTTGACATATCTACCCTTCGCCTCCTGTAGCCATTTTGCAGCTTCTGGTGTACCTTGGGTAAGTTGTGGAGGGAGAACATATGGGAAATTGGTGATATGTTCCATTATCTTGGCGGAGATCTTGGGTTGCGGTCGTTGCTGAGCTCCGTTGGTATTCGCCCCATTGTTCTCTCCTCCTTGGCCTGGAGGTTGCCCTTGGCTAGCAGGCCTGGCTCCACCAGCTTGTTGAGCTGCTTGCGCTGCTTGCGCTGCCTGGGCTCTGAAGGTCTGTAACTTTTGAGTGAGAGTCTTCGAGAACTCAAAGAGTTTCCGCTTGGCTTCTTGATGTTGTTGCGTTTCCGGGCCATTGTTCTCAATCGATCCCCACAGAGCTCTTAGCCCAGCCTCCCATTTCTCCTTTTCCGCCTGTGTAAATTGCTCAGGTAGATTGCGCATCTGCTCTGGTCTGTACATCACCATCTGCCGTTTCTGTGGCTGCTGCTGCTGCTGCTGCTGCTGCCCCCCGTTGGGTTGGCCTTGGGCGGGCTGGCCCTGCGCGCCATTGTTCATAGTGCCAGATGTCGACTTTTCGAGCAGAATATGGTATTAGAGGAATGCTTTTAAAGCCTCGTATGGATATGATAGCGATACTGTCGACAGGTAATAATGCTCCAACGGAGTCGTAGTGGATGTTCTCAATGTTCAGTCGCATGGAGTGAAGCCCGAACTTCTTGAAGTACGGCGCCGCTGCTTAAACTGGTTAGTGCAGAAACGACAGTGGCAGCCTCATCGAAGTACGGAGTACAGTAGCGACGATCTTCAATGTTTGACTCTCGATGCGACGTATATGAACTCTTCGAAATTATAAATATGAAAAGAAGGGCTGAAGCGGCAGTGAATGCTTGATGCATTTGACAGTTGATGTAGTCAATGTGACTGCAAAAACTAGCAGAGCGATATCGAAAACTCCAAGTCGGAAGATCTCGAACGCAAGGAAATAGGATTGGAGAGACCGGCAATCTGATAATGGATATTCCTGTTATTTTATGAGCTGCTCAAGTAGCTGGCTGCCTATACAATCAAACTGCTCTCCTCCTATTGTGGGAGGAGTAGATCTCTCCTATGAACGTACTTGGATGGCACTTGAAACTTGATCATCATAAATGACAAGCTGATATCTCCAGTTGCAAAACCTCAATATGCGTCTTCTACTCGCTCAGTCTATTACACAGAAATGTTTGCTGAGGCGGGCCGTCAACAGGTAGAATTGAAGTTGGGTCTAGTAATGGACATATAGGCCATTCAATAGATACTTTGTTTTTGGATAGTATCAAGCCCGATAATACCAGTCACGGAACAAAATCATCTACTTCTGTTTAATCGCTATTCTGGAGCGCTGCTAGGTGTCACCTACCTAAGTATGTACAGCTAACACATGTTGTACAACCCTTTCCACTGCTTCTTGTTATCTCTATTTACTTATCATGCGACACCTCTTCCCCATTTTCAAATTTCCAGAAGTTTTTGGTCTTGAAGATTGAAAGAGCATGGTATCTCATAATCATCGAGAAGTTATAGGTGACAAAGTGTCCCACCAGATTACCCATGGCATCCAGAAGCCTACTTAATTGCTTGAATATTCAGAAAGCAAACAATAATAAGGGTCCACGAGTATGGTATCTGTTCAATATCCCAGAAACGATCCAAATTCAATCATTCAAAATCCCCAAACTGAAGCCTGTGGTACCAGAAAACAAAAACTGCGGATTGATCCTGCAATGCGTCGCTTTACCAGCAAGAAAAGGGGTTGTGACTACAAGCCCATTCTATACATCTGCCTCGGATTTCTCTAAGAACCCAGATGCCTTGTATGGCTTCCTTTCCGAGGTGGTTCCAGAGAGCGATGTGGTGATATCTCGCGGCTCAGCGTCCGTTCCGTTTTCGGGTGTCATCCGGAAAGAAATATGGAGGCTGTGCTTAAGCAAGGAACTTGCAATGGGTTGCAAGATACTTGTGTTAGATACGAATAAATCCTAGAAAATAGACTTGGATTTGCGCAACATTTTAGCTGAAACATCTTCACCCATATCTGATTCCGGGTTAGAAGTACTTCATATCGCTACTGTATCAATACTTATATGCTATATAGTTAATCGTCAGAGCCAGAGGGAAACGGGAGAGTGCGTGAGATGAGATACCCAGGTTAGGAACTGACTCGGGAAACAGATATAGAGAAGTAGTTGATGTCTTTATATGAAGCAAAAAGCAGGCTGTCTAGTTCGCTATGCTGAGTACCCTATCCCAAATGCAGTGCTTAGGTAATTTCGCTCTATACAATGGACATTTGTGTGCCCAACCAAATGATCCACCCAATGCTAAGTATCTTCATCAGTCATCAGCAGTCCATGAGATCGACCGTAACTCGTCATGTCGTAAATCGTGCAATGCTGTCGTCGCAGACGAATCAATCAATCATCCTCCTCGGAATCAACTTCCATAACCTGCTCATAATAAGGTAACTGACTGAGGCCTTGATCCTCATTCGGCACATCAAAAACCTCCTCGCAGTATTCTGGCTCCTCCAACTCCTCGATCCTAGCCGGAGGATCATCAAATATCAGACTAGACCTCTCCCCAACTCTCCGCCTGAGTCTTCTGGCACTCGAGCCAGCCTCATTAGCATCAAACAGCACGGGCTGGAGGTCCTCGTTATCGGTATCACTTCCAATACTCTGTGCCAAGCTTCGCTTCTGCACACTCCCAGAGCTTCTCCTCTTCCTCCTCTTCTCCTCCCTCCTTCTCTCCAGGTAAGCCTGCATTTCCGCTTCATCACTATTGAAATGCAGATCTCGTATCCCATGTAAAATTCCCGGGTCGAGGTCTCCTTCCTTAACAGAGCGGGCACGATCGGATTCCGCATCTTCGTATTGAAAGGGCCTGATTATAGATGCGGCATCGGAGTCGAAGGCCTCGTAGTCGTCTTCATCAAATTCCTCCAAAGTGAAATTCCCTTCGCTGACGATCCGTGTACGGACTGGGGGTTTCGAAGGGGACGATGTGAGGTACGTCCCGGGTGAGGGGCTACGTGATCGAGGGGGAGGGTCGTCGGCTTCTGAAGAAGATGAGGAATGCATGGAGGATGCTGGGGAGGAGGAACGAGGGGAAAGCTCGGAGTCCAGTGGTTGGAAGGGATTGTAGGAGAACGTGGGCCCATTGCCATTAGGTCTGATTGCGTCATGCAGGTCTGTAGAGATTTTGCGGGAGAAATTCATTCCATTGCGTCGATTCTTCAGATTGAAGAAAGTAGACGTTATCGGTGTATCAGGCGGAGAGGAAGGTCTTGCTTGCTGGGCAAGATTGAAATCGGGAGTCGTAGGCCGCATTGCCATTGTGTCCAGGGCTAGAATCAAGTCTTATTCGCTTGTTGGGTTTTTCTTGCGTGTCGAGCTCAAGGCGTCAGCGCCGGTAGTAGGTATCTCCAGCAGGGAGAAGGCAGACGAGGAGGATTGCAGGTCATGATAAGCGGCAGGGGAGCTCAGGCACGAATGGGCCTTGTGTCGTTTGGATCCAATTCTTAGGCCCTTCGTCTTAATCCGCGAGGATTAAAGGGGCTGCCAGGCAACGTCCGGATCTGAGAAGAGAGTTGTTACGTGTTTTCGAGTCTCTGTCTGCTCAATTGATCCTCGGGTGGATGTGCAAGGATAAGCGGCCAGTCGATCAGGGATTGCAAGGCGGCCAATAAACGACGGAATTGCTGATGGGGATGGAAGAATGGGTGGTCTCTGCTTGTCTAAGACCCCAAGATAATAAAAAATGCGGGGCCTGTCTCGGGAGGTAGAAAGCAATAATTACTTCGTAGAAAGGGGGAGATCGTAGAAAGCGGAATTTTTAAAGAAGTATTTTGGAGGAGGGCGAACGTGCGTGCCGCCAGCCGACTGACTTTATATACTTTTCCCTCCCCCTGCTCTCGAAAAATGCTGCACGTCAATCAGAGGTAAATGCGGCGCCTTCTGCAAGACCTAAATCGAGAATAAATGGGGAAGAACTGGGGCCGCGGTACTGGATTTGTGTGTGGAATAGTCGTGATAGGCAACTTGCAAAGGGAATCAACGGGATTCAGCCTTTCGTTGGGCGACTTGGGCAGCAATGCTCTAGGGCACCCCTTGCCACCGGAGGCCCTTCTTCTTCGTGGGGTCGAAAAAGATCACGAATCCTTTCGCCAGACTGTTGGCGTACCTCTGCGACGTGATGAAGCGCCGAGCCGCTGGCATTTTTATAAATTAAGGGAAGGGTTTTGATGATGCGTTGGCAGTCCTTGCGAATTTCGGGACAGGCGATGATTTGATCTCGCGGGGACGGATTAATGCTGGGAGGCAGAGCTCTTGTTTGTCGGTCCAATTGTATGTGGAGGTTGCGGCGTGGAGAAAGAATGGGAGAGTTGGTTTGGCCATTGGGGCCCATCCTGGGACGGGCCTTGATATTTGCGGACTGAGGCAGCAGTGTCAAAAGTCAGGCAGCACATATGACGAGTGTTAACGCCTCAGGCTCTCACATCGAGGTGGAACTACAAGACGGTCATGTGATCGGTCAATCGCGTACGCCCGACGACGACCGCGTTTGACTGTTTATATGTAGGTACCTAGGTAGGTATTCTGATGACCTTTGCCTCGATAAATATCCCCTGTCGATCATGTCTCTGCTAGAACGGCATCTTGAGCAGATCTCGCTCTCTTCCGAATCAATCGCAACACTCCCGTATGTCCAATTCCCTATACCGCATCTCTCTACTACCTATTGACCCCACCAAGTTTCCCCCCTCCAAAGATCTTTACAAATGCGCTCCTCTCCACCCACGACATCACATCGCTGATTCGAGACACCGAACCCCATGAACGAGCTCTCTTCTCTGTTCCACCACCCCCACCCCCTCCCTCATCTTCCGCGCCCTACCCTGAAAAGTCAAACAATCGCCGTCAAACTGTCTTCAATGTCGCGTCAGGAGAAGTGACAACTGGTACTGGAGGATCTGCTCGCGCGCCCAGGAGGAATACTGCTGTTGCAGCAGTTCTGGGTCCTGAATTACATTCCGCGGTCAGGAAGACCGAAGGGAGAGGAGAGGTAGACATTGAGGTCTTGTTGCGTGGGGCAGAGAAATTAAATAGTGTGTACTCCCTACCGGGTGTCCCAAAACGGATTGAAGGTTTGAGGGTAAGGCATGCACAGTTGATATCTAGTTTGGCGCACTATGAGCAGAAGGTTGCGAAACAGACGAGGGAGCTGGAGAGGATAAATAGGGGGGATGGGTGGAGTGCAGATGAGGACTTTGATGATGAGGGGGAGAGGATCCCGGGTACGGACGCAGAAGAGGAGTTTGAAGTGACAGACGAAGATTTGAGGCGGGAAGAGGAGGAAATTAGGGAGCTAGAGAGGAGGAAGAGGGAGTTAGAGGATAGAGTTAGTGGGATGGAGAGGGATTTGGGTGGACTCCTTAGGTGATCGGGCTGGACCAGCTTGCATGATTGTGGTCCCGAAGCGTGCCTTTCCGCACATGGCACCAGCATACTTGAGTTCCATCCATAAGCCGAGGGCTGGTACCCGTAGTGGGACAGACAAGACACCGGGGAGAAGGATGGCAGTACTCGAGGCGTTTGATACCCAGAAGAAATCCAATTACGACTCACGATTAGTACAGGTATCTTCTTCCCATTTTCTTTTCTTTATGTTTCTATGTTCTTCACGTACTCTCTGCATCGAACCCCTAAACGTCAACCTTGATCTCGATCTATCTGGCCACGGACACACCAGCCACCACGTCAATGGGCGTTCAAGGCTTCGAGTATGTATGCAAGGCAAAAGGGGAATTTTTGTCTCCATTAGAAGCTTGACGAAACAATCTTCCCCCCACCAGCATGGCAGTATTACGCCGCCTCTATACACTACCTTAATTCCAAGGGGTTTTGGGTAATGCATAGCGGCGAGCTTTAGAGGTTGATTTGCCATTGTATTTCAGTACTAGGATTCGGCTTCACTGTGCTGCTATTTATATTCTGTGACGCTTATGATTCCATGACTATTCCTCGGCGTTGCAGCGAAGGAGTAGAAACATCTCCTCCGGATCCCTGATGATTTTGACTGTATTGATATCTAAAAGTATTGAAGATTGTTGTTATTCAAATTCGCCCTTTATCTTTGATGACTTCAAGTTCCTTGATGCGGGGAGCCCAGGGAATTTGTGAAAATAAGACAAGATAAGTTACCCCGTGAGACCTAATCCTGTCTTCAGAATGCTAAGTTTGAATGTATAGATCTATAGTGGTAGCCAGCTCAGCATCGTCTCAAACTGAGAAAATATTCTACGTAAAGCTGATCTTTCAAAAGAGAGCTCCCATTCAAATCAAATTAGGTGATATAGGCTAAGTCAAAGAGGTAGAGTTCATTTATGTTTGTCTCTGGTCAAGCTTATGCATCGTTATGGCGTGTCTGGCTTTATTGATTCATGGTATTAGAACGCGTTCTAATTCAAGTTTAGACTCGTTTCCCAGCCTCAAGATGAAAGATCAAAAATCTTATTCAATCAGTGAATTGATTTTCCGGAATGTCGTCTCTCCTCTGCTATTGTTGGCTATAGGACAATGGTTTTCGGATTGCCAAGACTTTCGATATTCAATGTCTAAATTTGTAGATCTGTAGAGTGCGAATGATCCTTGAAGTCAGGTCAGGGCACATGGATTTTACAGACACAAATAACGTGCTCGCAAATTCCACAGAAAATACGCATTGTCTTTAGCAATTGAGAATAATGGTATTGTCCTAAAGAGAGCTTCGACGATAATAGACCTTTGTTTACTCGTCAATATCACAATACCACAATACCAACACAAGGTGCGTAAAGGTACACGAGCTACCCAGCACAATAACACTCCACACAATAGCAACAACACAATAGCAAGCTGGTATTATTCACCCACCAGCTCCTCCTACGCTTAAGCGCCCTCCTCCTCGCGTCAGAGCATTTACTTTTCTCTTAAGCTTTCCATTTCTCCAACTCTCACAAACCAATCCTTCTTCCAACTTCGATAAACCAATCCTTCTTCCAACTCCGATAAACCAATCTTTCTTCCCTTCTCGCACAACAACTCGACTCTCAAAGTCAAACAACCTTCTACTGCAAAACCAGACGCGTCCATCTTCCAGTTGTGAATATTCTCTCTGGAAGAAGGGATCTTGACTTTCTAGTAAAGTTCCTTTTATTTTCAAGCTCACGGAAAGCCAAACTCCTTGTTTACTTCTCCTTCTTACCCAAATCTCCCATCAACATAGAACGACTTGTTCTCTCTCTTGTTTACTTCCCCTTCTATCCACACTTTCCATCGACATAGAACGACTTGTTCTCTTGTTTACTCCTCCTCCTATCCACACTTCCCATCGACATAGAACTACTTGTTCTCTCAGATTGATTCTACATCTTTCATCAAGAGTTAGAAGAAAGTAGGTACAAAGATCAACTGTCGTACTTTCATAGCAATGCCTGCTAACACATCCGCAGTAACTCTCAAGATGGTCCGAATCAACGACGAAAGCATCCTCAAAGGACTGGACCTTGAGGATGCCAAGTCAATTAGAAAAGTTATGACCGCCCTGGAGTACCGCCTTACGCACTGTGTTCTGAACGCCAGCGCTGCCGAATTGATCGAGCTGGAATCCAGCCAGAATTCTTTGGTAAACTCTATCATGATCGACATCTCGACCACTTCCAAAACCCACCCACTTCTTCTCGAAGCTGCACTGCGCTTCATCTCATCTAGATATCAAAACGATGGAGGTGTTATCGCTGCAGCAGAGGAGCTTGAAACACTTGCGACTGCCTATGTGCTTTCAAAACCCACAGTTGATTCGAAGGCTTACGAAGAAGCTGAGAGGCGTATGGAAAAGATCAGAGGCAAAACAGATATTTTGCGAATCAGACAACGACTCCCTGAACTGGTATGTATTATCAATCTCATGCTCCAAAGCTCGACATTGCTGACTCCGATAGGCTCCTGGCGCTTTTTGCGTACAGATATTCGGTGCTCGACAAGCCTGTGAAATCGAAGCCATGGCCGTGAAAGTTGGCGGCGACATCCGCGATATACCACCACAGGTTCAACTTGGACTTCAGCCTGTTCCTGACGGACCCACGGGCCTGAACTTTGGTCAGTGCGAGCACTGTATCAGAAGAAAATTGAGTTGCGATCGCAAAGAGCCGAAATGTACTGCTTGCAGATACACTTGGAGCGATTGCCAATACCCTGTTCCTACTCCTGAAGAGGAACTTCATGAATCCAACGATGCTGCGAAGAAAGCAACTCAGCAGAAGGATAAAGTAAGTAATTCCACTTTTCCATCATTCTAGGCGGCTTCTGCGGGCTTGAGCTAATCAAACTTCCTACAGGTTGTTGAGGTCTCCAGTGACTCCTCGCTTTCTGAACTTGACATTGATAGCGATGTCTCCGAACCCCAGCCTCAGTCAACTCGAACCCGAAGTGGGAAGAAGGTGCAAAAGCCTGTGGCCCCCAAAAATACAACTAAGCCAAAGCCAAAGGCCGGCAGCAAAACCACTATGGCCCCTCCTCCCAAGCCACAGACTCAAGGCAAGAAGCGCAATCTGGATACTATAACTGTCCAAGACGAACCAAACACAGAAGATGATGAGCAAGCCACTAAGCCGCCTGCCTCAAAGAAGCGCAAGGCTTTACCTGCGGCTCCCCAGAACACCGCAAAGCCAAAGGCTGATACTCAAATTGTTTCTAAGCCCATTTCACCCAAACCAAGAACCCGCAGCACGAAGCGGAACTTGGATACCACAAATGTCGAAAAGGAACCAACTCCAGAAGAGGATGAACAGACGACTATGCTCCCTGCATCAAAGAAGCGTAAGGCGCAAGCTGCAGTTCCAGAAGATGATGAACAAACCACTACGCTCACTACATCAAAGAAGCGCAAAGCTCAATCTGCAGTTCCAGAAGATGATGAACAACCCACTATGCTCACTGCATCAAAGAAGCGTAAGGCTCAAGCTGCAGTTCCAGAAGACGATGAACAAATCACTACGCTCACTGCTTCGAAGAAGCGCAAGGCTCAATCTGCAGTTCCAGAAGGCAAAGAACAGAGAACTATGCTCCCTTCCTCAAAGGATGGCAAGCTTCAGTCTGCAATTTCCCAGAACAACACAAAGCCAAAGGCTGATACTCAAACTACTGAGTCCCTGTTCACCATGCCCCAAACTCGAAGCAAAAAGAGGAAGTTGGATACTATGACTGTCCAAGAGGACGAAAGTCTACAAGACAATGAGAAAACCACAATGCACGCTCCCTCGAAGAATCAGAAGCCAGCAGCCGCAACCAAGCCACAAGGTTCTACGAAGACACAAGCTGCCACAAAGACGAAAGCTGCTACGAAGCCACAAGACGAGGAAGACGAAAGCGAGGAAGATTCAGAGCCGCAAACCAAGCGTCTGCGTTCTGGCAGGAAAGCGGCTGGTAGACCTCCCACTGCACGGTCTGCACCCACTGCACCCACTGCCCCCACTGCCCTCCCTGCCCCCGCTGCCCTCCCTGCCCCCACGCAGCCCTCCCGTGGCAGACCTGTCCAAAATCATGCTGGACAGAAGCTATGCAACACTTGCCAGGCTTGGAAGAACCCTGGAGACTTCGCTCTCAAACAGCACTCGAAGATCCCCGGAGCTAGGGTTGGGTATTGTGTCCGCTGCCAAATCAAAAAGCAAGAGAACAACAGAGCAAAGGCACAAGCCAAGAAACAGAGAATGGCCCAACAGAACGGAACGGCTCTCACCGATGATAATGATGAAGATACTGAAGATCAAGTCCAAGACAGCAAGCCGACCATGACTTCAGCCCCAGGCACTACCTTGAAGAATATCGCCGAGGAGAATGAAGGAGAGAGCGTGGTGTCTGCTGACGAGCATGGACCAATTATCAAAAAAGAGCGCGTTGAAGAAGAGGACCTATACGGTATTTCAGATGATGATCGTCCAGCCGTTACTTCAGGCCGAGGCACTACTTTGGAGACTATTGCTGAGGAGAGCGAAGAAGAGAGCGTGGTGACTGCTGACGCGCATGGACCAATCATCAAAAAAGAGCGCGTTGAGGAAGAGGACCTATACGGTGTTTCAGACGACGATCGCCCGGCCGTTACTTCAGCCCCCGGCCAGTCCTTGGAGGATATTGCTGAAGAGGGTGAGAATGAGTACGATCCTCCAGACGACATATTCTATTCTGCTGAGGGGGATTACATGAACGATGAAGAGCTCGCTCGTAGTGGACTTCTTCACGATGGCTCAGGAGATGCGCAGGAGGCGTTTGGAGCTGGTCAAGGAGAAGTTTAGACTGAAAAATAGGGGCCACGAGGTTCAGCTCGACGAAGATATATTGAGGTTCAGTGGGTTGCATATGGAGTGAGGAAAGCAGATCAGACATTTCACGGGGCTTCGTCAGATTGTTAAGGATCGTGCTGGACCTAGATTGCTCCGAGGAGGTTAGATATTAGTTTGTTTTCTTTGATTCGAATGCTGGACATTTCGAAAAAAGACATCACGGAAAGCAAACTTCGACACATGGAATTCTCAAATTGCAGTCTAGTTAAATAAATTCATTCAACCATCATGTCATTTCTCTCCACTCTTTGATATTTACAATTTTCAACACTATTCTGCCTGTCTAGTCGACGAACTGAAATCGCATGCACGGCTCTCCTTGAATACAGTTGATGAATACTATTCCTTTCAGCATCTTCGGCGTCCTTAGAGATACTTCTGCCGCAAGTCTACAAAGAGAAGAGGATTTCCACCGGTTTGTCTTTAAGTCTGTTAATCAGCTCAAGATGGTTCGATACAACAATTCCTCCGTCCTTCGACGACTTGACCTCGATAATATCAAATCAATCAAAAATATTATGAGCGCCCTGGCCTTTGCCTTGGACAAGTCTTCTACCGAAGCCGCACATAAATATGGGCTAGATGTTGCTCTTGGAAAGATGGAGAGCGTATGGGTAGAATATATCTTGAATGCCATCAAGAGAAGCGCGAACTACACCCTGTTGAGAGACGCGATTACGCGTTTTGTTGAAAGCAGGTCGGAGCCAAAACAGCGCATCCTCCAAGCAATTACAGAACTTGAGAGTCTCGCCGATGAACAAGTCTTGACCGTGCCGGAATTTCATCTAGAAGAATACGAGGAGGCTTTGAAGCGCTTCGAGGCACTGCCTCCCCTGATCCAACCTACGGTTGAAGAGATACAGGTAGGATATATTCCTCCCGCTTTGCAAGACCCAACTAAGCTGTTTGTAGCCGTCTACTCCATTGCCAAAGAAGAGAGGAAGGCCCAGAAAGAATGCGAGGCTGTTATTGGAGAACCAATCCGAGAATGGGCCTACACTTGAACCTGTCAAACCTACACTTGAACCTGCCAAACCTACACCTGAACCTGCCGAGCATACATCTGAACCCGCTGCAAAGGTATGATATGACTACTACTCCCTTGATTCAAAACTATGACTAATTTTTGGTCAAACTGGGAAGATTCCTAAAAAGATGGGAAGACCTCGAAAAAGCGATGTTCTGCCTTTGGAAGAGCAGGTCGAGAACAAGCCCACACTTGAATCTGTCAAACCTGCTATACTCGAAGCTGCCAAATCTACACTTGAAGCCATCCAGGTATGAGAGAGTTATTATTCCTTTATTTTAAGATCCAAACTAATTTGCAGCCATTGCAAAAAATTCCAAAAAAGATGGGAAGACCTCGAAAGACGGAGATTCTACCTTTGGAGGAGCAGGCTGAGAACAAGCTCATACCCGAACCGGCTATGGCTATACCTCAAGCTGCCGAGGTATGACATGATTGTTACTCCTATTTTAAAAGCCTTGAACTAATTTATAGCCAAAGGTCAAAATCCCCAAGAAGAGGGGAAGACCACCAAAGAACCGCCAGACGGCTTTGGGGGAGCAAGTCCAGAAGCCTACACTTGACACTGTTCAGGTATGATATGGCTGTAACCCTTCTAATTCAAGTCTTAGAACTAATTTACTTTGCAGGCAACAGATAAAATCCCAAAGAAATTGGGAAGGCCACCGACCAAGCAACGAGTAGCTTCAGAAACTCAAATTAGGAAGGAGCCAAAGCTCAGAGCCCTCCTGGTATGTTAAAATTCTCCTAGCATTCCCATATCTAAGACTGAAGATTCTGCAGCCAAAACCCCCAGCTACAGCACAGAGTGGAAGCTTCCAGCAGAACGTAGAGAATCTGGCCAAATATGGAGTCGAGCAGGTAATAGCAATATTATTCTTTTGTTTGATTTCTCAAAAGTTGGCTAATGAATCTGCTTTATAGCTAGAGACCGAAGTTCCACAAGAGATTGAAAGCCCTCCGAAAAAAGCTCGGTTTACAGAGGAGCAGGAAGGTAATATGGTTAAGGTGTGAATCAACTCCTCGAGACTCATGGGATAGAATCTAATGCTTTTATAGCCAACAAATCCTGCGCCAAAGAAAAGGGGAAGACCGCCAAAGAACCGGAACCTGAACAATGGAGCTGGACACTATGAGATGTAAAGGAGATATACTACTAGGACCCAAAAGGAAGCCAAAGAGAAGTTGCCGGAGGAGGGGTTGGAAGGAAATGGAGGATCATTGAATGATTGCTGATTTTCTAGAGCCATTGGAAATGCTAGGAGTTTTGTACAAGTATTACTGGAGCCTCATACTGGGGGATAGGTAGCTAGGTAGGTAAGGAAGATAAACTACGTCTAGCAATTTTGATTCCCTGCCCAATAAACCCCTAGGTTCCTACAATGTTTTCAAGCTGAATATGTTTCTGATGCCGCCACTATTATACTCAAATCAGGATGCTCTCCTGCTATTATAATCGCAGACCAAAATCCCCTAGCAGATTGCTAATATTGTTCTCCTTAAAATATTCCTCGAATTTCAAGAACACCGGTGTTACAACAGTCAGCTCCGCCATATCGCCGCGCTCATGCTAATTAAGCTGAGGACCGGCATGATGTGTTCAAGTATATGTCCCGAGCGGCAACAGGGATATAGAGAATGTGGGTTACTGTATTGGCTCGACTTGATTTTGAAGGTATCGAAAGGGCTGGTTTTTCTATCTTCGTATCTTTCTAGTGCACTAATGTAGGACTTGCTTATTAGTGCGGTTAAGGAGTATTGTGGTTGCTAGGTATACCTTTACTGTTTGAAATTTCTAGATATTTTCGGTCCGAATTATCTTGAGGAGTCGAACTACAGCCAGAGCTGAGGATTTGAGATCTTGAAGCTCATTGGGATGATTAGATTGGCTCTGATACTTTGTTTTTTGTGTTGCATTTGGGATTTGCTGTCTCTAGAGCTAGCAGAAGATGATGACAGTTCTGTTAGGCTTTTATGAATATCTCTCAGGCTGATGTGTTTTGTTGCAATAAGTCTGAATTTGGGTATGGCGGATAGGTTTGGTTAGGAAAGAAGGGAGTGTATCTTAGAGTCTTCATTCTCTGCAAGTCATTTCGGGTCATGCGCAGTGAGAGGATATATCTCTAATGGACTGCATGCAGATAGAGGCCAACGCCCAGATCCAGTTCAAGCCATGTGGCGAGAAGATCAAGCAGATTTGTTAGATAGCATGATGTGAATCTACAGTATCCTTGAGTTTTTGCACAGCAAATTGACTCCAAGGACGAAAATCGTATTCGTTATCTAGAGTCCCAGTGTGGCCCACTGCCTCCCCTTTTTAGCCGAGCCTGAAGCCTGAAATCACGAAGGGAACACCACACTTGGATGACATCGTGGCGACTCATCGCTGATCTAATCAATCTTGATACCCACCTGTCCGATTTTCCTCAATCCAAAAGCAACAACTCCCAAGACCAACACGTTGGCAGCAAAACACAACCAAAAAGTTACCCTATAGCCGTCCATCAAAGTTTCAACATGAGGACCCTTCTCGTTCAAGGTCACACTGGAAGCAACTACAGCGGTGATAGCCAGGCCGACGCTGTTCCCAATATTGCTGATGGTATTGAATACCCCACCAGCAAGGCCATGAGTCTGAGGAGGAAACACAGATGTGATCAACAGATTGGCAACGGTAAAGAGCACATCTGCACAGATTGGCGTACAAGCAGTGGCAATGAAAGCACACGTCCAATACGACCACTCAGGCTTAACAATGGCCATGAGTAGAGGAGACACTGCCGTTATAGATGCTGACACAAGAACCAGGATATCCGCCCTCACACGTTTCACCAGCCAGCCGGTGAGGAAGTTCGTTGCAGCGCCAGTGATAACCATAGGGAGAAAGCGGATAGAAGTCTGAATTGCCGACAAAGATTGGACGGACTGATAAAAAAGGGTCAAGAAGTACTCGATTGCATTGAAGACACCCCATACAATGAAGACGGTTATACAAAGGGAGGTGAAAACCCGGTTCGTCCAGAGAGACGGCGGGATGATGACTTTGTGGCCAAGCCGCTCTTGTCTGCGGACATAGAAGACAAATGCGGGAATAAGGGCAACGGCAATGGAGAAGAGCGTGATCGGAGCTGGTTCCAGGAACCGGGAACTACCACCTGCAAGGACCGAGAGCACATACGAGAACATGCCGAGGGAGGTACTGAGAAGCAGGCAGCCAATCCAATCGATCTCGCTCTTCAGTCGCTTCAAAATCGTAGAGAGCGATTGGGTTTCGGAGACAGGATCCGCCGGGATACCAAAGATAGAGATAAGGAAGATCACAAAGGTCAGGATAGCCCCGATGTAGTATCCAAATCGCCAACCAATACTCTGGACGAAGATGCCACCAAGTACAAGCCCAATGGAGTATCCAACCGGCTGGCCAGCGCCAAGACAAGCAAATGCAGTGTTGCGCCAAGAGCCAACTGGAATGTTCCTCGTGATAATAAGGACCGAGGAAGGGAGGCATAGAGATAAAGCCAGACCTTGAACAGCGCGGAATAGGATGAGCTCGATACCCGTCTTACAAACACCGCAAGCAATTGTCGTCAACGTCAGGAAGAAGGCCCCGACAAGAAACATCTTGCGCCCGCCCACAACATCTGTAATTGAGCCACAGATGAGGAGGGTGCAGCCACATGCCAGAGAGTTCACCGAAGCAGGCCAGAGTAGCAGGGCACTGGAAAGCTCCAGGTCACGTGCCATGGTTGGCAGACAGACGACCAGTATTCCTGCCAACATGCTGTTGACGAGGGTGATGCAAGCGACATTGCTGACAATGGCTATTGTCCTCCATCTCGAGAGGGATGAGGCGTTGACATTCTTCAGAGATGGAGAGGAGGGCTTGGCTTCCTCGAGACGCTGAACATCGGGTCTTTGAAGAGATTTGGGGCCGTGAGCAGGTGCCGGATATACGATTGGCTCCAACTCAATGGCTCCAAGGGCGTCCGTCGAGACCTCGAGACTGGTTGTGGTGCGTGACATGGAGACGGGAGAGACTGATCGGGAGAAGGTAGCTGTGGTTCACCAAAGGATGAAGGTCCTGGGGGAGGTCCTAGCCTCATATAAACCCTCACCTATGATACGATCAATAGCCAAAGTGGCGAAATACGAAGAGATATAAGAGGTATGAGTGCAGAGTAAGCTTACATTACCCAAGATGGCAGCTGAGTAGCCATTCCAGTCATAGCAGCGGTGAAGCGACAAGCGACAAGCGACAGGGGCAAGGGGCTATCTTATTTGAAACCTCAGGCAGGAACACGTAGCTGAGTCAGCACACAGTCAGCAGCCGCTAGCACTGGGCCAAAGTCAACGACATCTCAACTTTCTTCTCCTTTCCCTCGTGGAGGTCCGGCCAGGACTCCTCCCGGCACTCATCCAGCACTTTCTTGGGTCCGCAACAGTCTCTGAGGTGTATTTTCCATTTCTATAGGAAAATGCGAAACCACCGGCGCTGAAAAATTGCAAACCGCCGAACACTCTCACCCCTATCTACTACATGCGTGTTTCAATGCCAGCTACGTCTCCCGACTCTCCTTGATGGCCACCATTTTCTTCATCACCTCTCTCTCCTCGAACTCTTTCCTGAGAATCACTATTATTCTCAATCAAGTCATTGATTTGGTCAATGAGTTCCGGAAGACGCCTATAGACGGCATGGAGGGCAGAAACCGTGCGCTTCCCCGCTGTCTGGCTTGATGTGGATATTCCCGTGTCCAAGTGTTTCTTTCCCATCTCGGTGGCTGTGCCAGCAAATTTCTGGTTGTGCTCTTCAGCGATTATTTTCCAATCTTGGCCGGTCAGGCGTCTGCGTGTCAGCCTGACCCTGGACAAGATCTGCGCCTTGAGATGGTTGAGCTCGGTCTCCGTCCACTTACGCTTGTTTGGATTAGCCCTGTAGTCGGGGTCAACTTTGAATAAGCGGCGAAGAGTTTGGCTACGCCATTTATTTCCTTCGGAGATCCATTTGGAATCGTCCCACTTGTCCTCGTGGGCACCCGGGAAGAATCTTTCGTGGATATTGCCTTCGGAGTCTTTGAGAGACAACCTGAGCTTTCCTGGCTCTCTGATACCCTTCCGGATTGGCCTGCGATCAATTCGATTATCCTTGAGAAAGAAGCTTGTATTTATTGGCGCGCGCGGCGTATGCTTCGAGGGCTAATAGTCTTTTATCAACAACCAATCTTCCCCATAACGCATCACCTTTACTTACATCATCCCTGTCCCAATCGGGTTGTATGTACTTTTTCTTGATGGTTCCGTCTTCTGTTGTGACAAAGCTCATATTGAAAGGTACTCGGGGAGAATTTTGTGTGGTACAACGGTTCTCAGTAGTCTATAGGCGATACAATCAGCTTCGGCAATGGAGTCAACGGGTGCAGGAGACTCACTTGAAAGTGCGGACCTCCAAACCCTTGTTGAGTGGCAGGGTGGACACTGGCAGCTGCCGTAGTATGAGCTTGGGGGAGGCTCATGAAACCATCATCGGCAGGTGGGAGGCTGGCAGCTGCGGCAGGATGAGCTTGAGCAGGGGCACCCATGTACCCCCAAAAGCCTTCTCAATGTCAGTGGACTCGCTTTGTGGGACTTCTGAATGGTTTTACCTGTGGTAACAGCAGGTGGATGCGTGCCTTCTCAATCTCAGTCAATTCGAAGCCAGGAAGTTTGGAGACATTGATATGTTTACCTTGAAGCCCATGAGCATCTGGCCAGCCACTGCTGTAATATCCCCATTGGAGATTATCTTGCTTGTACATGACAATGGGATTCCTACAGTTCCGTGTGGACGTTAGCTTCCGTGGAGATAGTCTGGCTCTCATGAGGTATTGTCCTTCCTCTCACACTCGCATGAGGCGTCGAATGGAGATCAAGGAGCTTATTGTTCAATGCTTCTTGTTCAATGCCGTATTGATCGAAGCAAAGAAGACAATATATTCCTTTCGTTAAGGGTGATCTTACGTCTTGCCGTGCTGGTACTGTTTAAGAGTCAGCCAATCCAAGGATGAAAACGCGTCGAGGCTTTGGTTGTATAATGTTGTGCACAGGGCTGAAGTGGATGTTACTAGGAGTAGCATATGATGCAGGGAACCACCGAAGAAAGTAACGCCAGGAGAAAAACAGAAGGCAGACACTCAGTTTGAGGATGTGATTTGGATTTTTGGATGTTTTGTTGGGGACAGATCGACAGCCAGCAATGGGATATTGCTATGACTGAGCCGTTTCTAGAGAGCTGTAAAGCTTTGCCTAGATCGCGGGCTGTCTTGACCTAGGCGCGTCTTGGCCGCAGCGTATCTAGACTCACGCGTCTAACTGCACTTCTTCTCAAGAGTTGATGCTCAATGGAGAAGGGAAACAAAGAAGGGGCTTCCTGAACTTCAAGAAAGGATAGGGCACACTTACCTTGACTTCTTTGTAGTCTGCTGTGAAGAGTGTGCAATTCTTGAAGTTGTGGGAAGTTGAGAGAAGTGTGTTTCTCTTTTTGGTCTGAGGGCGGATGGTTGATGACCTTCGCTTGTCTCTTTATGGACGAAACGCCATTCACTTGGAACTTAGGTACAGAACCTAGTTGCTTTACCTCAATTGGACTCTCCGGATCCTCGGCATTGAATTGGCTCAAATCAAGACTCTTTTCGGCACTGTCTAGCGTCAAAGTTGACTCGATATTGGGAATTCTATACTTCATTCCACTAACACTACCATGCCGAAATTCTGCAATTCGAAGTGTCTGGAGCACATGGTTAAACCGCTCTTTACGATTTCTACAATAATACCAACAAGATATGGTACGCAGAACTGTATAAAAGTGCCGAAGGAAAGACTCAGATAATCCGGCACATTTGGAGGTTCTAAGAAGAATGAAAAGGCGAAGGATATTACAGTATTCTCGTCTCCCAATCACCTGGCATTGGGGAGTCAGTTATGCTGTAATAGGAACTCGGCACCCTGGACTTTGACTACCTCTGTCTCTCCCATCTGAATAGCCATATTGTTGTCCGGGAAGATTCATTCCCTATATGGGATATCTGTTCATTCCTCCCTCTGTATAGTATCTTTCGAATCTCTTATTGTGGCTTATACAGCTTGGCTCCAACCAGTTCCTGTGACCCTTATCTCACTTGTTCAGTTGTCTCTCCAAATCTGCATCTGTTCATCTCGACTCAGCAGTTGTGAACGAGACCCCTGGCTCTACTCTGGTCAGTGCTTGGCTAGACAAACCTACGTGGATCAGATCAGAACAAGCACTTTCTGACCTTGTTTAGTTGATTAGCCCTCCAGAGCCTAATCACACTGTTGTTGTTATAAGAAATCTGCGAGACTCCTCTGTTTGTCGCCATTAATCCCTCTTGAAGCGTGAATTCTTGATCTATCAGAAGACTGTGCCAATTTAACAACAGAAAGCAAAAGAGCCATGCAAAGTTGAATGGTCAAAGAGAAATATGAAATGGGTTTTGGCTTTGACTTTGGCTTTAGCTCTGGGTTTGGTTAAAAACAAAGTGTTTCTTACCTTAAAGCTGTATCGGTAAAGTTGATATTGTCGCGAAGCAGGAAAAATGGCTCGCGTCTTATTGAATGAGAGCTGCTTCCACCACCTCTTCTCGGTACGACTGGCTGGCTTCCTCTCTCGCCTTAACGCAGTCGACTCTTCTTTTCAACGAAGGGTTTGAATCTCTTGTATCTCACATGAACGCGTTCAACTCCGCATCCTGCAACAACACAGCTGGCTCTTTTTCACGAGCACAATTGATCCTTCTTAGAGATTTCCTGAACTTCATCTCTGTGTCAACACAGTTGACCATTCTATTCCCCTCATTAACGCGGTTAGTCCTCTTCTCTACCCTTCTCTCTCGGCACACGCGACTCTTCTTTTTACATTAATACAGTTGACTTTCCTTGTCACTAATAGGGTTAATTGTTCTTCTTAGATCTTCCTTTTCACAACTTGACTCTTTTCTTTGCATCTCAATAATAACGCAAAGAGATTTGTAAGTCAGCATTGTGAGCTGTCTCCTTTACGGACAATTACTGAATTTACTACAGACAATGTCTGACAAACAACGGGATCCAAAGGATCTGGAGGCCGCGCAGAGCCTTATCCTCCTCTCCCTCAGCGAACGCCCTGCTCAGCCTTCTTCCTCTACAGCTACCACTGCCCTTGCAACCGCCACCGTCCCAGCCCAACAAAGTCAAAGAGCGAGAAACGCCCAGTCTGGAAAGAAGAAAAACGCTCCAATCTGCCCAGGGGCTAAGTTTACCTGGTCGGACAACACGCACATTGACCGGGCAAGCATGAGAGTGGGCAAGGTTGAAAAATCGAAGTTGCAAATGAGCCTTAAGGCGACCGATGGGAGATGGCATACATTCGAGTACTTGAGGAAGGATGAAGTAGATTGGGACTCGAAAGCATCGGTGTTGCTTGCCAACACCTGGCGCTGGCAGATTTTCCGGCGGAGATTGAACAAGCCCGACGAGTCTACCACCATACGCAGACATCGGTGGACCGCGGCTGAGGTGCAAGTTCTGCAGAGTAACGCCTCCCTCCTCCGCCGACCATCCTCTATGACGGCTCAGCAATGGGCTGACTTGGCTGCCCTTCTTCCCAACCGTGAGAAGAAGTCCATCATATCCAAGTTCGCGAAGTTGCGCCTGGGGTCACAGGCAAACAACTCGGAACAGGTAGATCATGATAGCGAGGATGATGAGGAAGACGAGATGGAGGAGGAGTTGGAGGACAAACACGGCGGCGATTTGGAGCATGGATTGGAGGATGACAGTGATGATGAGTTTGACGGCATGCGCCCTTCTGCTCAGCCAGTGGGTGGAGTTCTCATCTCGGCCAACTAACGAATTGGAGGATGATAACGATGACGATTTTGATAATTGATGGTGTTTTGGCGTTTAGATAGTGGGTAGACTTCTCGGCTTTGAATGCTAAAGGCGTACCGGTAATTCAGAATCCGAAGCATATGCATAGATACAAGACGTCCCGCTGCCCGCGTCTGTCCGCTTGATAGCTTACTGTCTTCTCGGACCTCTTCTTTAGGGTCCTCCCGAGTCCCGGGAATCTTATTGCTATTGTACTCCTGATATTGCGTCCTTCGTCTCTATAAACCTCAATGCCTCCTTCAATACTGTCTTCGAGTTACTAGTTTCCTCTCTTTCTTATATCCTGTGCTTGACTTTTTCTTCATTCAATTCCTCTTCCAACTCTGTGCTTTTTGTGGAAAGAAAGGGTTGCGTACCTAATGAAGGGCGTTCGTTGAAAAGGTAGGGTTATTTGAACTTGGGGTAGACAAGCTCAGAAGAAATGGTAATGCTACAGTACCTAGCCTTGCGATGTAATTGCTGTCTGTGTTCTTCTCTACTCATCCTGATTAGCAAGTTTGACATAAAATTACAATTTTAGGAGACTCAAAGACTCGCAGCGTCCGCCGCATGTGGTGCACCACGGTCTGTAGTCTTTATCGCGATCGTTCTTCTTCTACTAAAGCTCCCCACGCCCATGCCCAAGCTGATCCATAATCCATTATTCTCTTTGGACTCTTATTCGTCATAAACCAAGGAAGCGTAACATCTCTGACACTCGGGATATCTTCTTGCTCCTCCCTACTCCAGTCAAGTCTAGGGTATCTCCAAATTCCATATTCCATATTTCACCCACGTTACCTACCTATGATGATATCTTGATTCCTAGTTTTGGGTACTGCTTAATTAAAAGTTGGGTTAGGCAAAGGGATGTTTGTTTTTGAGTCTTGACTCTTTTTGTGGTTTGGCTGAAGCCACGAGCCTTGGGCCATCTGCACACTCCTTCTTCCCCTGTCCACAAAAGATAATATTGTTGTTTTTTACTCTAGATATACAATATCAAGAAGGATTGTAAAACTTTTATTTGTAGCTTATGTCTGTCTTGAGATTTGATTGTTAGCGATGCTTGCTTCATGATTCATCACTTTCTCTATCTGAATCTGAATCTGAATCCCTGGAATTGAACTCAGATGATTGGGAAGAAGGAAAAGAATATACGTTATGCATGGTGGCTAACTTGGGAGGCATTATATGATTAGGAAGAATAGAGTACAGGAATTATTTTCTCTGCTCAAGGCTAATTATGTACATTACCACGGATTGTTCTCGTCCACCCTTCCTGTACGTGACTTTGCTGGCGAATTTTCCCGATGCTGTGAAGACTTTGCTGGCGAATTTTCCCGAAGCTGTGAAAACTTTGTTGGCGAAGGTTCTCGTGACTGCACTTGCGACTGCACTTGCGACTGCACAGGTACTGATCGGAGTGGCAGAAATACAGGAGTCGGCGATGCCATAAAAGGTGAGTCTGGACATAAGTCATCCGTTGTCCTTTCCACCTTTGCCTGAGGAGGATCATCATCATCATCATCCGACTCCCAGTCATCATCGTCGTTGGCTTCTGCTGCTCCACACAAAGACGCCATTCGAATTAGATCCCACTGCAGCGAGAACAAATCCCAGCTTGGAATAGCCGACTTGTCTTGGGCAATAATCTCAATAACAGTTCCATCGACAATCGGCCGGTAGGTGCTGGAGTGTGCGATCTTGACATTACCGCCCTCATCTGCGTATGGCTGGAGGCAGTCAAGAGGGTTTAGATCCCATGCAACTTCATCTTTCATCGCCAACTTTGTCTTAGAAAGCCACCGAAATCTAAGGCGGATGCCATTCTCAATCTTTTCAATAGGCTCAAAACCAATCATAGCTTTGCCCCACCATCTATGTAATAATGGTTCCAAAGCAACCATATTCATAGCAGTATCAATAATATTTTTATCTCCAACAAGCATGCGCGAGAGCTTCTGGTGAACCTGTTCACCCCATAGAGTATAAACCACGTATAGGCCAGAAGTTGTCCGATCTGGAGTATTAGTAGCCGTGAATGGAAATATGTGGCATATATCTGGATTCGCAGTTCCAGTCACTACGCAGTATCTATCTCGAAGCTCACACTATAAAGTTAGTAACTGTATAGCTAAAATAGATCCAAACTCACCTTCTGAGATTCTTTCCTATCACGATAACTCTTGTCAAGATTACGCTCATCTAAAAAAGCCTCGCTGCGTGCTTCGCTGTATGTAGAAGATCGCGTTCTCTTTTTTGATACACCCGCATGTGTTAGCTCATCCTGTGATAGAGGCTTTGCTAGGACTACTTGGCATTAGCATTAACAGTATAAACTGACAATGTAACATACAAACTTTCAACAACATAGTTGTATCTGGTATAACACTCTTAATTATCGACAGCGCAAAAGGATTGTCGCGAATATCTCTTAACTGCTCCAACGGAATCACCATCAAAGCACTCCATAGTACAGCTGTGAACTGCATCTGAACTGCGGCCTTCTCCCACTTTTTTCGAATGTCTCGGAGGAGTTCTAGCCGTTGCTCGATGTCGCTGATATAACTTGTGGGTTTCGAGTATGCTGGGCGTGCCCGTAGGAACGCTCTTAGCGCCAGAAGATCTTCGGGTTGGGTGTTTTTGTCGGCGAGAAACCGAGATAACTCGGCAGAGAGAGCTTGCTCGGTTGCCATGATGGCGATAGTGACGATGGTAATGAAGGAATGAGAAGTGAAGGAGATGGTGACGGTGTTGTGGGCGTTGCGGAGGGTGAAGGAAATGGGAAGAAGCGAAGAAGATAAGGTACCTTATGTAGAGGAGGATACCTCGCTAAAGTGGTGGCTGGCCCATGCACGCGCGTTGCCTAATGTAGGAGGGTAGGACCCCCACCAGTTTCCTAATGCGGACCCGCCGTCTGGTCTTTTACTCTTATTAAAACTTTATTAAAGGTAAAATATAAAAGTATCGCTTTAAGTACCCAAGGTACCCAGGTACCTTAGTTAATAGCTTATATAGACGTAATTCTTTCTTACCTTATACTACCTTAGGTAGGTACCTACCTTAGCTTGTAATAAGCATACTTACCTAGTAAATACTACTATACTTAGTAGTACTAGTAGGCTGCCGTGGGTTAGGGTGAATAGGTAGGACCCTGTCCATCTATAATAAAAGTTCGCCCCACCTGTGGAGCCTCCCGGCAGCTTCTCTACAAAGACTTCACTTTCCTCGGATCTTCCGACCTTCTGGGTCTGGCTCAACGGCCAACAAAACGGTCCATATGAATCCCATGCCGCTATCGAGCACGACCACGTTATCTGGAGAGGCGTGAGTGATTTCGAGCCTACACAGACGGAAACCCTAGGAGGAAGTACGACCATTAAGGTATTGGCGGCATCACCTTGGCCCCTACAGCTATCACCGTCCCGCCTAACCCCCATCCCACGACGGTGCCCTCGACGGTAGGCCCAGTAGTAACAGGTTCATGGCAATCAGGAGGTCCTTCATCACCCACCAGTCTCCCGGGGTGCATGAGGTGTGGGCGTCCTTGTGACTTCAGCTCCTCTTCCTTCTAGGTCGCGTATCCTGTGACTCTAAGTCTCTAAGACTCTAACTGCCCTTTCTGCCCTCTAGATACGCTTGGTTCAGACGGTGACGGCGACGAGAATGATGACTCCACGTCGACCTCCACCTCTGCCACCTCCACCGATCTCTCTGGCTATACAACATTATTTGCTGACGGGTGGGATGACCAACCTTTCCTCATTAATCGCCCTTGATGAATCGCTTTAGGAGATGTCAAATAAAGCAAATGTGGGATCGATTGAAGGGACGAATTGAAGTGGATTCGATTGAACTGAATTGAATTGAACTGACTACTCAATAGGGAACAAAAGGAGGTTACATACAGGTAAAGGTGGCAAAACGGTATACCGGATACGAGATATGCGGTAATAGGAGGTATGCGGTAATAGCCAAAATCTGACTCCTGATCCGGCGGTAACGTGCTATTACCCGATTAGGAAATAGACTTGACATTCCCAGTTTCCAACAGCAGACCCTGATTTCAACCACATCGACCACTCCGCCTCCGCCTCCATAACCCACTGCTACTACCAGTACCCCCACTCCCGCCCCCACACCCACCTGCGACTGTGACTTCTAGGACGAGAGCTGGGCTGGAGGTTCGAGATCTTGAACATTAACGGCTGGGCGACGGACGGAGGCGATTCGCTTTACACGCAGGAAGACGGCCGTGGCACGCTGACCGGATGGGACTGGAAGGCTGCTACAACCTGCCCTTCTTCATCAAGGCCGGCTGCGTTAAGCGTGCCATCATCTTTTATACCCTCAGAGAAATAATTATAACAATCTGATATTATTCGGCATTATATTGGGGGTCAGGAAACTTCTCAAGTGCGGGGTAATTATTATACAACACTTGCCTATCTTTATTTAAAGAGGACGAGGGGGGACGAAATAAAGAAAAGGACGGCGCTTGAAATAAGAGAGTTGCTCCGAGAGGCGCCCAGCATGTAAATTGAGTAATAATAGTTGCCCAAGGATAACTTCTCGATAGCGGAATCTTTGTCTGGTAGCTCGCTAGGTCCTTTGTAGTCCTCAGCTAAAGTGGAGTCTTTCTCTGAACAGAAATACTGGAGTTTTCACTTTCGATCTTGATATTAGGTCTAGGTAAGTGTCGAACAGGGTTAGTTATACAGGGATTGATATTGGTATTCCCGAGTTCAATAGTCTGTGTTGGCCCCTGTCAGGGGATATCGCGTCTATATAGAATAGCTAGTTACCCGTCCTTTTCACTTCAATCAAGTCATTATCCTCTGTCAGATCCCTCCCCTGGTTGGCAGTAAGCGGTATGAGGATTCAGGAAACCGTAGTTGTTGCCTTCTCTGACGGAGCTTTGGTCCATCGTTAAGTGGTTTGAAATTAGGTTCACATTTCCGCAGAAGAAGCTTGTAATAACCGATACTATAGAAGAATGGATAGGCTTTGATTTTAGAGGCTCCGTTTGCTCCTAATCGTTGCTCGGGATTGCGGTCCTTAACCGCATATCCTTAGCGGACAAGGAAACATATCTAGACCGGGAAAGTAGAGGGGTTTAGAGAGGATCTTGCGGTGTATTTCATGAGTGTCCTTGTCGTAGAACGTGGTTAACCCGGTCAACATTTCATAGGGGAAAGCTCCTAATGTCCACAAATCTGCATTTTAGCTAGTAACGGATCTTTAAAGATGCTTTTAGGGCTGTTATCTAAGCTCTTGGTGTCCGCCCTGGTTATGGACATTGTGAGTCTCTTAAGACATGTTCTAGGCGCTTGGTTCCTAAAGGAAAGGAAACCCAAAGGCAGAATATAACGTACGGTACGTACCTACTGCCTCTGTATAACCTTGGCCAAGGAGCAATTCGGGAGCTGGATACTCTAGCGTTCCATGGAATGTAGTAGTGCAATCCTCGTCCTTCTCTAACTTGTAGAGACCGAAACCACGAATGGTAATATGTCCTGATGTTCTCTAGCTTTAAATCACAGGAAATAACATTGAAATTTGAACCCGTGTAGATACTCCAATACGCAAAGAAGTTCAGCAATGTAGAATCTCGACCTATTAATATCGAAACGCTGCTCCCCTTGAAGGTAAGCGAAAAGGTGTACGAATGGTGAAAACAAGCATAACCTCTCAGGTGTTTAGAAAGCAGGTGCGACTGGTGCGATAAAAGGTTGTTGATCTGGAAAAGGAAGGTGTGTGCTACTTCGGACCTGGAAATACTATTGGCTTTTCGAATATACTTCAAAGCGTAAAGTCGTTTGGTATCGATCTTCCTGACCTGCATAACACTTCCTACCGTTCCGATAAGATCTGAATAGTCCGAACCCGTCGGCTTCAATATTCTATGCTTAACGTACTCAACCCCGATACGAATCTTTTCTGTGCCATCTCGAACGTCTAACCATTCTGCGTCTAGAGTCTTTTCTTTGTGGCTTGCCTCAAACCGAGGGTTCGTTCATGTGGCACCAAAGAATACATCTTGACTTCCCCTGGCAGGATTTGAGTTCCTGAGGTAAAGATACACCGTCAACTCAGCAATTTGGGAAACATAAAGCTTGTATAGGGTCATGTTTATGGCTGTTGAACACTTCTTACATTGATCTGGGATGGAGAGGCCAGCACCTTCGTAAAGAGTAACAACCAAGATACTAGGAGGCTGATTCTCCAGCTGTATGGGGATGATCTCGCAAGCGGCTGCTATACCAACCGACGACAGGAACCGGCAAGTTTCACTTGCACTTAAATCAGGTCCAGGTACCCGCAGAAAGGGGGGGCGCATAACAATTGGGAGGGTGCTGTTAGTTATATCAGGCGGCTTCAACAAACGAGAGGTCGTGCCATGCGTTCGCTGTGAATCTGTGATAGGCACTGATGGACGACATGGGCAAAAGTCAAAAGCAGAGCAAAAGAAAGTCAACGCTGAAGCGAATGCATGCGAGTCGCGTTGTGGCGGGCGTCTCTGCGACAACGATTGGCCGAGGCGAGAGATTGGCCGGGCAATACCTTGATATAGGTAATTACTAGGATTACCAGCGAATCCGGCGGCAGAATAGGCAAATACCAGGTATTCTCGGTATTGCAATTTACAATTTACAGCAGGCAAGAGACGGTGAATGGCTCTTGGTTAAGGGATCAATGTTCTCTCTCTCTCTCCTTCTCCCCTTCTCTCTCTCTCTCACTCTCTCTCACTCTCTCTGATTCAAACACTCACTCACCCTCCCAGCCTCCCTCTCTGCTAGACGCAATTGACTCCCATCCTGAGACCTCGACTCGACGTTCCTGGGCCTCGATCGTCGATCACCGCCAGGCACAGACCCCTGCCGAGCGAAACAGGGTGGCAGGCGACGGGAGCGACCATCGAGAATCCTGGAGACTGGGGAGACGCAGAGACAGACCACTGAGAGAGTCGCATCCTTCAAATCCTCCTCACTTCTCACTTCTCACTCCTCCTCCTCCTCCTCCTCATCCTCTCCTCTCCATCATTGTCACCCGCGATCCTCTTCTTCCTGTCGCTCGTTCGACTACACATCTGCTTTGCCGTCCTCCTGAGCTGCGCTGTCCAGTACTCCGGTATCCACCTGGCCAATCCCATCCGTCTATCTAATCTGCCCCAATCCTCCAATTGATTGGATTGCTCCCCCAGACAGACCCCGTCTTCTCGTCAGCCGCCTCTCCACACCAGCATGGGCTCAACGCAGTTTGGAAATTTCCATGTGAGTTGCAATTGCGCATGAACTCTGAGATCCACGCTGATCATCTGCGCCCCAGGACTTCTGCCGCGACTCGACCTTGCCCGTCTGCAACGTTCGTCCTACCCACGACCTGATATGAGAACCGCTGCTAATCTGCCGCAACAGCTCTTCCCAGGCTTTAGTGATGCCGACCCCAGCGGTTTCGCGGGAGGCTGTGAGCTCACGGGAATCCAACTGAAGGATCACGACAAACACCTGGGCAATTTGGGTTTGTCGCATTCCCTCCCAAGACACATGACACTTTTCTGACGGCATCCAGGTTCCATCCTCCTCTGCGGCCTTGCGATTCTGATCTCCGCCTTTCTCCTATGGCGATCGGAACGAAAACAAGCAGCCGTAGGACGCAGGTATGTGAACACGACTACTATAATACCCATCCGCTGACCCCTCCTGCTGCAGAGAGATCCAACTCTTCCTCCTTGGCTATATCATCATCGAGATCTGCGAGATATTTACCGTCGGGAAGTTCCCCTTGAGTCGGACGGTTCGCATCGTAAGCTCGACGGCCTAATCCCCAGCTAAAGAGGCTAACCACCCGCAGGCCTTTACGGGGATACACCTCGGCATGATAGTGGCAACCCTTTGGATCCTGATGCTCAATGCGGTTGTCGGCTTTCAGTTACTCGACGATGGCACCCCGCTCTCGCTCGGCCTCATCCTCGGTTCCGCGTTCGTTCTCTTCATCGGCACCGGTTACATTGCTCTCGATACCGGCTATAGCTGGACGGGCCACTTTGACTCCAGCTTACATGGGCACAACCGAAACATTGCACTGTACGTGCTCTACCAGCTTGCGCCGCTGGTGTTCCTCTTCGTCTTTTTTGTCTTGGAGGCGTTCTTGGTGGTCAGAGTGCTGGGAGAGCGCAAACCCTTGATCTACCTCAGCCTGGCTGCGTTATTGTTCGCCATCGGTCAGATCTTCAACTACGTAATCAGCGTCCATATCTGCCATGGAACCCATGGCAAGATCGACGGCGCTTTCTTCGAAACGTTCTTCACGCTCCTCTCCGTCGTTACCGTCTGGATTTTCTGGTCCAGCATCACGGAAGATGACTGGCCAATGCCGACCACCGCAACCACGTATTCATGACCATAATCTCGAAAATGAAATGGGTGTACGGAGTTTGGAAGCATTTGTAATGAAGCGACATACCTACGTCCTTGGGACGATATTGTTTTAGATGGGATTTTACAGCGCATATGGGGAAGACAGGTCTTCAGGAGGCACCAGGCGATATCATGGATTATGCATTGCAGTTAGGCCTGAGGGAGGCTATGGTAAAGAGAATAATATCCCTGGAGGGTCGGCGAGAGCTCTGTCTTGTGCATCTTGGATGCTACATAGACTCTTCGCTTGTATATGATTTTGCGTGTTAGTAGTAGTATACCCGATTGAGCGAGTAATGAAAACGAGACGAATAGGATTGCAAAGTTTGCTTGCATGGGATCCATTGAGACAATTGAAACCGTCAACTCATGTAGCTGAACACGGGTCTGAAACATCCTCTTACCCTGCTGCAAGGCTACCACATCGGGGAGGGAAAAGTCGATTGATCTCTTGCACACAGTTACTGATGATAGGGAGAAACATTAGCTGCCATTTCCAGACGCTGCAACAATCATAATTGGCTGGCGACGGGACTCGCGCGTTGTCCGAAACTCGTTGCGGGAACGCAGCCTTACGCGCAGCCCTCTTTTTGAGGCTGATCTCGCCAACGACCGCGACGACATTTCCTTCAGCCTTCCCAGGCCCTCGTCCCCACGCACACACAACGCCAACCATGTCGGACTCGGACGGCGAGTACGTTGCTGACGATCTCTCCGACGATGATATCGGGGCGCACACCGTGTCGACGGCCCACGGGACGCGGTCTACGGGCCCCGTGCGAGGCGCTGCTGGGTCGAGCACCCGGGGGGGAGACTCGAATGGGGGCAGTAATCGGCGGAGGGCCGCGTGGGAAGACATCCAGAGGAGCTGGGACACGGTGGTAGAGGGTGCGGATGGGAGCATTAATTCGACGGTGGAGGGACTGAGGGAGGCAGGGAAGAGGAAGAGGTAGATTGGAGAATTCGACTTCCCCCCATCCAGAGGACCGAAGCTGATCCCATCTCCTGCAGGTTACTACGAGATACAACGCCCTTGCAAAGAGGCATCATCCGGCATCTGATCCTGATCCTCGACCTCTCCTTCGCCATGACGGAGAAGGACCTCCGTCCCACGCGCTACCTCCTCACGCTCCGCTACGCCTCGGAATTCGTCACCGAGTACTTTGAGCAGAACCCCATCTCGCAGCTGGGCATCATCGGCATGCGCGACGGCATCGCGGTGCGCATCAGCGACATCAGCGGGAACCCCAGCGAGCACCTCGAGCGGCTCAAGAAGCTCCGCGAGCAAGAGCCGCAGGGGAACCCGAGCCTCCAGAACGCGCTGGAGATGAGCCGCGCGGCGCTCTTCCACGCGCCGTCCCACGGCACGCGCGAGATTCTTATTATTTACGGCGCCCTGCTGTCCAGCGACCCGGGCGATATCCACGACACCATCGCGGCGCTCGTCACGGACCGCATCCGCGTGTCGGTGGTCGGCCTCGCGGCCCAAGTGGCCATCTGCGCCGAGCTCTGCTCCCGCACCAACGCCGGCGACGACAGCTCGTACCGCGTGGCGCTGCACGAGCAGCACTTCCGCGAGCTCGTCCTCGCCCTGACCACGCCGCCCGTGACGCGGTCTGTCACGCACTCGCAGTCCAGCCTCCTGATGATGGGCTTCCCATCGCGCACCGCGCTCGGCGACGGCCAGGGTTTGAGCTTCTGCGCCTGTCACAGCAAGCTGAGCCGCGGCGGCTACCGCTGCTCGCGGTGCGACGCGAAAGTCTGCAGCCTGCCAGCCGAATGCCCCGCGTGCGGCCTGACGCTCATCCTGTCCACGCATCTCGCGCGCTCCTATCACCACCTCTTCCCTCTGCGTAACTGGATCGAAGTGCCCTGGTCAGCGGCCTCTTCATCCAGCGCGTGTTTCGCATGTCTGGCGCCTTTTCCCGAACCTTCTTCTTCTCACGGGGGAGAGGGCAAGGGGGATGCGGACCGTGATCTTAAGGGCGTTAGTGAGAGCGGAAGGTATATGTGCGAAGTGTGTAAGAAACATTTTTGTATCGACTGCGACGTGTTCGCGCATGAGGTCGTGCATAATTGTCCTGGATGCCAGGCCGATGTACGCGCGGAGCCGGAGGCGAAGCCGCAGTCGAAGCCGCAGGCGGAGACGAAGGCGACGCTGGAGGCGAGAGCGGAGGAGACGCTGGACATGAATGCAAATGGAAATGCGGATAAAATGGTTGAGTAGTGGTTAAAGTAAGCTTACTTTCAAGGAGTCATATACAAAATTTTGGGGGTTGGAGTGGAGTTTTTCATGGCTGGATTTTGGATTCTGGATTTTTGAAAGGAGTTAGGAGGAGGAGGATAGGAGGATAGGAGGATACATATATATGTATATGTATATGTATATATGTATATATGTATATATGTATATATGTATGTATGTATTTATGTGAGAAAGCAAAAGCAAAAGCAAAAGAAAAGCTAGATATATACCTACCTATATACGCATGATCATAATCACAATATTAAACACACAAGCAAGTGCGAGAGATTGAAATTGAAATTGAAATGTATTTGATTAAGGATCATTCATATTTGTTAATCTTATAGAATAATATAAGGTTAGGATAGACAGCGGGTTTAAATAAGATAGGTACATAAGGTAGGAGTTTGGGATGGAACAGGCTAGGTAGTAAGGTATGGTATGGTATGGTATGGTATGCTAATAGGTAAGACCATCTGCCCTGCTTCAGACTCCATCACTCCCCTTCCCTTCCCTTAATCACTTATTCGGTTATTTATTCCGTCATTCAGTCAACGCCCCCAAGCCCCAAGTCCAATTAGATAGATATCCTTTCTTTTATCCGTCGATCCGTCGATCAGTCAGTCGGTCAATCAGAGGCAGTCATCCACGCTCCCTGCCTTCACCAAACAAATACCCAGCTTCCAGGCAGTACGCGCCGCCACCCGCCATGGCGCGCTCGCTGCCCCAGCAGACCACGCTCGCGTCGACGATACCGCTGAGCACGCCCTCCATAGCGCCCAGGACGCCCCAGCCGATGAAGCCCGCCACCAGGCCGACGACGTAGGCGTACGCGCTGCCGCGGATGCCGGCGCCGTCCGGGAGCGCGATGCTGAGCTGGCGCGCCGTGGCCACCCAGCCGCCGAAGCCGAGCGCCGTGGCCATGATGAAGCGCGTCGCGTGGAGCAGCAGCTTGGCGAGGCGGTAGGGGAGGAGCGGCGTGGCGGGGTGCGTGCGCGAGGAGAAGGAGCGCGGCGTGAGCGTCGTGGTGGGGGCTTGGGGCGTGAGGAAGGTCATCTGGCTGAGGCCGCGCGCTGAAGGGTTGAGCGGTTGCGAGTGGATTGCGGCGTAGGTGAGGGTGAGAGGGTTGAGGAGGGCGGCGATCGGCGCGGGGATTAAGGAGTAGGCGAAGATGGAAACCACACCGACGATTCGACGAGGGAGAATCAGGAGTGGCAGACGGATGAGCATTGCCAGCAGTGTTGAGAGGCAGACGGTGCCAAACAGGGTGGTTATGGCGTGGTTAAATGCCGCTGTGACGATTTCTCTCGAGGTTGGTGCTGGCACCGCGTTCCGATGGAAGTACCACTGCGATACCGTAGCTGCCGTGGTTGATCGTTGGACCGCACTGATGACAGACAGCGTCCAGATATACATTAACACAAAGTAGATGGCAAGCCACCAGCTCGTGGCGTCAATGATAAACTTGGTGACAGAAGTCGCCAGGTGACCACCAAGAAAGATCCTCGTGAACATCCCTAACCACATCCAAGTCCACAACACTACCGTGCCCAGACTAGCAAACCCTAATCCAAGAAGTGCAGGGTTAGCGGCTAATATCTTGGAGGCAAATTCCAAGATGCCAATGGCTTTAGCCAACGACTGGCGGCCTTTATAGATCGTGTAACACCAGAGGAAAGCAAAGAGCCCCGGGATGAAGGACAGCCACCGCATCGCCTTATCCTGCAGACTCGTACCACCTGAAGTCCCCTTGTAACTGGAAACCAATGGGTATAGAGAAAAGGAGAACAAGATTACTGGGACTGCGAGCAAAAGCAGATATACCAGTGGTCTGACAAACGATCGTAACAGTGCAAGCCAGACGAGTGATACAATGACTGAGACAACAGTGTCCACAGCAAATAGATGGACTGAAGCGCTGAGCGTGGTGTATATAGTATCGCCCAGATTCTTATCCGGTGTGGGCGTGTGGAGAAAGACGAGGAAGAAGGTCGCAAAGAGAGCGCCGAGGCAAATCAAGTAGAGTGATCCCCAAAAGACATCATGCTTGGGTGCCTCACCCAGGGTGGTTGCTATCGTTGCCGGGACGGTTTCGATTGAGCTTGGAGGCCGTGATATGGCAGGACCTGGACCAAGAGCAGCTTCGATATCCCTATCCCGGGACATATTCTTCGCATCCGGCGGTGACCTGAAACCCCCCGGCTTTGGAGGTGAACGGAATCGTTGAAACGCAGGTGGGCTACCCTCAGAGGCTTCAACACCAAAATCATCTGGTGGGTCATCATCCTCGATAGTAGACTCGAGTCCGATATCCACCATCCTCCCTTTCCCCTTGCTGCTTGCCTCACTATCCGGCCGTGTAGTCTCCTTGCCTTTGCTGAAATCTCCGGCTTCCTCTCCTACTGTTTCGGGAGCCCAACCTCTGCCTCTTGTGCTATGACCACCTCCATTCCAGCTGCTCTTGATACCGCGTCCTCGCCCCCGATCCTCTATTGCTCTTGCATCCTCATCTTTACTGTTATTTAACGACGCATTGCTTTCGTCGTGGTCTGTTTCGGAGCTTTCCTCAAGTCGGGTCGGGGCAAACACCCTCCGTGACCTCTGCAGAGCAAAGAAATCAGCTGTTTCCCTTTCCCGTTCCTCCTCGTCATCCTCTTCTCGGAATTCGTCTAGAGCGCTGTGGAATAATGGAGCATCTGGAGCTGCCTGGTAGCGGGAGGTGAAAGGGAAATTGGAGAGATGAGACGAGGACTGGTATGGATTCCCTTGCCGTTGAGCGTACCCTCTTGAGGCAGCTCTTGGAGCTTGGCTTGCTCTTCGATATCGGTCATTAGGATTTCGTGGAGGAGAATCCGCGGACTCAGGTTGTACGAAGTTGGAGATGCGTGATTGTGACTGGGCTAGGAACCGTGAAGCATCTACAGAAGAGCTTCCTTTCAGCTTCAGGCGTTCAACAAATGGGGAATACTCCTCCGAGCCTACTTACATTCTGAGAACATCTTCGGGCCCCAGGCGTGGTGAAGCAGACAGAGGGTTTCAGACCCACCGCGTGACGCTGATAACGATCAAAGGCGGTGTTTGCCCTGGGCGGTATGGATTGCCTGGACAGCAAGATACGGGCGTGGAATGCCCTACTGAATAAACCAACTGGAGAGGATGAGTGATCTCAAGCAGTCATCTCAGCTCAGAGGGAGTCGTGGAGGAGCGTTGGAGGATCGTGGAGGTTCAAATCGATGTCGTTATCAAGAATGCTGGTAGAGGGAGCTCGAATCACCAGGGCCCGACAGGGAATCAGTCATTCACCTGGCCGTCACCGCCTTCGGCAGATTCCAGGCCGTTTAGAGAAGAATCATGTGGCGGCATAGGGCGGCGATAGATATTGTTGCAAGGACCTTGGCTATATATGTCCTGTGAATCTATCATAGAACTCTTCGAGACATGACTTTAATGACATTCATCATTCATGCCATGCTCATCGGTTCAGCGGTTCAGCGTGACAATATGGCAAAGGTGACTTTCCCATGTGCCACTCCCGACGTCACGGCCGCCTCATACGGAGATAAGCCACGATACGATAGCGGTGTGGTTCTAAAGCAGATTTATAAGAGCGGTCTGGTCCTAAAGCAGATTTCTAAGAACTCGGTACACAAATATATATGTGATAAAGTGACAGCTTTATGATCTGCCACATGACCCGTCCTGACCAGCTGAATTCAAGAAAGCTTCAAAGTTCAAGCCTCAGCAGCATCGTTGTGGCGCTGTGCCTAGTGTGGCTGTGCAGACAGCGGACGTGTACGGCCCGGGGATATGATATGCGGATATTACCTATTAGGTAGGTATATAGCAGTTTATTACCCTTATAACTTGACAATTTCCCCTGCGTTGCGTCTCGTTGTCCGAGTGAATACCTTAAGTTACCTGATACTGCGCTTGCCGAGTGGTCGTAATCCGATTACCTTGGGTGGCACGGGAGTCCCGTATTCTCTTATAAAGAAACTATCACGGCTCTCGTCGACAAGCACCCAACGGAACTCCAAGAACCCCTCATCGCCAACTTACCTACGCTCTCTCACCCCCATCTACACTCTCTTCACCAGCAGAACTCCCAACATGGACGGTATTGCGCCGCCACCCGGTCCTCCGCCTCCCAAGGTGCCAGAGGGGTATGTCTACACCATTCTTGCGCATTCCCGGAACAGATTACTAACTCGAAACCAGTTGGAAAGCCCAATGGAACGAGCAATACAAAGAATGGTAGATTTTCACTCTATTTCCTACTCATTTCTCGTGAGTAGGCTAACGAAACTTCACCAGGTTCTATGTCAATATCTACACTAAAAAGTCACAATGGGAAAAGCCCACCGAACCTATCTACCCACCACCCGAGGACGGCGCCCCTCCAGGGCCTCCTCCCGGATACTCCAGCAACGGCAAGAGTTATCCTGTGGACCAGAAGCCCAATCCCTACGATTCCGCAGGCTCCCACTCCCCTAACAACGTCGAATCCGATGCGGCGCTCGCCGCGCGTCTGCAAGCTGAGGAAAACGAGCGGGCACAAGGGTCAGGCAGCCGGAATGCCTTCCAGGACTACCAGAACACACCTATGCCCGCATCACCGCAACCATCTGGATCTTCGCAACCGGAACTCCCACCGCGGGAGCAGAAGCGTGGCTTCTTGGGCAAGCTCTTAGGTAGGCCGGGCAGTAACAGCCCAAGCGGTTATAGCAGTGCGAATCAATACCCGCCTCAGCAGCCTGCTTATGGCGCTGGCGGATATGGTGCACGGCCAGCCTATGGTCAGCCCCAATATGGTCAACCCCCATATGGTGGTCAACCGCAATACGGATACCAACAACCGGGCTATGGGCCACCACCCCCAGCACCATATGGTGGCGGGTACGGAGGCGGTTACGGGGCACCGGCGCAGGCGGCGCCACCCAAGAAAAGCGGTATGGGTGCGATGGGAGGTGCAGCATTAGGTCTCGGTGGTGGACTTATCGGAGGCATGTTGCTCGAGGACGCTATCCAAGATCATGACCAGAACATCTATGATCAAGGTTACGGTAAGTTCTCCACCCGATCTCTGCGGGGTTGCGAAGGCTAACGAGCTCGACAATAGATCAGGGTTACGACCAAGGTGAGGATAATGGAGATTTCGGCGGGGATGGAGGTGATTTCGGCGGGGATTTCTAAGCCCTTCTTTGCAGTTGCTGGATGACTCTCACGACTCTCGTTGCTTTCTTACGAAGTACATGCCATGACTTTTCGCGCCCATGCATGCTAGGATAAAAGAAGAATACCTTATTATATTGCACCTCAATGGATTCGCATTCAGAAAGATATGACTATCATCCCCTCCTTATTGCTAACAAGTGAGGAAGAATAGAGTGAAAGCTGCAGAAGACTTACTCGGTGAACTAGCTTCGTTCTTTGAGACAAATTGTATGTGAAGAGGGGCATTTTGGTAAATTTTGCTCTGCTGTGGAGAACAGGTTCGATTTCGGTGCTATCCCTAGAAGTGGAATTTTGAATCCATGGTTATCTCTTTTTCTGTGGCCTAGCATACTTCTAGGCATGCTTGGTACATATCAAATGCGATGACCTGTCCTTGGCGGGTTTCTACATCAAGATATTAAGAAAGAGGATCTCACTAACCCGGAAACTTGCACATGAGCACATACAAAAGACCTCCAGTCACTATACCAACGCCATCCTTATGCTGTAGTCTAGTATCTTTCATCTGAGACCCTGATATACGTAAAACTGTTCCTAGTCTCGATAGGGTATTTCCCCATCTTTCCCTCTATCTGTCTCTTCCTACCCATCATCATCTCGAAACGCCTACTTCAATCTTCCTCGTTCCCGAGCCCTCACTCTTTTTCGTCCCTGAGCTGCTGCTGCCTGCCAGCCAGGCAGCAGCATCGAAGCTCTGTAGTGGGTTCGCGGCCTGTCCACCTGCAAGCGGTGAGGCTTTCTGTCTCTCTTCAAATTCGGCGCGGAGTTCGGGATCCACTGATAATAGTACATCATTAGCAGCAAACCCTAGAATGAAAAGAAAGTGGAGGAGAGAGAAAGAAAGAAAGAAAGGGTAGAACATACTGTTATCCATAAGATACGGCATTCCGAAAACGATTCCCATCGACACAAGAGCAAGAAGAATCATAGGATTCTTAAGAATGCTCAACGGTGAGACTACATGATATATCACAAATCAGCCAACTTGTCTCTCTCTCCAACTATACTAAACTTATCGGATTTGGAACTTTGGGGGGGGGGGGTAGGGGACTCACAACCAGCCCTCTGCACAAAATACTCCTTGCCACCCAAAGCCTTAACCTCAAGCCCCCACACCCGCTCTTCTTCTCCTCCCTCCTCCTCACTCCCCAATTTTCTAACCCCTACCACAGGGCCCTTATTCTCCCACTCATTCCCACGAAACGTGCCCCAGACCAGGACCTCCTCGTCGTCGTTCTCGCCCTCCCTGACATCCACGCGCAGCGGCGCGAACGCATGCGTGTTGCAATGCACATCCAGGAGATACGAGCCCGTTGTCACATTGCGGAAATCGAAGGACCCGTCGATGCGCAGCGGCGCGGAGAACTGCGTGGAGAGAGTCGTGAGCGAGGCGCTGGTGGATGGAGGGAGTGTGCTGGGGTTGGGCGAGGACGGGATCGAGATGCGGATGTGTGCGCTGAGCGCGAGGGGTAGGAGGAGGAGAATGTGGGAGAGGATGGGAGAGATGTGCATCTTGTTCTAGGTGTGAGGCTGTTGTTCAATGAGGGCTGTTGCGGGCGGGCTGCGAGCTTGGTGAAGCTGGGATGTAGGGATGTATGGAGACGTCTGTATTGAGTATAGCCTGGTTTGGGCGGACTAATGATAAGCCGATGATCGAGTTTGTAACTCAGTTGCACATCTGCATCAGAACTCACAGTCAACGAAGGATTAAGATGTGGCACAAATTCTGGTCCTTGGATCAGATGTCTGTTGGAGTATTCTAGGTTACCACTTCTTGACATCTTAAGAGTTCCTGCTTATTACAATTGGATGCTTGCTAGGCCGAGGCTGTCGCATCAAAATAACATGCACACAGCGATTGACAGCCAAAACCTTTGGCTATCGAGGCTCGAAAGTTCTGGCCTGCGCGCTTGACAGACCGTCTTTCCTATCAAGTCGGCTAGTGGCTATGTTGGTTTGGGGCATCTCAGACGTCTTCAAGTCAACTCTTTATACCGTGTCAATCGTTATATATTGCACAGCAAAAGTATGCCCAGCTCGCCCATTCATACCGTTGCTTATTATAATCATTTCCGAAAACAACTCGTTTCACATCCATGCAGAAAATACCAATGATCCACCCACTCGACCTTTCAAAAAGAGGTAATCGGATCCATCGAAGCCATCAAGGCCTCTCTTCCCATATCCCAACCTCCCCACATTATATTCACGTTCCCACATTCCCTCTTTCATACTCTCGACCTCCGGAAAGGCTATATCATGCCTCGTGGAGGTGCCTCATTCATTGCCACCTTATCCTCAGAATCGGCACCGCCTTTCCTAAGCATGTGCAGAGCGAGGATCGTGGTGCTGGCAGCCCATAGAAGCCAGCCGAAAGCAGCGACTACGGCATCGGCTCTCGCGGCAGCACAGACTGACCCACGGCAAAAGAGCAACTTTGAGAGAAAAGCTGCCAGTGCGATGAAGCCAGCGAAGTAGAAAATGGTGTTCAAGAGCTCGAGCGCGAAGTGGGCGTAGGGATGCGATGCTATGATGAGAGTTAATTTCTTCCTTGGAGCTGACCTCTACCCTCGAGATGGATTCAGTTTACCTGTGCCCAGGAAGCGGGGCGTGAATTCAAGATAGACGATAGAGAGAAATGAGAAAAGGGGGACGAAGATCAGGAAGTTGATCTGCGGAGGAGACGAGGTCAAAGTGTCGGCATCGTACCAGTGGGCGACTGTGGATATATCAGTATGCCACCATGGTTTCAAGTACCCATTTCATACCAGAAGCTGAAAGACCCAAGACAACGACAGCAAAGATGCCCTGAGCGATGCGCAGAGGAAGTAGTAGACCGAATGCCATTTTGTACTATTATTGCGATTCCTAAGGTCTGCTGTTCCCCGAGAAATCAATTCGCCGTCAAAACTTCCTTTTGTACAGTTGGAAGCTGTGCAAGTGGTGCTCGCCGCAAAGCAGTGATAGAATAGGAGTTGACAGTGTGATTTGAGATATTGTTACTTCGATGTAGTGAGAAAAGAAGGATCTCTTGAATAAAAATTCGGACTAGCTCTAGCGGATATTGCAACCAAGCAGGTAAAGGGTGAGAAAATAGATGATGATAAAATCCGAACGAGGTATGACTTCCATAATGTATGATGGGGAAGAGCGCTGCATGATATGTATGCTGTATGAGACGAGCCCCCTGTACAACGAAACGCCCTGAGACACTCGATGCTAGAGTCGACTGCATCCCGACAAAGCCACTGCCAGCCACTGGATCGGGGCGTGATGCGAGTTGATCTACTTTCTCAACGCCTGAAAAGCTCGAAACTTCGAAGCAAAGGCCCTCGACGTTTCGCAGTGCAGTCTCGCGGTGCTGCATGTTCTCCAGGAAGATCGGCTTTCTTCCTAAGCGGCGAAGACTGGACGAAACAAAGCACGTCAAATAGTGCCGTGATAGATGAAAGACGAGGAGACTCTCCTGCTCTGGGATGATGAAGTTGATGTCTCGGTATCCTTTCACTTTGACATCTTGCTCGGGCCAAGGGGAAGGCTTTGCTTCTCAGGATAGAAGCAATGCTCAGTAAGTACCTACCTGAGGCTACCTCAAAGGCGGCCTATAAGGGTATCTCATACCTTGGTTAAACACACTGTTACCATCACTTGACGAGTCTTTAAGAGGTATATCTAAGGTATATAGAGAGCCTTGTATTTTATTAGGATTGTCTTCTTTAAAACGACCGTCCTATGACCGTCGTAGAAAGAGGATTAAGGTATCCTCGCTTAAATAGCCACCCTTGGCATTTTCTGTTGCTGCTCCTATGTCCGAGCGTGCAAGTGAAATCACATCCCAGAGGCCCATGATATCACAGATACATCCTGGTAAGTCAGCAATTGCCAAATCCAAACATGCTCACCAATATTGATCCCGAGTAGCCAGGACGGCAGTAACCCCCATCATTCCGGAACGCTTGGTTGTCAATCTGGAGCCAACTACCAAGTCCATCTACGCCAATGGAGACAGTATGGACAGACAATGGGTGGGCTACAACTATTGCGACTGCGATTGCCCAGCCGTATTCTGGCTCACTTCCAGAGGCATGCAACGACATCAATACTGTTCGGCCTGGTCGCGTCAACCCGTGGATCCCTTGCAATTTTTGCAACTCTTTTCCAGACGGTTGAATATTTCACCGAGGATGACTTTATATGTGGGTATCGCAAACGCACTTGCAGAGAACGATCGCCACTCAGGGAATGCGCCCCTTGTACGCTCCTCGTTTTGCCCGGCTTTTGCCCAGCACCTGGATCTCGATAGCCGCGGATAACGTTTGAATGACAACTGAACGTGTGCGAAGAGCTGATAGCCAACATGAGCATGAAAAGGGGTTGATGATACAAATGTCGGCTACCTCTTGTAGAAATGTACCGCATGTCCCAACCTGTGTCGGTATCTAGCCAAGCCGCACGGCCTTGCTGATCGAATTCAGCTTCCGCGGCGATCGCCACGCGGTTCCCTCAAAGGATTATCAAGCTGTTGGTTTCCGAAAAAGGCAAGATTGTCTGGTGTGATTGGTACGACGTTGAGTATTCCCTTTTTCGACCAGGTATCTTGGTTAGTAAGACGGAAGATTAGCGAGACTAGGTAACAAACAAACCGGGGGACATAAGGTAGGGTTAACCGTGGGTCTTCGGACCCTCTCTTTCAGATCCTTAGGTTGGCTCCACGGCAGCGCCAATGGGAGACAACAAGCATGAATGGTAGCCATGCCGTGCCAAGGGCTCTGCAACGTTGGTTGTACGTATTAAGTGGGGATCAAGAAGTTCTCTCCGGTTTTATTCTGCCCATTGAAATTCATCCGCAGGGTTCTGTACCCAGGCAGCAACAGTGTTGCCTGCTGTATAGAGTAATACATGTCAAAAAGTCTTGTTGTTTTGAGTTAGAATAGGGCCTAGTGGGCCTCTATATCAGCGTATATCCCGTGTCATAGGGTATAGCCTGTACCTCTGTACGTACTTTGAAGGCTCATTTTGCACCTGACTTCCTCTACCGAGTCCATTCCTTAGTCTTACCTACTGTACCTCTTATCTTCCAGATCATTACCCCATATTTCTAGACCAGTATAGTCAGACTGTCAGACATGGGAGCCCTCTGGGACGGGGCGTAATCAAGGGGGTCCCCATGTCAGCGTATATCTCATACTTGTGGACCGTAGCTCTCTCTACGTACTTCGTAGGCTCTTTTTGCGTTTGACCTCCTCCACTCCTTACATATTCTTCTTCTCCCAGACTATCTGGTCAGTATAATCAGATATGGTCTTCTGGGAGGGGACGCAACCAAGGGTTCATGAAACTGGCCCTTTCACCCACCAGGCAGAGGCAGTACCGCTGGACAACTTCGACCATGACAGCAATTTGGGGGCCGAAACTTTGCTTACTCCATCAGCGTCAACGCATCTGCTACCATCTCTGAAGCAGTCCCTGGAAAGAGCAGTGTATGCTCCCTTCTATCTTTACTACCCCTTGTGTTATTGCAGCACTTACGCCTAACAACCTGTAGCATTTGGATCCTATGTTCAACCACAGCTCTTTGCACAAGTAAGCAGCTGATGTTGAAGCATGGCTATCGTAAGGCTGACCTGCACTTCTTTCATTTGGACCTCTCCTGACTCTTCCAGATTATCGTACGTCAACCGTAACTTGAATTCTCACTTGCGTGGCTGATTCGAAGATGCCAGCTGCCGCACTTGCACTTAGATTTTTTGCCATACTCCTGTGCGCCTATTTGAGCTGCATTTTAATATGCTCCAACTTTTCAAACAAGATCACGAAGCGCTGGAGTAGATTACCATTGGGAACTGAAACCCCAAGATGGCAGAGTTTCATCCCAAGCATGAGTCGGATTCCCATCACTGGGTCGGCCCTCGCCGCTGCTGCTTCCATTCCAATGCTTTTGGAAGGCATCTTACACATGCCTAGTCTTCCGGTCTTAGTAATGCTATTCGTAAGTTTATTCGTTGGGAACTCTTCAAATAGCTAATCAATCTGTAGCCCATTATATATGCGGTGGAGGACCTGGTCCTATATTGCTTCCATTTCGATTCTGAAAGACGCCATCCCATCGAGACTCTGATCACCGTCAGCGCGTCCTTCGTGATCCTCTACAATGAGTACCGCCTCATGGTACCAGGTCTCATATGGGGGATCTCTAGCATGATTTCCATTGGGATCTCAAGAGCATTGTTCCTTATTGGCTCCAGTGCCGCTCATAATACAAGCCATAACAAGTTTGGGCAGAGTGAGTTAGACTCGCATCCTCAGGTGGAGCGTAAGTTTTACCAGGAATTCGTTGTCCTCACTAGCATTTTTGGCTTGGTTGTCAGTGGTCTCATAGGATATTATTTTGAGCGCGTTGAACGAACTCCGTCATATTTGTCCGTGGGATTAATGGCTATGAACGTCGTCTCTATTCTTGGCACCTTTTTTTCTGGAATCTTTCCCTTTGCATATTTCCCCATTATGTCTGCAGAATATGTCCCGAGATGTCGTAGCTCACCTGAGTTAGCCACTCAATTCCTCGCATCTTTGAGTTCGAACCTCATATTGTTATTGTTATCAGTCTATCTTTTTCCTGTTGTGCTATCTGGAGTCCAGGTGACTGCTTATTTGGTTTCCGTCCTTGCCCAAGCTAGACTATCACAAACCGCAACTCCAACAGCATCCTCGAACCAGCAAACATCAGCATGGTTGCTTTTTACTCGAAAGCCTACGAAAAGTTTAACTTTTTGGATCTTTCCCGCCCTCCTAGTAGTCTTCGGGTCGATCTTGTACTCAGTCTCTGACAATACTATCGGTTCCATCCAAGCTCCCTTCCCAAGCGCCCTCGACCACACATACGACTCAACAAACAATTCCCGATTCGATATCGTAATCAGCATGTACACAGAATCACCAGAGTCTGTAAAGACAATGATCGAATCCCTCAAAACCACCTCATTCCTCCAAACCATCACGCCCAACGTCATTGTCTACACCAAAGACCCACATGCCAATCTAGAGCTTCTCAAGTCTTCCACAGGAGCCGATACCATATACCAGCTTGAGAACCTCGGCCGTGAAGGCGGCACATATCTACACCACATCGTGTCCAAGTGGGACAATTTAGCAGAGCAAACGCTCTTCATCCAAGCCCACGCGCATAACATACGGGAACTACTTCCCCGAATAAACGACTATCTAGTGGCCGGAACAGGAATGTTAAGCTTAGGCTTTACGGGAGTTACTTGTGATTGCAATAGTTGTACCGATCGTTGGGGCTGGGAAGACAAATGGGAGGTAAGCACAGCTTTGAATCTCGGAGAGTTGGTAGTCTCGAAGCATGATACTAACCGTATCCAGGTTATCCCACGGCTGTATGAAAAGATCTACGACAAGACCTGCGACGACAATACACAGGTTCTCATGTCATACAAAGGGCAATTCGTCGCCAGCGGTAGACGGATTAGAGGGATCAGCAAAGCTATTTACGAGGATCTATTAGCAGCGATCGCAAGCAGGGATGGCTGGAGCCATGATGCTCATTATGTGATCGGTCCGGATTCGGGCGATAATCCGTATTTCGGATTCACGGTTGAGAGAATATGGGGGCTCTTGATGCAGTGTACTGACCTGCGCGTTGCATATCGATGTCCAAGTCTTTTGAGTGGAATGGGGAGAGCAGGCAAGGTGGAGGACTGTCAGTGTTTGGATGATGTGAGGGAGTAATTCTGATTGAAGCTGTCGGTTCATCGCCATCTACTCATGTCGACAGGCGTCGGCCTCGCTATTAAGGGGCGGCTTTGTTTTCGCAAAGCCGGCAGAAGCAAAATGGTCCGGATAGGTGGTAGATGACTGGAAACCCAAGAACGCCTCGTTGGAAATCCGGCAGAGAGGTATATAACCAAAAACAGACAGAGAAAAAGCAAAAAAACATCAACAAAAAGAGAAGACTGCGCAATGGTTCGCAAAAACACAGCTCTCAAGCGTATACTGCGGGTTATAAACCCCCAACGTCTTATCCTGCTCGCACATGGCATCAATCTCAGTGAAGAAATTACTCTTGCAAGTCCAACTTTTTGAAATCGACTTCCGTCTGGGGTCTATCCTCAGGGCAAGCGGCGACGTCAAACGAACAACGTGACAAGGGACATGGCTTTGCCGTTCTCGGCGGCCCCAGGTTGTCTAAGTGGCCATATTCATCGATATCATCCTGTGGAAATGGTTCAGCTTTAGGCGCTCGTAGTAGGCTTCAGCTATCCAAAGTAGAAATTATCTGCAAGACCGCTCTTCGATGTTTTGATGGTTCTCTTCTTTTGGTGGGATGATAACTAGAGACAAGGGGAGGTGGGGGGACCTCTCCAAATACGCCTATATTCATCTCCCGGGCTCCAGATAGTATATCTCCAAGCCCCTCAAATATATCTAGCATCCCACAATTCCACATAATCAGTAATCGCGACATGTATGTAATATGCTGTACACAAGCACAGATATCTCTATACATGTAGAATTAGTTATCTTCGGTAAAAGCAATTCCCATAAAATGTATCCCCCCCCCCCAAAAATGCTTTCTCCATACCCCCACCACACGTCCCCAGCACCTACCTACGAACATACATACCCCCGAGAAGATAATCCTACCTACATAAGCATTCAACCCATAATAGGTAAAGCGCATCTATATTACACTTACTAGCGTCTTAAAATGACGCTAGTAAAAGTAAGCGAGTGCTTAATACAATGCTAGCCCAAACGCCTAAAGAGGACGAATTAAGCCGTTTTGCGACGTGCAACAAAACTGGCGCGATTGCTGGGAAATAACTGGATTCACAGGATTACCTTAGGTTTTTGCTCAATTATGCGAATCTTCTAGGGAACAGGACTCGGGGCCGGTGTATGACGTGCAACAATACTCCTCTTGTCGTAAGGCTAGTGTCTAATCGTTGGTTCGCTTACCTGCCGACCCTCGCTTATTAGGGGGGCTGCAAGGGGGTCGAAGACCAGTAAGCCCAGAGACGATAGACCTTGGGGATTAATCACTGTCTATAGGGATCAAATACCGGTTCTTAGCTACACAAAAAGATGGCCGGTGTTGTTGAATATTTGAGAATCTATGGAATCATGTTATGCTTACTGGCCCACGTTTCTTTGCGCAGGAACCTCCCCCCTCCTAACTTCCTAAGTTCCCAATACTTCATTGCACAGGAAAGCCAACATTCAACCAAAAGCCACAAAGATGGCAAAATTTACAACTATCCCAAACTGTGGCAAACGCTGACCAGCGGATATCAACACAGTGAAAGCGTTATTTGCGAGCGCAGCAGGTGTGTTGCTATGCTACTCGCTGTAAAATCGAGGATCTTCGCATTTCACCGCATCCCAAAATTGACATGCGCTGATTCTTCACAGCTACGTTGAAGGCTCGATAGACGGAACAGAAATACGAAACATTGGTAATGATCTGGTTCATGGCTGAGAGTACCCGGGAGAGACCTTGGCTGAAAGCAGACAAGGAGTTAGAGGAGTTGTGGAGCCAATTTCCAGAGCTGTCTTGTAGAAAGGTGGTGCAATTGCTCCAGTGAGGATTTCCGACGTAGTTCCAAATTGTCCGAGTATGTAAATCCTCCTTCAACAATATCTGATTATGCTCAGTCAAATGTTTCATTTCATTCCAATGAGTAAACTTACTTGAGACAAAGACAGCAGGAACTTCGTCCCGACTCTGGAGGGTTGAGCGGGAATAGTTTTACCATCAATACAGGGCTGAAAGCTGTTGGGGTTGATACCGCTGTAGATTATAGTGCCAGGGAATCCTGGTTCTGTTGCATTCAGTCCAACAGTCGTTTTCGATCTGAGACAGGAGATCTTAGTAAGAGGAAGCCCGCTCATCTCTTTACGGTCGATGCGACACTGGTTACACACATTCGTAACACCACAATTAAGACTGGCGGCATGATTTGCTCCAAGCTTTTGAACATCAGAGCTTGGAGCAACATCTCATCTGCCACCCGATTCTGAGATAGCTACGGTTATGAGATTCCACATGCGATGATGTACTGATAGTGAACGTGTTGGTAGCTCCAGCTGATTGTCCGAACAAGAGGACTTTTTCTGTAGATCCGCAGTTGGTGGATCATGTGACATTTTCAACCAAATGCCTCTACTTGCTGGATCACCTCTAAACGCTGCGATATTGGATTGAATCCACTGCAGTCCAAGTAGACCGTAGAATATCATGGATGCCAAAGTTTCCGTCAATACCCGCGCTCTCATGAGTCAAGAAATCGAGCGGGCCGAGTCTGTGATTTATCGAGACAAGGAGGGCGCTATCCGCAGCCAGGTTGCATCCATCTACACTGGGTTTGTAATGTCACAGACTGCTCTCCTCGATAGATCCATACCTTTACCGGAAGGCCAGACGAGACGTTCGCGTTTGGAGGAACCCACACAACGAGATGTAATTAGTCTTCAGATGTAGCCCCCATATTCAAGGAAGGTGGTTCGAAATTGGATGCAACTAGACCATGAAAAGTTGCATTGAGCATTCCAGGAAAATAATTGCCTGTATGATGCAAAGCGAAGGTCGCCGACAGGTAGCTTAGCATATGTGATATTCAGATAAGAGCACGCCAGAGGAGGAGCATCGAGCTCCGCGAACAGTGCCTATAGTGATGGCAACGTTGAGAGGTCTGACACTAAGGAAAGAACCCACCAATGTCACAATATGACTAGAGAAACCAGAAGGAGGTGCATTCTCAACATATTGCAAAGAGGTATAAAGGAATGGAAACATAGACCAAAAGACGATGTTTGATCGCAAAGGAGCATATAGTGCGGGAGTGATGGAAAAAAAGAGAGGCACTTAGATTTATTGTTACACGGGATATTCGATCTATCGTCGTATCGCAGGAACCAATGAATTGAATTGACTAAGTAAAGTAATTATACAAAGTGCCTCTATAGCTATAGTAAACAACTAGGAATTTTAGCGGGTTACTAACCCTGATTAGGTTAGACTAGAGTCCTAGTCCCGTAACTAATAACCTTACGTAGTAGGCTAGTAGTTTCTTACAACACACCCCTAAATCTACGCCTATAACGTCTTATCTATCTATCTAGCCTAAATTCTATACTACCTGCCGTTCTACTAAGTAAGATACTAAAAGAGGAAATAGAAACAGTAGACTAGTAAGATTCTACTACTACTGTCGCTAAAAAGGGAAATAGAAATAGCGAACTAGTAAGTTTTCTACTGTCCTATTACTATAAAAGGAAATAGAAATAGTAAACTAGTAGGTTTTTATCGCTTTTAATACTAAAAAAGGAAATAAGAACAAGGAATCGTCTTAATTAAGTAATTAGGATAGCTATAGTATACAGATTTAATAGCTTTAAGAACTTAGCGTGTTTAGGTCCTTTTAGAGCTTTAGTAAGCCTATCTACTACTATATCCTCTATACGCTTAAACTAAACCTCTATTTTGCCTAGCGCTTAAATATAGTAGTACTATACGTTAATATACTTAGTTCTCTAGTAGATAACTAGGTTATCTATTAGCGCTAAAGATCCTTAGTTATTACTATATATTTAGATCGTTTTAGTGTCTTTAGAGTTAATACCTAACTTATAGAATAGCTACCTTAGCTAGGTAGCTTTTCTTATAGCGTTAAAGAGCCTATAGTACTCTATTTTTATAAAAGAGAGTACTACTACTTATAGGCGCTTTAATCTAAAGGATATTACGCTACTATAGTAGTTAAATAAATATCTAATAGTTAATCTTTGTGTTTTTATATAACTAGTGTAGTCTAAATTACTATATCTATATAATCCCTTTAACGCTCTTTTACTAGCCTTATATATAATTCTTAAGTTAGGCGTACCTTATAAGTATTATAGTACGTGTTTTATAGTACTTATATAGTTAGTAAAAAGGTTTGTAAGATAGCGTAATAGTACAGATATTAAATAGTATAGATCTAGGCGTATTTAAGTCAATAAGTATATAAGTAAACTAATAATTTACTAATATAGTTTAATTTAATCTACTATAACGTAATCTAGGTTTAAAACTATAAGCTTTGTATAAGCTAGGTCTAATAGTGTTTTAGAGGCTTTGTAGTTACTTATCTTAAAACGTTTAAGTACCTTCTTAATGTAAGCGTCTTATATAAGGGATATAGTCTTATTACTTCTGTTCTTAACGATCTTAACGCCTATAAAGTAGTAGTAAAGACCTAGATCCTTTATCTTAAACGCGTTCTATAAGGCTACTTTTAGATTAGTTAGCTCTTTCCTTTTTAGGCCGACTAATAAGAAGTTGTCTACATAGGTTATAATAATTAATCTACTCTTAAGGTATTAATATATATAATTATTAGCTATTAAGGGCTTAAAACCTAGCTTAATAAGTACTTAGTATAGCTTTAGCTACTATAACTATAAAGCCTACTTTAAACTATATAAAGCCTTGTTAAGCTTATAGACATAGGTATTATCTTTACTAGAGCTAGTTAGAAGTTCTATATATATATCCTTATTAGCTTTCTTATTTAAAAAAGCTATAATGTAGTCTATTTGTTTTGTTTCTTAGTCTTTCTTAGCTATTAGGGCTAGGATTACCTTTTAAGTCATGCTTTTAGCTACGCTAGCGTAAGTCTGATCGTAATTACGCTTATAGCGTTACTTATATCCTTTAACTACCTAGTAGGCCTTATAGCGTACTACTAAACTATTAACGCTAGTTTTCTTCTTAAACACTTACTTACTACCTAAAACCTTAGTACCCTTTTAAAGGTTTAATCTCTTAACTAGACTCTATATATCGTTCTTTATAAGTAAGTTAAGTTTGTTCTATATAGCCTCCTTCTACTACTTAGACTTAACGCTACTAACTACCTCTTTATGTATAATTAAGACGTTTTCTAGATTATCTTTAACTATAGTCTAGTAAGTAGCGTAAAACGCTATAGCTATAGTAGAATAAGCTAATTACTATACCCCTTGTTTAGTATTATCTCTTGTATCCTCCTTAGTTATATAACGTAATTAGGATCAAGTTATTTAGGTAGTTTTAAGGTTAATAAAACGTATAAAGTCTTAAGCTTAAGCTAGAGCTAGAGTTGCCTTTAGCTTGTTCTTTAAACCTTTTAGGCGCCTCTAGCCGTACTTAATAGCTACTAAATTAGGTAAGGCAGTAGTTAACTAATCTTAGATCTGTTCTATAGTAGAGTTAGTATTAGCTAGTAGATTAACATTAGTAGTAGTAAAGGGCGGTTTCTTAGCTATTTTAGTTACTTTAGCTAGATCTTAATCTTTAGCTAGCTCTTAATCTTTAGCTTTATCTTTACCTTTAGTGTTTGTTAAATCTATAAGTAGATTAGTTAGTAGGTATAGTTTAGTTAGTAGTAACTATATCTTATTATCTAATACTTCTAATACAAAACCTCTTTTATTAAATCTTATGTTTAATAATCTAACGATCTTATAAGCTCTTAAGAGTACGTAACAGTAGTATATTTAGTAGCCTTTAAAACTAAGAAGGATCCTCTTTTTAGTACGCTTATTAAACTTCCTTAACTTAACCTGTCTTTAATCTAGGATATAAATATATACCTTATAGCTAAGTACTTATAAGTAAGCTATAGACAGCTTATTGTCTTAATTTAGGTATAGCTAATCTATAAAGGCTTAATATAAGGTTTTGCCCTTAATAGCTAACGTAGCTATTTTGTTAACAACATAAATTGTCCCTTCTAGTAACTCTAGCTATAGCTCTTTAGGGACGTTCTAGTTAATTATAGTAGATCGTAGCCGTCTAGCTATAATCTTGTTTGTAATCTTAGACATACCTAGTTACTTAAGGGTATATAGTATAGTCTCTTTAACTTAAATCCCTTTTACCTTATAGACGCTAGTTAATACGATACTACTATATTCGTTACTACTATTAACTGTTAATATAAGGATCTTAAAGAGGGCAAACTAACGCTCTGTTATATTAATAAAGCTAAGGATCTTATTATAAGCCTTCCCTTTCTTCTTATAAGAGTAGCCTTATCTAGTATAAGTTACTATATCTATTATAATAGTAGTATAGTACTTACTATAGAATCTAATTAAGGTAACCTCTACTACGTCTATACTTACCTCTTAGAGTATAATAGTAGGCCGGTATTTAATAAAGCGTCTAACTAAGCGTAGTAGCTTAGACAGCTTATAAGGCTTATATAAAACTGTAACGCTAAGATCTATATCTATAGGCTTATCTATAATCTATATACTAGTAGTAATTTCTATAGTCTTTTAGACGTTATTAAAGCCTAGGTACCCTAGTCTCTTATACTATAGTTTAATTCCTAGTTTGCCTTATTAAAGAGTAGCTAGTAGTACTATAATATAGTAGCTAGGCAAGTCTAACTATAGATATACCCTTATATCGTTAACCTTATAGAGTATAAGTGTCTCTTCTTCTCTATCTAAAAGGGCTCTCTTTATAATAGATCTACTATAGCGTAATAGCTTAATACCTAATAAGAGATTAATAAGAAAGGTTAGAATAAACAGAACTCTCTTTAGCTATAGTTCGTAATACTAATCGCTCCTTACCTTAGCCTTTAGGACGATATTACTATAACCCTCTAGTTAGATTAATCTAGTACTTATTAGAACAAGTTATAACTACTTAGTTACTTTAAAGCTATAGAAGATTAACTTATCGTTATATATATAGTAAGTTACCCTTATATCTAGGTACTAGTTCTTCTTTTAAAACTTCTTTTAAGTAGCTAATCTAAGCGCTACCTTTAACGCTCTTAGGCCTAGTACGCTATTAATCTAAGGCTACTAATTACTTACTATATAGAGTAATATAGCGCTCTTTAAAGACTCCTTTTAGTCCTTCTTTAGACGCTTTTCTAAGAACGTAGTCTAGTAATTGTCTTTATCCTTTATAACGTAGAGCTTACTATAGTATTAGTACTACTTTCTCTTAAGCTTCTTCTTATCTTTATCCTTGTCCTTACCCTTTCTCTTATTCTTGTTATCTAGCTTACTACTATATAGTAATACTAATAAAGGTACTAATCTACTATCCTTTACCCGGGCTTTGTCTTTAATCTCTATAACTAATATATTAAGTAATAAGGTACTTTTCTTACTACTTTTCTATAGGTTTTAAAGGGATTAGTGTCTTTTAGCCTATTAAGGAAAGGCTTTTATAAGTTAATTAATAAAGATAATAGTGTATAAGTAGTCGCTCTTAGGCGCTATATCTAGTTATATAGCTTATTTAAGTTAAGTTATAAAGGCATTAATAAACTTCTCTATATTATTATAATCCTTATATCTAAGTAGCTAGAACTTATCTGCTGCTTAATACTACTAAGTAAACCCTTTGTCTTTATAGTAATTAGCTAGCTTAGTCTACATAGCCTTTACTAAGTCTACTTTAGCTATAAGATTAAGTACTAGAACTAACGATATGTTCTCTTTAATAACCTAACGCGTTATAGTGTTACTAGCTCTTTATTTGTTATACTAATCTAGCTCTTCTTTTGTTATAGTAGTATTACTATACTTATAAGACTTAAGGACAGGATACTTCTTAGATATAAACCTGTTAAGCTTATTAGCTTTAAGTATGTCGTATATATCTGTCTTTTAAGTATAGAAGTTACTCTCGCCTTATAGCCTCTTACTACTTGTAAGCGTAGTTAAGTTAGACATTATAGATTAGTCTAGGGTTCTGTAATATAGTTGTTATCCCCTAGGCTCTATAATCCTGTCTAGAGCTCTATTCGATTAACAGATATACTATAATCAAAAACAGGCTTTACTATAACGAATCTTATAATAGATTAATAGATCAAACGATTCGAATTCGAATTTAGTGTTAGAGGAGATCGAATAGTATTACTACTATGTTACACGGGATATTTGATCTATCGTCGTATTACAGGAACTAATGAATTAAATTAACTAAGTAAAGTAATTATATAAAGTGCCTCTATAGCTATAGTAAACAACTAGGAATTTTGGCGGGTTGCTAACCCTGATTAGGTTAGACTAGAGTCCTAGTCCCGTGACTGATAACCTCACGTGGTAGGCCAGTGGTTTCTTGCAACATTTATTATAGGAATTAAATGATTATGATAACGATGCCGCATGGCAGCATGATCTATTAATACAAAATCTTTCTGGACCTGAATCAGAAATTTCGAGATTAAATAAGAGCCGTTCGGTTTCAAGTATGCGCGAGTAGGCGATTATCCCCAAACATCTAATTGAAGGAGAAGCTGACAGCGAGAAAACAAAGTGACAGCTGCAATTGACAGCATAACAGAGTGTAAAGATAGGATCAGATGATTCAGAGGGTAAGCATGGAAAGCTGTAGCGAGGCGCAGCCGCACATCAGATGTGCAAGGAAATCCGAGACTGAGACCGAGTATCCTTGCTCTTGTCCAACGGAACAAATAGTAATGCTCAAAAGCCAAAATACAGAATATAATGTCCTGTAGAGCCAAAGTCTTGTTACTACCTGGGCAGTTAATGGCCCTGGCGTCCAGGAGGTGGAAATAAGTCTGCTCCAATTTCACCCGCAATAACCTGGGATCTCTAAAACCGGCCTTCCTCTCCTTCCCACCGTGCCGAATTAGCTATACTTGTTTCGAACTTTCGATGAATGGAACGAGCCTCTGAAATCACTTGTTCCATCCACAGCCTTATTAGACCTCTTCGTGGAGCCTTGTGATCCAGACTCCAAAGTGACTTGAGGGGGATTGAGAGAGGATGCAAAAGAGGATGTTCTTCCTAATACTAAACAATCAGTTGGAGTCTATGGGTATACCCTCTGAGGTTAGTAGACCCTGTGCGCCAGTTGCCAACCAGAAAGCTTCTCTGTGTCATGACAGGCATTTATGCCTCTCCTAAATTCCTAATGCAACCGTCTCTCCCAATTTTGGGCCCCAGAAGTAAAAATAAGACTGAGCTTATGTACGTATCCGTCCGCCCATCTTCAACAAAACTGCATTATTCATCTCCTCAGACATGACACTTCATGTCGTCAATAGAACCAAGGCCCATTTCAACTGAATTTGATATCCAACAGATCACCCAGCTCCAAAACGAGATAAGCTATAGGACTCTACTGCACAAGTTGGCCGGCGTATATCCAGGATGCCTGTTCAATACATATAGGCCGAGCGGGAGCGGTTTAGAGACTGGAAGGCTTTGCGTGTGAAAGCATCTAGACTTCTATGTAGGATGTGACCTTGACACATAAACCACGCAGCAAGGCCGGCCAGTTGAGTGATTAAATTGAAGACCAAGAGGATTTCAGAAGATCAAGGTCCGAGAGGACGTATGAGAAGAGGCAAAGCAATACATCACTGCTCATTGCGAGCAATTCGCGACGAATGGTCTATCAGGAAAGGAAGCGCATGGTAATCGGATGTTGGGCGGTGTGCCACCGACATCTTTGGGAGACTACTCCCCGAGTATACTCATCAACTTACGGAGGTTCCAGAGCTAGAATATCACACCGACAATATGCAATCGTCACATAATGGACTCACATACGAGGTGGATGGGGAGCTTTCTCTTTGGCTTTCGACTCTTGAGTAGAATTGTAACAAGAGATATGCACGATGGGTTTATCGCGAAGTCCCACCTCGGAGAATCGGCGCCGAGATAATCGGTGACGCTAAGTTGCGCTAAACCTATCTCGTCTATCAGCAGAAATAATTCTTCGGCAAAAAAATATTCTAGGAAATACTCACCTCAAAGTTCTTGCGAGGACTCTCCAGAGGAAACAAGACATCAATCCATTCAAGATGGGAGTCGGACGACGGATGAAGAAGCAGGGTCCGCCCGAACCTCTCGATGAAGCACATTTTACCAACTTGAAGCGAAAGGCTGGCATGTCAGTTGCGGAATCGAGAGCAGAAAGCCAGCAGTATGAGAGTTCGAAGAAGAGGAGAACAAGCGGTGGGGAGGGGAAGAAAAACAAAGCTCCAAAGGAGGATGATACTAAAAAGGCGAAGGCAAATGGGAAGGAGAAGGGGAAGGGAGGATTTACAAACTCGATGGCTTTGCCCAAACCTGCTGCGAAAAAATCGAAGCCTGCGGCAGCTCCTTTACCTCAATCCGGCTCAGAAGACGAAGATTCCGATGCCTCAGATTTAATGAACGATGAGTTCGACGATATTTCAGGATCAGACGCAGAAGGGGGTCTGGGAGATGGAGAGGATTTTCTGGATTCAGGGTCGGACGTATACGATTCTGATCAAGATCATGCGCACAAAGCCATGTTTTCCGAAGATGAAGACGAGTCAGATGCGGAGGAGAAATTGACAGCTGCAAATATCGAGGGTCTGTCGCGGAAGCTGGACGAAGAGCTTGCAGAGCAGGAAGCACAGGCGCAAGCTGAGTTAGAGGAGGCAGCGATGCAAACAAACATTGCCGGAGACAAGCCACACATTTTTGATGATGAGGAAGAGGAGGGGATGGGAGTCAAAACGAATGCTCTGCTTGCACCAGATCTTCAACTATTAAGGACTCGAATCACTGATACGGTGCGAGTCTTGGACGAATTCTCGAAGCTGGCAGAAGAGGGACGATCAAGAGCTGAATATACTGCGCAATTGATCAAAGATATCTGCGCATATTATGGATATTCGCAATACTTGGCCGAGAAGCTTTTTAATCTCTTCCCTCCCAAAGAGGCTTTCGCCTTCTTCGAAGCAAACGAAACTCACCGACCTGTTGTTATTCGAACGAACACTCTGCGTACACACAGACGAGAGTTAGCTCAGGCGCTCATTAACCGTGGTGTCACTCTCGAGCCTGTGGGAAAATGGTCTAAGGTTGGTCTTCAGATCTTCGAAAGTGCCGTCCCCTTGGGAGCCACACCGGAGTACTTGGCTGGTCATTACATTCTGCAAGCTGCGTCCTCCTTCCTTCCCGTTATGGCGCTTGCGCCACAAGAGAACGAACGAATCCTCGATATGGCCTCCGCTCCCGGTGGAAAGACCACTCACATCGCCGCATTAATGAAGAACACCGGATGTATCTTCGCCAACGATAGCAATAAGGCTCGTGCCAAGGGTCTTATTGGTAACATCCATCGCCTCGGCGCCAAAAACGTGATTGTATGCAACTACGATGCGCGAGAGTTCCCCAAGGTTATTGGAGGTTTTGATAGAGTGTTGCTCGATGCCCCATGCTCCGGTACGGGAGTCATTGCCAAGGATCCCAGCGTTAAGACGAACAAGACCGAAAAGGATTTCCTCATGCTTCCGCATCTGCAAAAGCAATTATTGCTGGCGGCTATCGACTCCGTGGATCACACAAGCAAGACCGGTGGCTATATCGTCTACTCGACCTGTTCCGTGACGGTTGAGGAAAACGAACAGGTGGTACAATACGCGCTCTCCAAACGCCCGAACGTCAAGCTCGTCGAGACGGGTTTGGTCTTTGGAAAAGAGGGCTTCACGGCATACATGGGCAAGACATTCGACAAATCCCTGAAGTTGACTCGAAGATACTACCCGCATGCCTACAACGTCGACGGGTTCTTCGTATCCAAGTTCAAGAAGACCGGACCATCACCCGCCAACAGTTCAGCTGGTGTTACGAACGCACCGAAGAGGGAAACCGATGATTTGGACGTCGATAAGAGACCTATCTCGGAGACAGAGGAGGAGCAGGAACAGAAGGAAGATTTTGGAGGCTGGGATGAGGAGGAGGATCAGGCTTATATTGAGAAGGCCAAGAGGAACCTGTTGCGCAAAAAGGGTATCGATCCCAGGGCTAGGAGGGGCGATGCCAGCAAACAGGGAGCTAATGGAGCGAGCCCGAACGGGACAAAAAAGTCGACTAAGGCGAAATAGGTAGCAATGGGATGCTTTGATATTTGATCTTCAACCCTCTCTTTTCTTCTGCATCTCTCTGTTGGGATAATGCCTCGAAGCAGATCGGTTGGTGTCCTGTTCTCTCTAGCTCCTCTGAGGTGTTTAGGGCAAAAAGTTCAAGCCACATCTCTGCGTGCGGTTTTAGGGGTCCTCTTTGTTTCTTAGCATGCAGGTAATATAGACTTGCATTGATAATGGAAGGCGTAGTATAGGCTCACAGACCTGTCTCAGTCGTATCTTATCGTGTTTCATTAACTTCCTTTTTTTTTAAAATCTTTTCACTTGTTCGGGATGTGCACGAAATGTCTGGTGAGGATTCTCAATTACTATAGGAGATTTGAAAAGGATTGGATTGATGGGTAATAAGCAAGTGGTTGCTACGGATTCGAGATCATGTCCTGCTACCTACCCCGGAACAGATCATGATGAGCAAGTCATTGCTTTTTATGCTCCTTTCTGCCCATACTTAGACCTATCATACTCTCTAAATTCAAATTGATCATGAACTCTAACAATTAGATAAGCTTAAAGACAGCTTGTCAAGCCCATGACTTAAAGTTACACGGAATCTCCGGTCAGGAATCACTGAAAATACTTTAATAATTCTTATCTCATGTCTAGATTTCTGGCTAGCAGAATCCGAGAAAGTTTCCAAGACTACGACAATCCTGTTATGGAGTTCAGTCCCGTAAAATTAGATTGTTCAATATTTTGTCCTCAAGGCCATGGACGTATCATTACTTTCATAACAATCATAACTCATCGTCTGACTCGGTCTCTGATCCTTCTGGAGCAGCAACAGGCTCTGGTGGCGGGGGAGGTGTCTCTTTTGGAGTTGGCTTCTTCGCGAAGGGTAGTTCGCGTTTCGGTGGAAGAGGTTCATGTTCAGCTTGTGGTGCAGGTGTTGTTGTCCTTGCACGGGTATCTCTCCCTTCATTTTTAGTATTATTGGCAGTGTTTCTCGTTGGAGCTGGAGCTGGAGCCGGGGGTGCTAAATCCTCATCTGATGCTTCATCGGCTGTCGATTCTTGATCTGGTGTTTGTGGCTGTTCATCCGCAGAATCGGTCGGTGGCTGCTGGGCATCAACTTCCATCTTCTCAAAGCCACCATCCGAATCATCTTCACTCTGGTCTTGTATTGCTTTTACAGCCTTTCGCTTTCCTGCCCTGGATGGGCCCACTGAGGTTGATCTAACAGGTGTTCGACTCTCTTCCACAGCTGCCAACCTTGCAGGGTCGACATTTGCGGAGGCAAGCAAACGCTGTTGATCCCGTATCTTCAGCTTCTTTTCGTTAAGGAGGAGGGAGAACTTTTCGATAAGCTCGTTCTCATTATCATTCTTCAGCTTGACCATTTCTGCCAGTGTCTCATTGAGCTTCTTGGACTCTTGTTCTTTCGCTTTTAGCTGCGCTTTCAAGGCCTCCAATTCCAGGAGGACTTTGTCCCTCGATTTGACGGCAAGCCCACACCAGTCGTACAGTTCAACAACCTCATCCTGCTCGGTTAATGTGATAGCGCCGAGTTTGAGCTAACTCAATGTTAGCTCATATCATATAGGAAAGGTTTGGAAACCCTACTGTTATGCCTTCGATGCGTTTCTGAATGGTGATCGTCATCGAAGCTTCGCCCTCCAATTTAGCAACAGCCTCGACACCCTGCTTGTCCTCGATTTGTTCTGCGCCGAGTAGAACGTGAGCCAATACCTGATCCCATTGTTCCGAGCTGCCCGAGAATTTCTTATCCTTCAAGGAACCTGTTTGATTGTGCTTCACTATCAGATGAAGGTTTGATTAGCTCCGGGATGGATGCATGAAATGAGGTCCAGGGCCCCGGCCAGGCGATTGGTCCGATAGCTAACTCACCTGAGACTGAGAAGACAGATTCACCGTCTGTACCAATGAGCTTCAGATCCAGTGGTTTCCTTCCCATGGACTCAATGCGCACAAGGACAAACTGGTTCTGCTGGTTGTCATTGCGGGGGAGGCTGATCACACGAGGCAGGTCGGGATCCATGGTGTGAATAACCAGAATGATGACACTCCTGAAACAAAGCAAGGAGTAGAAAGATCTCAATACAGGCCTTCACATTTTTGATTCCAAGCAGGATAGATGCGCTCTCTCTGAGCAGTTCGACACGCTCACAGTCAGGCAACTTGGACGAACAGTCGAACACGAAACTCACGCGTCGCGCATAAGCGAACCCCACACGTGATCGTATATTTTTAGCGGAGGTGGACCGTGAGGCTCGCCGGAAGTCAAGCGCCCCCGATTTTCCAGCCACCTCAACCAAGACCAGCCATCCCACCTCACGAATGAAAATTTGACTGTTGGAACCTCCCCCAACCCACCCCCGTTTTGCCTTGCCTAGCATATTCATTTCGCAACAGATATCTGTCATATCTGCCGATACCAAACAGCTCTGCTCTATTCATCTGTCGCTGCGCGCCGGGAAGCAGTCACGGTAAAACGCGACAGATGTAAAGAATTCGAGACGCCCGCCAGACGACCCACAACAACAACACAACCTCTGCGCTGTAGCGCAAACAGATCCATCACACTTATACGCGATAACGATATATTACGAGCATCTAATCATGAATTTCCGGCCGTGACCTGCTGGGCAATCAATGGTACTCTCACGTAGAGTTCTGGATTCTTTCATCGAATTCAAAGAGAAAGAAAGTCAACACCTCAGCGATACCCTCTCTATTTCACCTTTTAATACATAATCAAAGATGGAGCAATTGACATTGCAGCCGCGCAAGGCGGAAGTGGAGGAGGAAGCAATCGAAAATTGGGACGACGACAATGATCTGGACATTGGTGGAGATGACTTCACATTCCGAAGCACCTCGGTAGCAACTACGGCCGCGTCACATCACCGAGATTCGATCTCATCACGCTTGTCCGGACGATCCGAGTTCGATTCGATTTGCGGGGATGAAGAGAAGCAAGTGCACTTGCCTGGGGATGACGAGGTATCGACTTTTGACGCAATTGCAACAGCGACAAGAGCCGGCATTCCTATACCGCAGAATGTGCCACCTTCTGCCTTGATGGGAGGCACAATCAAAAGACTCGGAGGAAGAAGGATTAAGAAGATCGTAAAAGATGATTGGGACGATGGCGATCTCGAGTTGCCAAGCGACGGGAGTTTGAATATCAAACGGCAGGATGGATCAAATTTTCCTGATGCCTTGCGACAAGTCAGTGGCCCTAGTTCTGTCAATACCAGTCCAGCCAAGCAACTGCAAGCTACACCACAGTTGCACCCTGCGCCAAACTTCAACTTGAGTCCTCAGTCACAGAAGACAACGTCCGCATCCTCCGATTTACTGGACAAGTTCCGAGACAACGACGATGACGATTTTTTGGGAGACGGCGGAGATACAATTAAAGTTTCCAAAAGTAGACAGTTGCCGGCAGGTCTACCTTTTATCACTCCACCAACTCCCCAGAAAAACGATACTGTAGCCGACCCGGAAGACGATTTCGAGCGAGATTTACAACTGCCCGCCGATGGCGGGCCTCTTAAGTTAACCGCTCGCAAGGACATACCAAAAACCCCTGCGAATGCACAGGACGAGTTTGATGAATGGGGAGAAGGCAGCCTAGGCACGCGATTTGGTGGAAGAAGAACTCATTCGAACCGAAGTTCATCCGTCTCTGCTTTAAGCCCCAGCGTTTCCAGCTCAATGACAATCGAGAGTGAGGACGAAGGTCTAGATGGCCTGATTCTTCCAAGCGGGCCCCTACACTTCGATGATATCCTGAAACGCAGACAACAGGACCGGTCACCTGACTTCCAATTTCCGGAAAGACAAGCTGTCAAGCGTGATGAAATCAAGGAGGACTTCCTTTCCGGTCTCGAAATTGGTGATGGAGACATCTTTGATCCGAGCAAACTTACCCTCAATCGCAATATCAAGATCAAAAGTATTCGACAGACGAGTCCACCGCGACCGAAAGCTGCCGTATCATTAACTTTCACCAACAAAGCTACAGCAACTACCTCGCGCCTACCTCGTCCCCTTGGTCATGAACGTAGCTCATCACAACTTGAGCCTGTCTCGGAGAGTGGTGGACCCATCGCGAATCGGAATCGGAGAACACAATCTCGACTTGGACATCATGCGTCACAATCCTCAATAAGCAGCATCCTAACTCCTACCACGCCAACCACTGTGCAGCCATTGCAACCATCAACACCCCGGCGACGGGATCTAGGGGCGAAACCCTCTATCACCGCTCTTCGCAATGAGCCGACAACGACCAATGCGCAATTGCTGAAGCTCAAGCGATCTATGCCAACTATGCGATCCTATTCTCAGTCCCCAGCTAAGCCGATTGGATCGCGATACGAAAGACCGCCCTCTCGAACGGAGACCAGCAGTAGACCAACATCACTGTCTCGGCCCAAGACGCCAGTTGAGAGAGACCGCTCTGGGACCGAGAGTAGTGTGTCTCAGGTCCGAAAGAATCCTGTTCCATTCCTACCAGCGGGCGCATCTCAGTCTCAATCACACCATGTTGCCGTTAAATCTTCCCGCCATTTCCACCGCCATGATTCCGAATCCTCAATTACCAGTACCGATCTTCGTCCATCGTCGCGGGCTGTCTCAAGATCGACAATAAGATCACCGAGTCCGAGGCGAAATGTCCGAGGTGCTGAAGCATTGGCTCGTGAAGCTGCTGTGAAGCGGCAGTTGACCAAGCCTGTGAGACGAAGACACTTCGGTGATGGTTTTGAATTGGATGGTTTCGATGACCTGCCGATTTCTCGAGATTCCGAGCAGAGGTTTATAAAAGAGCCAGTTGGTCGTGGCCCCCCTAAACAGTCGAGCTTACGAAATAAGATCCACCAAGAGCCTGTACCTTTGAGAACGAACACTCCGGCACCTCACACACCAATTTCTGCGACTCGTCCACGAGATGAATTGCCACGTTTCGCCCGTGATACCAACGCAAGTCGAATGGCCCGGGAGCAAACCCTGACTCAACGTGCACCTTCAGCAGCTGGTGGACCTCTCACAGCCCTGACAAACCAATGGAAATCCAAGGGGTCTGCAACACCAGGTCTGAGTGTCAATACCCAGTCGGTTCGATCAAAGAAGCGGAGAGGTCCACCTCAAAAGCCTCAATTGATCAAGCCACTGGGGAATATTAATAATCCGAAGAGTAAGCCTACATAGACGTTGGATATATATTTTACTAATTCGGTAATATAGTGGTTAGAGGAATGTGGTATAACCCCGCTACCTTCCGTTGGGAGGGAAATGAGAACGATCTGAGCCCCTTCGATGCGCCAAACTCGCCGTCGGTGCCGTCGGCTTTGATGCCTTCACATATGGCACGTGAGAAAGAAAATTCTAATCTATACCGTGAAAAGGAGAACGCTACTCCTCGCCCTGCGCTCATCACCAACATCAACGCCTCACAGAACGTCCAAGTAGTGGGCGGCATGGTTTTCGACCCGCAGCGGATGTGCTGGCTCAAAATGCCATCCTCGTCTCGCGACCGCGGGAAGAGCGAAGGCGGTGATACAATGGACGGCTTCGATGCCTTAGATGAGGAAGAGGATGTCTTCAAAGACGTACCAGATCTTGAAGATGACAAGAAAGGGGATGATGATATCGGCGGAAGGACGAGTGAAGGTGGCAGCGGCCTGAAAGATGACTGGCTCGTTGGCGAGGAATTCGATGTCGGTCCTGAGTTCGTGCGGAGACAACGAGAAGAGGAGGAGAGGTGGCGGAGGAAGTGCGAGAGATGGGTGGGTGCTCAGCGAGAGATGGAGCGAGGCGGCGATGTGGAGTGGCGCTGGAGCATCCGAGATGTGGTTAATGAGCAATGAGCAATGAGCGGCCCCGCCGTATGAGCGCAAGTGCGCAACGATTCGAACAAGTCGACCCGAACCCCCATACCGACAACGTTGGTTACGCATGATTGATGTCCACGTATGAAAAAGTCCTGCCCCCAGCGGATCCTTGGCATAATAACATTTGGGCATTGAGTCCTGGGCAAAGGATAGAGAGGGCAGGCAGCTTGAATGGATCTCTGTATCATTTGCATTTTTGCGTTTTGTGTCTGCGATAGATATGAGATGCGGGGTTGCGTACGAGATACTCGATAATGAATGCTATGACCGTTATGACCGGTAGCCATTATTAATAAATCTTTTCTGTACTTCCTCTTCCTCTTTATTTTATGATGATGATGGGTCTGGGTTTGGGTTGGGCATTGTATGTAGACTACTTGTATGTATATAGATATGAAATGTTTAAATGTATTGATATAGTAGCTAATCACCTCATGCTCCTTCCTATAACAGCTTGCCCAAGAAAGATGAGAATGAAAAGGTTTAAATGTAAATCTTATGATACGTTACTTGTCTGGATAAAGTGCGAAGTGGGCGAGATGATGGCTCGCTTAGGCCCCTGGACCCCTTCTGGGGGAGGCTCTTTTGCGGGTATTGGGAAGGGAGGTGGGTCGGTATGTGTATAGTATCGTACAGTATGATTGATAGGTATGCAGAGGATAGAGTAGAAATAGAAAGAAAGAGAGTTTTAAGTAAATGCTACCATTCTATCGATATCTAAACAAACAACATACCCAATACCTTCCGTACCCATTACCCAGTCCCCAACGCCGAGTAGAACAAACAGCAACATCCCTTTCTCTCAGAATCAATTCTTTAAGAGTGATTGATCATCAAAGTGTTGGGCTAGGTGTCTGTCTGGTCCTTAGACCTGCCGATACGTCTCCTCCCACCTCGGCTCCGTCTTCACCAACACCCTGCCCTCAGTATGCGTCTGCGCCGGCTGCCACATGCCCCCAAACGGATCATGCATGCCCATGGGGATATCCATGCCGAACTGCTGCTGTGCATCGCTCAGCACGTTCCCATACAGGTGCTCGTGGCCCGCCATCCCGAACCCCGTCATCATGTGCTCGAGCTCGTCGGCGCGGGTCCCGAATCCTGGCGTGCTCGTGTACAAACTACCAGCGTCACTAGACGCAGCGACGGGCTCGCGCTTGATCAGTCCCGGGGACGCCACGCTACCGGCCTCGGGCGTGCCCTCGACAGTATCATATCCGGAGCCGCCGCCGCCGCCGCCGCCGCTGCTACTGCTGCTGCTGCTGCTGCTGCTGCTGGGGCCTTCGAACTTGATCTTCGCCTTGTCGGTATCGGAGTCGTTGTCGCTCGCTGGTCGCTCTTTTATCTTCTTTGGCGTTTTGCTGCTGGCCGCTTTCTCGGCTTTCTTCTTGCGCGGGGAGTTGGGGTTGCGCGGGCGTCGCACGCCGGCGGTGCCGTCCATCTGCTTCTTGAAGCGCGAGTAGCGCATGCGCGCCGCGTGCCCGTTGCTGATTTCCTGCGAGAGGATCGGGTCATGGGCTACTTTGTTCCAGTCGATCTGGGGAGGGCGCGGTTAGTGGGAAGGTAGGAAGAGCGATAGGGGGGACGCACGTCTTTGAGACATTTTTGACTGAGGATGGCGTAGAGGAGGCGGGTGATGGCGGTGTCGTTGGTCATGGCTTGGTTTCTGCGGAGGGTCGCCAGCTTGAAGAAAGAAGTCTGGAAGTTTGGCTCTGTGGTCAAGAGGTCGAGTCTGCGAGTCTCTCGACGGAGGGGGATGGAGGGGGATCTTGAGGCAACGCGAGTCTCTACTTAGAGACCCTTCGCAACAGTGAATGCTGAGCAGGAGAGTGCACTAGGGATTGCCAGTTCTTGGCTCGGATGCACCAGAGCACAGGATTCTCAGCACAGTGCAATGAGCGGTGTGCAGATGGCCCAGGAATGGTGTGAAGGGGGGTGAGGGAGGCAGATAGAAATAACATTTCCCCTGAACGCCCTTTGCTCTGCGAATGGCGGGGGAAGCGTGCATCAGGGACAATGTAAGGCTGGGCGGGCACAGGAAAGATCTCCCGGGACTTCACAAAGACTTCTTTCTCATGCAGGACGGCTCGCGGAGAGTCGTCCTCTTCCAACCCTATGCATGGGATGGGATGAGCGAGATGCAGGTGGGCGGCGCATTAATGAGTCTTGCTTTTTGCTTTTTGCTTTTTCCTTCTGTTTTCTTGCTTCTGCCTTCTGCCTCCTTGCTTCTTTTCACGACAAGAGGTTGGATGTTGGTGACCGGGGCAACGGGAAGTGGGTAGGAAGGGAGCTTTGCAGCGAAATATCCATTCGATGTGGTTGACCGACGCGTTGCGCGTAAAGTGCGTGCATGACAGGGGGCTACTATCGATAATACCGCAGATGATAATGAGATAGGGGTAAGTGACAAAGGTGAGTGATGAAATGATAGGATATCAGGTTTAATAATATCATGTTTTCTATTTTTTCTATCTTTTTAGTATTATTATCTGAATGAATTGAAGTTGAATTGAAGTATGTTTTATCTCGATTCAGCTGGGCTCTGTTACACAAACAACCAGGATCATAAGATCCCAGGAAAACCTCAACCTCAAGAGCCAGAGATGCGTATCATCGTATCTAATCATGGTCAAGAGCCATGCAGCAACGCGTGCTTTGTCTGTATGCACTTCAGCTCTGCAGCTCTGTTGTCTGTTTCTGACAACTCGACTCCCCATCTGAGAGGTCCATCAACTTGACCGATTTCTGATCCCCAGAGGTGCTCTGTTGATAGGTCGTTGCCCCGTCAAACCCCCTTTCTCTGGCCAGATGGACAAGTGACGGTCAAGAAACCTTGCTCTCTATCCTGCACTCCTGGATCTATCGCCGGGGATTGCGAGTGAATTCCAAGTGAATACCACTCCTCCTCGATGGTACACGTTATTCTCTCGCCTTTAGCGGTAGTACTGCTCCCTACGTAAAGACTACAACAATCTCTCTTTATCTTTCTCCATCTTTCTCTCCTCTTTGATCACCGATCTCTTCCTGCCCCACATCCTTCTCCTACCACAAATCAATCTTCTCCTCCCAACACAATCAATCTTCTCACACAACCAAAACAATCAACCAACCACACCACACCACACCACACCACAAACCACATACCACAACCATCATGGCCCCCAGAACCGGTTCCCAGTGGGACCACAAGTCGGATAAAGACCTCCTGCTCTCCATAATTGACACCGGCTCTCTCAAGGGAATTGACTGGAAGAGCATCTCTGATAAAATGAAACAAAAGGGCCATACCTTCACACACGAAGCTTGCCGGTATGTATGCCCCAATCCGTCAATCCGCTCCCATGGCCCCGCCCCTTCTTCCTTCCCTTTGTCCCTCCATCCCACTAACGCGTCCCCACAGACAACACTTCCAAAAGCTCCGCAAGGAAGCCCGGCCCGGCGAAGGTGACGACGGCGGAAACTCCCCCATCAAATCCAACAGCGCCAAGTCCACGCCGCGCAAGCGCAGCAAAACCCAGAGCGCCTCCTTCAGCAGCAACTCATTTCAGAACGAAGACGACGATGAGGAGTTGATGACGCCCGTCAAGCGCAAAAAGACGGAGGTCAAGCCCGAGCAGGAGAATGGTGGCTTTCCTGGCCAGACCGCCCCGCTGTTCAAGATCGAAGCTCTCGATGACAATGATCCCGTTTTGTTGGATGACGATGAGTAAGTGCCTCTTTCGCATCATTAGTTTTGAGGTAGTAGCTGATAATGGGATAGTCTCTATGCAGTTTAATACGCTTGAGATGATCAGAGGCCCCTCCCTCTCCTTCGACCTCCTTGTGTTATACGGCTAGCACAGTAGTTCATGGCAGTAACTTGAGCCTGAGGAACGTGATGTGCGCGTGAATATTCTGATTCTTTCCTTTTCCATGGCAAGGAATGGAATCACGAGATATGGGCCATATGGCTGTATGCCTACTACGCAGGATTATAGGCTTATAGCTGCTTTGCCTCAGCATGGCTATGTAATAAGCTATGAGTTTCGGTCTTCATTCAGCTCGGCCTTTACTTGTAAAATTTACAACCAAGAGGCGTCTCCAAGAACCAAGAATATTAAGGAGTCCGTGATGTGGTAGTTGAAGATATTTTAATAAATTCGAGGAAACCCATACGGAGACACTTAGCTACCTGATTCCGTCGTAAAGCCCTTCCTTTTTCTTACCCACCTACAAACATACAAACCCCCCTCTTGCCTCAAAAAGCTCTCCCATACATACGCACACACCTCCTAGCCCAATCCAGTCAGCCAGCCATCCTCCTCTCTGAGTCTCTCTCAGCCCCGAGACTTGACACGGCTACATACCTTATCTGCCTATGCATATGCCCATCCCCCTCATCCTTTCCCTCCGAAGCAATCAACCCCGCATCTGCAGGTTTTCCATTCATCTATACACCATCTCTCTGAGCACGCCGACTAGAAAAGGCCGAGGGTCGTTAGAAGGGGTGCGTGCTGGGTGGCTGCATATTTGGATAAGTAGGTAGAGAGGCGGGCGGTTTTGGAGAGTAGATAGAAAGAAAGAAAGAAAGAGAGAAAGAGGAGTGTCGTATATGGTTGTAGATCGAGAAGAGTTTGGCGCTTTTCTATTTTCTCCCCCCTCCCCATCTTTCTTTCTCTGTGGTAGCAGCATAGCACATAGACGGATGACTGGACAAAAGAAACGAATCGTGAAAATCAAAGGGCTATTTTGGGGATTTCGTGGCCTGGGAGGTATAGCTTCTATACACATGGCTAGGAAACATGGCTAGGAAAAGCCATAACAAGCATCTGTAAGGTGGCTGAGAAGTAGGATGAGAAGCTGGAGGTCGGAGGATATCGGAGCTCAAAAAGAGCTAAATCAATGCAGTCCGGATTTGTAGATCTCTGATACAGCTATGCTGTCCTTCCATGCAAATCTGTCCATGAAACGCAGTCTACTTTTGAATCACCAACATTTCGAAGTCCTCATTGACATGTCAGTCTTCCTTCAGGTTAATCAATCTCTCTCACAGGACCGACAAGCCAGCTGTCTTCAGTTCATCAAACAATAACATGGAGATTACATCTCTTCTGCACCATCGCAACATCATCAACCACCTCCTGAGCAGAGCCATACTCCTGCTTCCAGCACTTCCTCGTAATAGCATCACACGCCTGCGGCCCCCTTGGAAACCACCCCTCTCGAAACCTGCGCTCAATCTCCTCATCATCCACCCCCCCATCCAAATCCGGGAACACTTCATGTCCCACCATGATAAAATAGATCGCCGAGCCCAGGGCAAAAAGGTCCGTTTTTACATCCGCATAATCGCCATGCAGCCGGGGAAGAAACGATTTCGTGCGCTCCCGAGACAAGCCATCGAAGAGCACGCTGCCGTCCCCCGACTTGTGCATCCCTTGGAAATCGGCGAGTTTGAGATCTAGATACGAGTCGAGGAGGAGATTGCGTAGGTTGATGTCGCAGTGGATAACACGCTTCTGGTGCGCGTACTCGACTGCTTCGGCGGCTTGTCGACACCAGCGTAAGCGCAGATGCAGAGAGCTCCCGGGGTTCGCGGCGAGGTACTCGTAGAGATCGCCGTTGACAGCGTATTCGAGGAGAAGGCCATCAGGGGTGAGACCCTTGGAGGCAATGATTCGGGGATGACGGCCGAGGATCTCGAGCAGTTGGCTTTCGATGCGGAGGGTGCTGGTTTGGCCCGGGATGCTGGGGTATTTGAGGACGGTCGTGTCGTCGATGACGCCGATGTAGCTTTCTCCGCCGCGGCCGATTATCTGCTTGACGCTGCTAGGATGGTGCGCCTGGATGGGTCGGTCCATGGGATATGGACATGGTGAAGGTAGAATCTATGTAGAATCGATTCCAGGGGTCCAGAGTTGAGGTCGATGGATCATCGATGGTTGGATCTGGCCGGGGAGGTATTAGCGGAATGTGGGGGTGGGGCTACTCTATTTCTTAGTGTCTTGGATCCCCACACGGGATGACGCTCACAAACGTCAAGGTCTCTCACTGGCGATCCTGGCCTCATGGGAGAGAGTGAAAAGGGATCTATAAAGGGTTCAGCTAAATCGACATCGCCTTGCTTCTAGCACTAATCGTCGGCTCGTTTGTTGCCTCACTCTGTCCTTTACAACTGCAAGACAGCAGGAGACAGAGAATACAACTGAACAGAAAGCTGCAATGTATGTATATAATGCAATGTCTATTAGAATACAGAATTCTAATAGATGCATAGAGAAGTCTTGACGATATCGCCAATGGAAATCCTTACCATCAAATTATCAATATTGAGGTCGACCCTCCAAATCAATCCCTGTCCCTCTGTCCCTCTGTAGACTGTCCCTCTGTCTTCTCAATTTTATGTAGCCTTGGAGTTATGTCCCATTGCCCGATTGCCCCAGATCGTGCCGAACAGTGCGAGTGCGATGTTCGAGTTGAGGGGAGGAAATTATCAAGAAATCTGGATTGAGAATGATCGTTAGATTGGTCGATACGATGGAGTTGGGGGCTTACCATGCTTCTAGCCTGCGTTGGACAGTTGAGCTCGATCTAGCCTCTCCACTTGCGTGAAAGAGTTGATCCTCTTCGCGACGCAGACGCACGAGATCAGGAAGAGGGCCCCTCCACTGCCAATAAGTATTGTCAGCTTCATCGGGGGTCGTCACGACCTAAGTGAAGGTTCTGGAATTGGGACAGGAACAGTCGCCAGTTGGTCAATCGGGTTGACATCTTCCCCTTGATGGCCCCGTCGTCCCGGAACGTCTGCCTGATAGAGTTGTGGTCTGTCACCACTGTGACCTGTCCGTGGTCAGTGTATTAGGGCAGTTTTTGCAGAGCCCAGATTAGAGCCGCTGTCTCTAGCTCTGAGGGCCAGTAGTTTATTTCTGCGGTCGTCAGACATATAGACAAGAAGGGTATAGGTCGTTCTACTCCGTCAGGCCCCATCTGATGCAGCGCCACTCCAAATCCCATTTGTTTACTGCCGTCCGTGTATAGGATGAAGGCCTTATCAAAATCCTGTTCCCCTGAGGGATCTTGGTAGACAGCTCGGAAGCCGCCTACCGGCCGTTCCTCAAGGCCATTGAGCTTTTCGTCAATGCGTAGGATTGCTTTAGTCTGGGCTTGTTGCTCCTTGAGCTGGGCTCGTTGCACCTTTAGCTGAGCTCGTTGCACCTTTAGCTGAGATCGTTGCTCCTTGAGCTGAGCTTGTTGCACATTGTCGAACGGAGCTAGTTATACAGGGATTGATATTGGATATTCCCGCGTTCAATAGTCTCTGTTGGCCCCTGTCAGTAAATATCCAGGGGATATCGCGTCTATATAGAATAGCTAGTTACCCTTCTTTTTACTTCAATCAAGTCATTATCCTCTGTCCGATCCCCCCGGTTTGACACACATTGAGCTGGGCCCCAAGGACTTCCAGAATCTGCACATTGATGGGAGAAGGCTCGGGGGTGCCAGTTGCCTTTCGCACAAGTCTCATAATGTAGGCGCCTGCAGCGCCGAGGGCCGATATGAAGAGCTGGCGGAACCTAGAGCTGAAGTCGGCGCGATGTAATCGAGAGATGTGTCTATGTTGTTTGTGAGGGGCGCCATCTTGATATTGTTCGATCAAGACGAACAAGAGAGAAGAAACACTGGGAGAGATAGAAAGAGCCGAATGGCTGAATACGACTACCATCGTTGGGAAGGAGCAGGCAGTCCAGCGTTCTTGCCTCATTGACTTTTGAATGTCCAAGATGATGCGACCTATTCTTATTTGGAAATACCGCGTGAGAAGATAATGTGCTAATACAATGTAGGCAGTACTCAAAGTTAGATACAGTCTATCCAAACTCTTGTAAATGTTTCGCTTTGCATGCCAAATCACTCATGTATCACACACATCTCTAAGTAAGGTATGAAGTGCGGTCGGTCATCTTTGGACGATTTGTTGGAGCCGATCAACGGTAGCATGACGCTAAATCTGCTTCGTCTTCATCTGGCACCTCTCTTCCAAATACTTCACCATTTCACAGTATATATTTACAGCATCATTAACTCATTACCACCTCAGAAAAACCTTAGAAAATCCGCATTGCAGGCTCGGTCACGTTTTTTAGAGACCTTTGTTCGATTTCGCTCTTTCACTTTTCATCCCACTTGGACATTGATACTCTGAACTTCGCAATGAAGATTCTGAATGTGTTACGCCGTCTTTTACGTCGGAGTCATTCTCGCTGCACCATAGATTTCGCCAATAAATCACATCTGGAAAAACTCCCAGCTGAGGTTCTTCTCAACATCGCGAATTTCCTCCCTCTTCATTGTGCTGCACTCTTGACGCTTTCAAGCAAATCATTGCAGTACAAAGTTGGAAATGAATATCTTCGCAACATCTCGGTGGTGGAGATGTTTGAATTCGATGATGACCATGGTCGCTATCGAAAAGCCAAACCGGCAATGACGCACAAGCAAGTCGAATATAGCAAATTCCTCACGTTATTATCAGAAGACTTACCCGATGAGGTTTTCTGTCAACTCTGTCAGATAATCCACACTCCTAAGAAAACCGACCTGGCTTGGTCGGAGAGGCAAAGGAAGTGTTACTTTCTCGAAGCCGATCTGCAATATGGTCGCAACTTCAACTTCCCGAAGATCAATCTAGCAATGAAGCGAGCACGACAAGGACTTGATCCATCAAAGCAGCTCCTCAGCTTATCAAAGACATTTGTCGAGCACCAAAGACAATGCCTTTACCGGAGCTCATGGCAGGCTCGAATCGTTAAACAAAGGCTGTATGTTCGAGCGATTCATCGACTGCTTGTCCCACGCAAGACAGTACCGAGTCTTCCGAATTCAGACTGGACGCTCCAGGTTTGTGGTCACTTTGAGGACAGCGGGGGATTTCGAGAGCAGCCACTTCATGGACACCTTCTTAAAACTCTGGCCAAGTACCACGGAAATGGTTGCATTGCGGAAAAGGGCGAGGCCCTGATTCAATGTCGCGATTGCAAGACAGAGCTATGTATAGAGATTGAAGACAATGGGAAAGTGGATATACAATTGGTCGTCACTGTTCGGCAAGATTTTGGGCGTGGAGAACAACCTTTTGACTTCGACTTCTATTCACACTTCATAATTCGGGACCTGGGAGAAAAGCCTGTAAGGTTCACGCCAGGCAGTATCAGAGATACCTTTGAGAATGCATCTACAAGCCAAGGACAAGGTGTTTATCGCAAGTAAAGATTACCAAGTGGAACATATTTGCAGCGGTGGTAGTAAGTTATCCGCTCCTTCCCTTGTGCCTCGATCATCTCGGGGAAATAAGATGCTCCTACCCATTCTTACTCTTCTTCCCTCTTTGAATTGGCCTGATGCCACTGTATCATGCTGACTGGGATATTATACCTGTTGCCCTTTATAGATAGCAAATGTCTCCCTACGTGCAAGACTGTAGAATGAATCTCATTCAGAGCGAGGGGGAAATCTGCTTCTACCAATATAAACATCAGCTTTGGTAATGAGTCGAATATATAATTCAACTAACTTTGAGGTATTTAAGTACTCACCTCTGACATACTTAATCTGTGCCCCAAAAGATGGATTCAAAGCCCACTCGTGTTGATACGATGTACCAATGCTCAAAATTTGCCAAGATTGTTTGATTTTGAGTCGTAATAACGAAGGTTAAGCGGAACAACAGAATCTTTTTGAACTTTCCAAATAGCTACCTTTGTTCCATGGCAGCACAGGGCCCTAATGCTCGTAATCGTTTTATCCTTTTGGATTAACGCTTTGCAGTAGTCGTCCACTTGTTTCTCTGCCTGTTTGACTTTTCGTGCACTTAGGCTAGGACGTTTGAATTCTGCATAGAGTTGATTACGTTAGTGTCTATTGACAATTCGATAGACAGTTGCATCAACTCTTTTGCGAGATCCGGGCGCTGGGGAAGTCTCTTGAACACAGTAAACTTCATCTCTGGCTGAAAATTCACTGCTGAAAACTGCCATCCAGAGTTTTGCAGTATCGGTCTCAATGCTTCCAGGTTCCAAAACCATGTCGTATAAGTATTTGAGGCTATCGTTTGAAATAACGCTGGCCATTTTGAGGTGAGGTAGGAAGAATTAAGTGGATTGGTTAAGAGGACAATGATCTTGGATTCTTGGAGAGAGAAGGTGGGTGTAAAGGTGTTGTTTACATTTTGTAGGGCGCGAGGATAACTTTGGCACAATTCACTTCCAAGCCTTCCATGAATATAGACATTATAATGCTGATATACAGACATATGTAATCATTCAAGGTAACTAATACAATATAGCTAATACAAGATAGCTATTTACAAGTACAAAATTCACTATGTCCTCTTTCCCGCAAAATAACTCACCTACCCAAGTTGATATCAACCACTTCTTAGTTCAGATTGATTTAGTTTGCCATACAAAGAAGATAAATTCAAGTACTAGTGTATTAGTTATGTGTAAGCAACTACTCTTGTCTTCAGCGCACAATCGTGAGCAGGGTATTCAACCTCTAAATAGATACATGCCTCTAACTTCATTTAGGACAACCCAAAACCCCAGTTACTCCCGCAATTTCTAAGTCATCTACTATTTGTTTTCACATTGAGTTTGCTCACTAGATTACCGATAATAACTGTTCCCTGGGGAAGTTGAAGGTAGGCGTGCAATTCTTTAAGGATGAAGACCGTATGCCGTCAAAATAGTTGGAGCGAGGACAGAGCAGTGAAGGAAAACAAGCACCAAACAAAACAGTAAGCACGGATGAAAAATTGCACCGGGAAGGCACACACCTATAGGTAATCAGTAGATAAATGGATAAAAGAGCATAAGGTACCGGGTAGTCTTCTATATGGAGCGCGTTATATGCAAGAAATTACAAATACCATTATACCACCATTTCATTTTAGCCCATTTAACGAATATTGACTGATGTACGGAAGAATCCTCTCCATTTAGCGATTAAAACTACTCATATCCTCTTTCTGAAGAAGAGATTTCACCGATCCCACAATTCTAAAAATCCTCTTTCGATTGAGTAGACTATGCGAGGTCTCCATGAGCCTCTCCGCCTTTAGACAGAAGAACGGCCAGTCAACAACCACTGTCGATTTTAGTTGTTGTAATTCTTCGTCGAGTTCAAGAAATATGTCTCGCGGGATACGACTCAGCCAGTATGAGTCCGGGGCCTGCCATCCTAACACCTTTAGAGCTACCAAGTCATCCGTACTCTGTATATGATCAAGGATATTATACATTATTTCCAGGGGAATATTTTTGCCATAATTCAAATGCTGCGGGCAGAACCGCCAGCTTCTCAGAGTCTGGTGCCTTTCTGCCCTGTTGGACTCCTTTATACTGCCGGTAAGGAGGCGCCGAACTATTTTACTGTCGAGAGGATTCACCAGTGGCATCCAGGACTCCGGATGACAGGGGGTTGCATCTGGATCGCGATGTGGTAGTACGGGATCCCAAATTTTGCGGTTGTTTAGAATCTTGACACAGTTATCGATGCCAAAGAACAATTTCCTCGTCCATTGCTTGTATAAAACGTTCACCAACCGCTCCAGGTCATGACTAGTCCTGCAGGGACCAATGACACGTTCGACTATATCCCAACAGTGAGTATGGATTGGTACGCCAATAGGATCTCGGCCTTGCTCTTGTTGGCATGGATTACTCTCCCAGAGATTAGCCACATCAAAGAAAACATTGTTTTTTGGAATAGGATTCCTTCTCCGAGGATTGTTTATTTCCCAGTATTCTGTAGCAATGGCTGAGTATTTCCTGGGCACCTTGATGGTGGCATATGGGTTCTCCTCGTAGTCAGGGAAGTCCCGGGGGTGCGGCAATTGGCTAACCCCAGATATGTAGTATTCATAGTGAGAGAACTTGCCATTCCTCTTCTTCTTTTCAAGTTTAAGAACTGTTGGTGGCTCTCAGCAAACTATTACCAATAGTGATAACTTAGTAAAAAGGCCATATTTATCAGCCAGGATAATGATTGGAAAACTGCTCAATCGTTTATTGGCTTGAGGAATGTAAAAGACAAAGAGATTTGCTAACTAACCTGCTCGATAAAGAGTCATCCAAAATTTCGGACCTCTAGGATGTTTGCTACGATAGTCGTCTCGAATTCTCGGAGTACTTTCGAGCAGGCTGAGTCCATCGTATGAAGTGATGGGTACACTACAGACGCTGCACAAAGGCAATCGTCTATGCTTTTCTTGCGACCTCATTTATAATTAGAGTTTGGGGTACGTTTGGGGTAAAGAGCTGGAATTGTCTTGAAGTAGGAGGGGTAAAGAGCTGGAAATGTTTTGAAGTAGAAAATAAAAATGAAGTACCGGCCCGTTGCTTTATATGATTTTGACATGCTAGGAAACTAGTGATTTGATGATACAACCTACCGTTGTGATGACGAATCGACGACAACAATGACAACAGCAAGGCGGTACAAAAGGTAAGTCTCCTTTGTCACATTACATATTACAATGCGACTAACTCCACTCCATTCTGTAGGGGTGTTGAAAGGATGAGCGGGCAGGAATTAAATCGTCAGCCCGTATCTTGACTCCTTGAGGTCACAGGGTTCTGGTGAGGACAGGACAAGGGGCTTATCACATGACCTCGGTTAGCTAGAAAGCCCCCTTTTCACTTGGATATACGCTGAAGAGCGAGCATACAAAGAAGGGGAAAAAAATTGCAAAACAAACGACATAAAACAACTGGCGAAGGGACAAAAGGGCAAAAGGAAAAGAAAATAGAACATACAACAGCAGGTATTCGCTGGTGGTCACCCACCCAACTACTAATCTGCCGATCTAAGGCTTGTGTATGGCAGAGCGGACGGGATGCCCAATTCTCCTTAGTCTATGGTCGTATGTGATGAAACAATCGCTCAAATCTGATTATAAAGTAGCTGCTGTCTAATCATCTAGCATCACATCAACCGGTGATATTATTCTTGTGCAAAGTGTTCGAGTACTAGGAAATATAAAAGTGTCACAAACTCGACTAGAGCAGAGAGATTGAAATATCTGAGAAATATGCTCAAGAGGCTAACAATCACAAAGTCATAAAAGGTATCCGTTAAAACGTCAGCAGTAGGTATTTATTGCTGTTGTTCTAAAATCGCTATATATAGACCTCCCAGATGCAATTATCCTTCACTGCAAACAGAAAGTTTCTCAGCTCCGTGCCAAAGATTTTATCCCCCGGGACCGCGCCACGCCGCCCTATTGTCTGAATAAAGGAATGGAAGAATGATAGTAACAGACAGCGAGGCCCTGCCTGCTGTGTGCACTACGTACCTACCTACGGGCTACTCTCTGGGCAATAGCCTCTTGCTCGGCTTCTGATAGCGTTATTGGTCGTGGTTCGGCTTCTGCGTCTCCATTCAATTCTGAACCTGAAGCCTGGCCTGATGTCGAAGCTATGCTGTTGTTATTAACTTCCCTGTCGACGCCCTTTTCTTTATCCAGTCGATGGTTTCTGTTACGCTGTTGCTGCTAGGGTTCCTCGTCGGGTTTCTCGATTCTTGGGAGCTGGTCAGCTATCGATAGGGAAATGCTCTTGACGATGACACTGAACCGCGACGTCGTTGAAGATGTTCGAAGTTGAGTTCCGCGGCTACTTTGCCGTGGCGGTATTAAAGTACTTTTATGGCTTGTCGGAGTGTAACTGTGTTGGTCTGTCGATGACCCGGTCGTTAGTGAACGTTACCCCATACTGGTCATACTAGAATTTGTTCCTTTGGGTATCTATCCTACTTATACAAAGTCCACGACCCGACTCCAGGGCCCCTCATCCTCAGCTTTTCTGAATTCAACCCCTTCGCCAAAATAGCCAGCATCTTGCCATGCCAACATCGTAGCGCCGTCATATGGGCCCTGCTTCGCTCCCCCATCTCGTCCATCGGTCCATCGAAATTCCCACAATTTCACCGGTCTCGAGCCATCGATTTCTTCTTCTACACTCTCCTCAGCAGGTGGTTCGACCCAATCCTCGCCTGTCTCCCGTCGATATTGTCGAATGAGCATTTCCCTCTCCTGTTCATAAATATCCGTTTGGCCTCTCGTGAGCAGCTGATCCGCGGCACCAGTAATAGCATCGATCGCTTCCACAATTTTGGCTTGTTCCGGGTCTTCAGCTTTCTTCTCTGTATCCACATCCATATCATTGCCATTCTTCTTCTGCTTCTTCAATTTCCACTTTGGGATCTTCTTCGTTTTAGCTTGACCCTTTCCTAGTCTCGCCAATGCTTCCAAGGCTGTCTCCCCCTTCTCTAAGCGTAGAATTAATGTCCGTAATATGTCCGGCAAGAGCATTGCGTCGTCTTCAAGCCTCTTTTGCCGCCTTTCCGCCTCTCGCTTCTCGTGTGCTTCTGCTGCCTTCTTCATATCCTTCTTGCTGACGCCTTCGAGCCATGAGTCATGTATCGCGTCTGGATCTGCTGCTTTTCGAATGTAGTTTCCTGCTTCATCGAATCTGCCCTCTTCCTGTTCTGCCTTCATGTTGAATGCATCAACTTTAGGGGCGTTTCTCTTCAGTCCACCAGCGCCAACTTCCTCATCTACATCCTCCTCCTGGGCCGCCAAAGCTGCATCCTCTTCGTCATCACTACTCTCCTGATCATCCATCGCGTGAGAGGATAATTTCCCTTTTGGGTCCAGAGCAAAATTCCCCGATATATGGCCGCCACTCTTACTACTCAGAACCTGTCCCTCAATCTCATCATCTTCTAGAAATCTCACGGCCTTGCCCTTCTTCCCCGTCTTGCCCTCATCCTCATCTCCATCTGCAAAGTCATCTTCCAAATCCGCAAACATATCTGCATCTTCTTCCATTTCTGATTTGCCCGGCCCACCGCTGCTTTTGTCTTTCGAGTATCCATCTAATGCATCTGCCAGATTGACATCGCCCTTCTTTCCTTTGGCTCTTTCTTCTGCCCGCGCATCAAAGCCTTCGTTATCTGAATCGCTATCATATCCGTCTAGATTCACCGCCCCACGTTTGGTGCCAGCTCCAGAGCCCCCGATAACATCGGCTTCTAGAATGGCATCTTCTTCTGGGGCGTCGGGGGCGAGTGCTGAAGGGTTGCGGAGATCGAATTTGGGCTTTTTGGAGGAGGGGCCTGCGTCGTCATCCTCATGGTGGTGAGTTCGCGCAAACTGTTCGCCTGCGCGACTCGGTCGCGCTGCTGAGAATCTCGAAGACATGATCTACAGTGAGTTCAAGAATAGATAAAGAAAAGACAAAGAGACAAAGAGAAACCCTCGTTGCTGTGAATCGGGTTACGAACTGGAGGCCATCGGAAAAAGGTTCGGCCGTTTGGCGAGAGTGTGTTCCTGCGTCATCCACCCGCGCCTGCTCGACTCTTCGAGGACCGACCGAGGTAGCTACCTTATATAACTCGACAGCCTCTCGCCAGTCAAGTCGTCTTGTTATTTCCAACATCCCCAAATTCCGGTTCTCGATATATCAAGATGGTAAACTATACTATCCTCACCTCTATTATCTCCAAGCATTAACAACGTCTCGCAGTTCAGCTCAGGGTACTACGATAGTGACGATCCAGCGGCCATCTATGCTGCCTTACAAAACCGCGCGATGGGGAGACCTCCCAAGAGATTCGATGAATACTATCGATGCTACCCAACAGTTATGCTGCCCGGGCCCGAAAGACCCAGTCTTAACTATGGCGGCAAGATTTTCATGCCACCCTCTGCTCTTGAGAAGCTCAGCAAGCTACATATCGAGTATCCTATGCTCTTTGAGCTGATTAACGGACAAATGGACAAGACCACCCACGCTGGTGTTTTGGAGTTTGTGGCTGAAGAAGGAAAGGTCTATTTACCACACTGGGTATGTCAAATACTGCGCAAAGCACGGAGCTCTCTCTCACACCTCACAGATGATGCAGACCTTACAGGTCGAAACAGGAGACCTCCTAGAAGTCAAATCCACAAGTTTAGCACCAGCTTCCCTTGTCAAACTCCAACCCCAATCTACAAACTTCCTTGATATTTCCGACCCCAAGGCTGTCCTCGAAAATGCTTTCCGCAACTTTGCAACTCTCACACAGGGCGATGTCTTCAGCTTCGAATATAACGATACGATCTACGACGTGGCAGTGCTCGAGGTCAAACCAACCAGCGAGAAGATGGGTGTCAGTATGTTGGAAACCGATGTATCTGTCGATTTCGCTCCGCCAGTAGGATATGTCGAACCATCCTCTAACAAAGGAAGCGGAACCAGCACGCCGAGAAGCGGGGCAGGTCTCCCATCTGGTGGAATGTTGCATAGTCAAGGAACCATGGCACAAGCCATCAACTACGATGCTATCGCTCCATCTTCTAACTCCGCCGCTATGGGTGCAAAAGCCGTGTCCTCTAACTTCCTTATCGGTGGCCACAAATTAAATTCAAAGAAAGGTGGAAAGACCCCTACCCCACAACCCTCCACGCCCGTAGCTGGCACATCCACGAATCCTCCAGCGCCTGCAATGAGAAGAACAAATGGACCACAGCCGCTTCGCCTGGCACCTAATAAATTGTTCTTCGGTTACGAGATCAAGCCAGTGAAGACGCAGGCGGATAATGATAAAGAGAACGCGGACGCAAAGCAACCGCACTTCAGTGGGCAAGGCCAGACTCTGAGAGGTGGTGTTAAGAGAAAGGGCGATGTCGAGAAACCCGCCGAGCCGGAGAAGAAGCCCGAGCCGAACGTTGGACGGAGACTTGACGGCAGGCGGGTAAATTAGAGAGGTCGAGAATGAGTTGAATGAGTTGTCATGATCTGGCGTTTGCATGATATGGTTTGGGCGTTCGGCATCGGATATGCGCAGGCGGCAGATTTTACAGGATCAGATAGATCACTGCTATCATTTGAGGCATTGCACCAAGAACAATACGTAGTTTACCCTGAGCCTGTGAGCATTGTTTCTGACTTGTCTTCTCATTCGTGATCTTCTAATCATTACTCATTGACACGTTTGAATGATTCAAAACTTGCCTTTTATTTCACCTATACTTAATCACCTAGAGGTGCAGTAGGTAAGGTACCTAGGTGAGGTAAGTAACCAGACATATCGTGAGATAGATCTTCACCTTCCCGGAAAATATCTCTCGGCCTATATACATACCATTAATAAATTAAGGTGGGAGACGAGAGAACGGGGTTTAGCGGGAGGGAAATGGTTGATGGATAGGGATGGGTTAATACATTAGGTAGGTAGGTATATAAGGTCATGGAAGATAGTCTAGTCATTAACAGGGTGGGGCATGAGAAAAGGAAGCTGGGCTTCGATACTGTTTTGTTCTGGATGTGTAGGATATGAGGAAGTTTGTTTGGACTTTGTACACGTGCTCAGTTGCCAGAATCAGAGGAATTCTGGGAAGGATCCGGGTTACTTATGAATTGTCCGCTCATTCTGCCTCGACGCCATTTTTCCTAGTTATACAATATGTTCTAGCCATTTTGCTCACTGCCACCGCAAGTGAGATCGCCCAACGCCATCAAAAAAAGGAAATTTACGAGAGCTCCATAGCATCAGCACCTCCACCCCCATTCGCAACAGACAGATCGACAACGCCAGCTTCGCCAATCAGTCGTTTCTCGAATTCCGCAACAAATTTCACGCTCCGCCCCGAGTCGTAGAAGAGGTGGAAACTGCGTTGAACGTCTTCGATAGAGACCTGTTTGGATTTCCGCTTAGCGCTAATCAGCTGTGAGGTCGTGATTAGGTTGCTGGCATATCGAAGGCCGGCTTCTTGGCCGATCTTCGTCAATAGCGCCAATGCGTCCGGGGTCACGTCAACCTCCTCTTCTTGTGCGCGAATAGCCAAAATTTGCTGAATCTCCTCTTTCTGGTATGGATGCGTGCTGACGATGACGACTCGGTCTAGGAAGTCGAGGGGAAGACCGTGAGGGCTTCTGTAGTTGGTACCTCGAATCCTCGAGTTACCGCGATTGCTTGCCATAATGACGATAGGCGCAAGCTCATCCTCTAGTGCACGGTTGATGTATGAGAAGCACTCGAGGTCCAGCATGTGCACTTCATCGATGAAGAGCACACCAGGAACAATTTGGGCCTTGCCCTCCTCTTTCCACTCGGCCACCTTGGTATTGATCTGGTCTCTCACCTCACTCCTGATCTCACCGGTATCTCCAGAGAAAAGGGCCAGGAAGCCTTGCGTCCTTGAATTGATGACATCAATTTCGTGCAGACTGACCGTGTGGACCACCTCCCTGCGCTTCTGCAGATCTCCGTCTGGGCATTGTAAGAATTTCGTATCCACACCCATCGCATCGTAATCGCGTGACTTTGCGTATGACCGTCCCAACTTGCTGATCTTTCCTGATGACTTGTCGATCGAGATAATGTCTCCAGCCATGACACGCTCTTTTGTCATCGCATCTATCATCTTGGCTCCCATATCGTAGACCGATTCCATATCGGTCGTCTTGATCGTAAGCTTGCCCTGCTTCATCCCCCCAGTCACACTCCTATCGGTTTGTATCTCCACGACTTCGCCCTCGATCATTTCGCTTTCCTCCTTGATCCGTACAGCAATCGATTTCCGGAATGCTTGGTTAAGAGCTTCGGTCTTGGACATTTCCAGAGAGAATATTTCAGACGAGGCAAGCATTGTGAAGGGCACGTCTGGCCCCAGCGATTGCGCCATGCCCATTGCAATTGCTGTCTTTCCGGTGCTATGATATGGTGAGCATCAACCGCGCATGGAAGGGAGCTCGTGCCGACGCACCTTGGAGGGCCAGCGATCAGAAGAGCTCGACCAGCAATCTTGCCCTCTTTTACCATCTGCAAGATAACCGCTGCTGCTTTGCGCGCCTTCTCTTGCCCGACCAAGCCTTGTGATGAAGCGCGTGGCTCCAGGGTCTCTGGGTCGACCCCAAGGCCCCGAATATGGGAATGCGCCGCAATGAGGTTCAGACCCCGCAGCTCCTTGCTCTCGGAGACGGTTTGAATTGCCTTTGAGAATATCAGCATTTGCTCAAGGGGATATAGAGGGTTGGATACATACAGCAGCCATTTTGAGGGAGTTGCAGGGGGTTATGGGGGAGAGGTATCTAGTAGGGAAATGGTGGTTGGTATGGAGTTTGCACATTCGCGTGTTCACTGGGAGAATAATTATTCCTGGATGGCGCGCCGTTCCCCTAGTAAAGGCAAGAGTGCGCCTAGACAGCACAGATCGGAGCATGATCCGTGCAGCACTGATTACGTACTCCATCAGCCCGCCTATTTATAGTCTCCAACTACCGTACCCGGGGTTTTGAGTTTTAACTTTAACAGTAACCTCAGTTACACCAAAATACCTTTTGGGTATCAGCGCCGATTATCCCTTCACTCCGTTCACGACCTCACTTGTCAATCAACATCAACAAATACGTGCCATGACCCAGATTGTTCCGTTCTCCTCACTTTGATTAAGGCTTCGTTCACTCATCAATCCTGAAGCCCAAAAGCAACCGCGCACCTCTCGTTCCGCTACCCTGAGCTCTCCAATACATCAGGGGCCCGGACATTTCTATACCCGCTGTCGTGTGCCACTCTTTATGGGTATACGGAGGTCTGCGTGCGTATTCTTCCCTCTGATGATGGGAATTTTACATGCTAGTAGGCGTTGAGCCCGAGCCGTCGCTGTTCGACCAGACGTAAACACGGGTGAGTCCCTTACCGCGTGGACCCCTCTTTCGACCCTCCCTCTATGTCCTCTGGGAGTGCAACCCTCTTTGCGGATCAACATGTCCACCTCAAGGCCTCCTCCATAAGTAAAGCTGCAGCTTTCTTGCGGCCATCGTCTCACTTTCGCGTTGCACAAACTCACAATCTCGCGTCTCGCGTCTCGCGTCTCTCGCATCTTCTACTCAAGGTCCTCCAGTGCACCTCTTATACTCTTTACTAACACTCCTCTTTACTGCAGATCGCGAATGGTTCCTACCGGTCCTCGAATTCCGCCTGGTCCTCGAGGAGCAGCGTTGAGGCGCGAGGGTCCAACCGCCAAAGATTTCCTCAGCCAGCCTCCCAACAGACAGAACACCTCCTCTCCTACGAACTCTCACTCTAACCAACAAATGGCCGACAGTTACCGCAGAGGTCGATCGCCTGTGCGAGGTGCCTGGGAAAGGCCGTCAGAGTATCGATTCACCTCCGATCGAATCCACCCAGCGTCGCGGTCTTCTAGATCACCAGATCGAGACAGAGGTGGTGGTAGCAGGTATTCATCAAACCGTTTTGATGACAGAGACAGACCCTATGAGAATTCTTACCGCCCAATATACGACTCACCACCGCCAATACGAGGTGCCAACCTGCAAGAAACAAGAGGTAAAGTTTCACTGCGCTATAACATTTGCCTCACTTTAAGAATTCTATATACTTGGATTTCAAGCCCCGCTCATTCAATCACAGCTGTGCAAAATACCTCTCCTGATCTCATGTGGCTGATGTGGAAGTAGGCTCCGGAACTCACACTCCTAATTCTGGGAGCCCACATCCAGACAGAATACCTCTTATCGTGAGGAATGATGCCGTGGATCGTTTATCGAGGCCAAACTCAAGAAACCAAAGCCCTACAACTCCAGTGGTTGATGAACCTCCTCGAGAGGATGTTGCCAAAGAATTAGGGATTCTTTTCCACCAAATTATTGAGGAGGCTACAAACTTCTCGGTCCTAAAAATCCAGAAAGACGCCGCCCAAAAGGAATTCGATAAAAGGGAGGCTGATTTCAAGAAGTCAGAACCCATCCATGAAAGGTTCCCTGCTACCGAAGAGACACAAAAGCGAAGCAAGGATCGAGCTGAGAAGGCGTTAAAGGCGATAAGTGAGAAAGTTGAGCAAAAAGACTCTTCTTTGAAGGAACTCGCTAAGCGAAGTGCCGCTCGCATCGCACCACATATTGTAGCAAGCCGAGGGAAACCAGACGCCCAAAGCCGCGTGGAAGAACTAGAAAAGAAGTGCCAAGTCTTACAGGAGCAGCTTGGAAATCAAGCCAAGCTGATCGAGAATCTCCGAAAATCCCATGAAGAAAGATACAAGTCATTAGAGGATAATTACGTCAAAGCCCGAAAAGATTGGGGATACACTAAGAGCGCGCAAGCAAATTTCGAGAGGGATTGCCGACCGCAGCTTGCTGATGCGCTTAACGGATTGACTACCACTGAGACAGATATTAAAGTTCTAAAGGCTCAATTAATTACCCAGGTGCCTAAGGATTTGAAGCAAAAGTTAGAGAAGCTTAACGGCCTCTCAGAACGTGTCGACAAATTCCCAAATTTAAGGCTTGACGTGGACAAGCTGAAGCAGGAATCGTCAAAGATTGCCAAGGATCTAGAGAAGCTATCGCTAGAGCAAACCAAACTCCGAGAAGAGTTGGTACAGCTAAAGGCAATCGAGGCCAACATGACTAAGTTCCCAGCGAAAGGAGTGTCGTTCAAAGAGGGATCCAATTCCCCGGTGTTGGAAAGCAGACGCGAAGTAGAAAACCAACTGCCCAACGTCAGTACGGCAGATGGCAGATCTCGTGTGCTGGAACCACCGACGACATCGACTCCCTCGTCACTAGTCGGCATCGAACCTAATCTTTTGGCAAAGATCAAAAGCCATGTGGAGGCTACCGCTACTCTAAAAAAGTCAATTACAGAGCATCACGAATCAGTCTCCCGTGATATATTAGAGATTAAGCAGACTATTAAAAGCATAGAGAAGCGGGAAATTGATACAAGAGCACCGCAGAGATTGACTGATTTGGAGCGAAGATTGAGTTCTACAACCACTCCTACTCCTAGCATGTCTATGGCTGCTTCCGGTGTTGATTTTGACACTATCAAAAACGAGATTCTAGAAGTGGTCGAAGAAAAGCAAGCAGCTATGGATGATGTAGTTCAAAGCATATCATCTCAATGGCAAACGGCAATCAAAGATAGCCAAATCAGGTGTACAAATCTCGAGCAGAGATGTTCTGACATCAAGGCACTCTACGATTCCCTTGCAGCTCTACCTAACAAACTGGAAACGTTCCAAAAATCCTTGAACATTACAATTCGACAACAGCAGACCGATATCGATGATACAAAGCTCAATATGGCCGGAAAAGTGGCGGATTTGCTTCGTGCGAAGCCAGAACTTTTGCCATTGGCGCCAATTGGAGACCATGTTGTGAAACGATTCGATGATAAGCTAAGCAAACTTGCAAAATCTCAACAGGATCTCACTCAAGCTGTGAATGAGCGACTAGAAGCGAATACAGATGGCTTGATCAGTATTGACCGACGGCTCAATAATATCAATACAAAAGATATGGCCGTATTCATCATCGCCCAAATGGAGTCGACGTACCCAGATGTCCGAAACGCTCAAAGTGCATTGGTGGAACTCAAGACCTCTCTCCACCGCGATGAGAGTATGATCGCCGATCTGAACACTTCCCTCGCTGCTCTCAAAAGCAAAGTCGATACACTAGAAACTCGTGTCCCGCAAAACGACGACGATGAAAAGGCCATCCAATCTCTCCGGAGCGAAGTTGACGATTTAATTCTTCAAGTCCCCCATATCAGGAATATAGCAAACTCGGCGAAGGAGACTGCCGATACTGTCAATGGAAACGTTGCTACGATTCAAATGGATTTCAACAAATTCCAGACCGAGATTGCAGAAGAAGTAGGAAAATTCCGCATCGACTTGGAGGAGATGAAGGATCAACAACAAGCAAAGGCTACATCTGCCCCTCCCGCTTCTGTGCATTTAAACAAACAGTCACCCATCCCCCCTCCTATCCCTCCACAGAGGCAGTCCGTTATACTTCCTCCTCGATCAATCTTGAACGGCAATGCTGCTCGTTCTAGCCCCAAGAACAGCGCCCCCGGAACACCGCAGAGGCACTCATCTGTACAGAGTGATGGAACAAGCAAGAAGAGGAAATTGAACGGCTCCTCAACGAACACGCCGAAAGGTTCCAATGGGGTAAACGGGGCAAAAAGGAAGAGAAAATACAGACTTGATGGTGATGATTCCGAGGACTCTACCTTTGAGCCGAATCAGCCAAAAATCAGCGATGACGATGAGGATTAACTTATCGTATACTGTTCTCTACGGTGCTTTTGCGGTCCTCCCATCTGGCTCTCAACCCTCAAGACATCGGTACATATGATGATATGATACATCGCACGTATAAATTCGCTCTCCTAATTCGCCTTTCATGCTGTCTCCTCGCGGGGTAAAAAAAGTGTCGGTTTCGAAATTCGCATGTCGTTTTGAGCTTTGAGTGGAAGATACCCTTGGGCCTTGGCGCTGTTGCACGGTCACATTCGACATCCAGCTTACTTGCTTGCTTTTTTTCATCTTGCCCGCACGAACGCGAGCACCTGATGGTGAGCAGAGAGAATTAATCAGCACATACGTTTGAGATTTGAAATCTCTCACCCTCCCTCGATCATTCCAAGAAATGACGAGCAACACGAGCTCCATTTCCTTTTTCTTCTCTCCATGGCTTGTGTTACAAAAAGAAAACTTGAATCTTTAGCGGAATAGGGATGCGCATTTTGGGGAAGCGCGCTGGCTGGCTAGCTGGCTATCAGGTTCTGAAGATCATGAGAAGGGGTTCTTATAGATAGACGGACGGGCCTGGGAATGGCAGTGCACTGTAGATATACTTCACCTTACATACTTACGATTAATAATCGACGACGGCCTTTCCTTTTTCATTTGCGAGAGAGCTAGCTGCTGTTGATTTTCGGACTTTCCATTCATTCTTCTATAGAAGTAAGAGAAAGATGGGTTTGGTTTGGTTTTCTAGATCCAAACAAGATATTACGAGTTCAATATCAACAGTTGCGATAACCCGATTAGCAAACAATTATCCCTCGTGGCGCAATTGGCTAGCGCGTTCGACTGTTAATCGAGAGGTTGGTGGTTCGAGCCCACCCGAGGGAGTAAATCCCTTTTCCGTATCTTTTTTTTTTGGCCTCCGACGAAATCCTCACCCACCCCTAAACTCCTATGTTTCTATGCTCTATTAGTGAAAGCCTAAAGGCTAGATAAAAATTACCTCTTTCCTTTCTTTTTCTTATGTCTCCCTTCCTTCTTTTCTTAAATCATAAATGATAAATCACTTTTTAGGTCCTACAAAACGTTACACTACTTCCTCCCCCCCCTTATCCCAATCGCTTTATCCTAATCCCTACCTAGGTACCTATCCCTCTCTACCTTAGATCTTAAATTTCCCTATAATCCTATTGCCCCCTTTATTCACCATCCTTTAGTTCATCTATAAATAGATTGAATCGCAAGATTTAGAAATTTAGAAAATTCAAAGATTGAAAGTCGGGATTAGATAGCTATCCTATTAAGAGAGACAAGAGGAAGGAAGAGGAATGAGAATTGATTATATAGATAGGTTATTAGGGAGGTGTTTTTAGGGGAAGGGTCCCTTTTTTGGGGGGGCGGTATAATAGCTACCTAGAGAGAGGGTGTGCTTTCTTATAAATTATAAGGTTTCATAAATTGGTGGGTTGACATTGTGTTTCAACCAGAAAACTATTATGTAGGCCCATTAAATCAAGTAGAAGGTTCAATTCTATAGAGTCACCCTTCTGTTCTTTTTCATTTATTAGCGTTTGGGTCTAAAGTCTACTGGCTGGTAGAGAGGGATAATTAGGTACCTTAGTGAGTAAGGTACCTTAGGTACCTTAAGTAAGGTGGAGTCCCTAGTGACCTATCTCGTAATATTGAGAAGGGATTCATTCATGTATAATAGAGAGGGGGACATGAGGTTCACAGTTGGTGTAATCTGAACCCTGTTCAAATCAAGTCCCTGCCAATTCATGGATCAAAGCTCTCAGAACTTCAAGACACCACACTCACGCTCGTTTTCAGAGACTAAAAATATACAGTATTCCCCTAATTCCAATGACCAGAAAGCAAGCCTGACAGAAAACCTATTCATACACTACTCGTACACTACTCGTACACAACTTTTGTCTAATATTAAAACTAACGGACCTTGGTATCACTACAGCCCAACGCCTTGCTGATGCTAATCGACCGTTCATTCATGCATACATGGACATCCTAATCCGAGGTTTGCTCCTTGACTGTCGAGGACGGTCATAAGCAAAGCCTATTAGGTCTTCAATTATTAAGTCAAGCATTTAAACTAGAATGCAGCACCGCCCACGCCTTCACCTGCCAACATCCTAACGTGACGCTCGCTCAACTCGCTTCTAAGTCCCATGCTCGCACTATCTCTTTGTAACTTATCCCAAGTCTTCAGGCTCTTCCGGAGTTTCTCCTGCTTGGAATTGTTTTCCGCTCTCAGGATCTCTGCTTCCTCCTCTCGCTTCTTCAGTCGTGCTGCGATCTCGGGTGGAATACCTGAAGCTGTTGGATCAATCCTACCTCCAGGGATGATTTGTGGGAGGTTTGCCATCGCGGGATGAGGACGAGGGCCTGAGGGTGCGCTGACAGATTGGGTTCGGGTGCCGTAGACACTGGATGAGTGTTGAAGAGCTGGCCGGGAGGGGATGCCAGCCCCTGCACGAGGACCAGTAGGAATACCGCTGGCTGGGGCAGTGGGAACTGCGGGGGTCGTTGGCCCGGACGGGATTGATGGGGATGTAGATGGGGCAGGACGGCTGACAGGAGTGCTTCCACTTGGAGATTCTGCAGCTATGCGGCTTTGAGGCGCTGCTCCCCATGAAGAAGAATCCGGGCGGCTTTGTCGATCGCTGCCGAAGGAGCTTCTTCCACCTCTCCCCTTATATGAGCCGCGAACAGGGGGGACGTATCCTCGAGGACCCGCAGGAGGAACGCCGGGGCTGGTGGAAGGGGGTGCAACAGACGAGGATATGGGAGGGGAACGAACAGGCGCGGTGAAGTTTCGGCTGGGACCAGTCGGTGCTCTAAATCCAGCAGGTCCTTTGGGGGGTGACTTTGGAGCCAGATGTCGGACAGGGGAGCGCTCCCGAGGAGTTGATCTCGCGGAATCACGCTCTCTATCCCTATAGGCAATTGGCATTGGAGATCGAGCACGAGGTGGCGAACGAGGTCTCAAATCTCCAATTGCACCTTGGGTCAGTGCTAACCGACTTGGATGGATGTGGGGTGAGGAACGACGAGAGTTATTCCCAGATGTTCTACCAGATGATCGTTCTGAATCGCGAGCTACCGGAGAAGGTGATCGGCGTCTCCAGTTTGCAGAGCTTGGTCCAGTGGGAATACGGTCATCTCGACGGACAGGGCTTCGTGAACGCCCCCGCCAGGACCCTCTTGGACCAGCAGGTGGAGATCTTGATCTACGGGAGAGGCCAGGTGATCTACCACGTGGAATGGTTCGATCACGGTCGTACGGTGACCTGGACCTTCTCCTGTCAATTGTTAGTCTTGTTACTGAACAGCCGATTATGCGACGCATTGAAGCTTGTAACATACCTATCATCTCTTCTCGGAGATCTCATCCTGTCTCTTCGATCGTCATCTCTTCTAGGAGAATATCTTCGGGGCGGACTTCTGGCACGTGGGGGAGACCTGGCTCTTGAGCGCCAGCTTGCAGAATCTCTTGGAGGAGTTCTATCTCTTCTGTATGGCGGTGTTCTTGATCGACGTCGGCCGCCTATAAGTGTCTCAGGATTAGTATTGCTGATTGCAAGACAATTATTACTCTTAGATCAGCAAGGCGTACCTGGATGATAACTGTCACCACCAGGTGGCGATCTGGCTCTATCTCTTCTGGGTGATCGATCTCTATCAGATCTAAACGTGTCGCCCCTCGGTGGAGAGCGAGGTCTAGCATGAGCAGCTGGTCGGTATGATTCCCCTGCCCCAAACTTCGTAACCTCTCCCTCAGGATACTCGATTCTGTTTGGGTAATTGGTTAGTGATAGGTTCAAAGATACTCCTGAAGAGATGTCGAATGTTTCGGAATAAGCAGATGGTTCTAGGTAGCCTCCGCGCAATCTCAATGGGATCTCGTCGTCTCCCAATAGACCTGTTGCTGTCGTTCCAGATTGGCCACATGATTGATCTTCCGTGCTGATCGATGAAGGGTCGTCTCCTTTGACTGGGTTCAGGACACAATCTCTCTCATCTGTCGGCTTCCTGGTAGCAGACGGCACGCAGTCTTCATCGAGGAGGAGAGGCGGAATCGAGCCCATGTCATTATTGTCTTTAAGTGTATTCCCAGATTGGCCTGGGACATTGGCACGGGCAACTGCCTGACCCCCTTTTAGGTTATGTGTATATCCACGAATTGGTAATGAAAACGGTTCATTTCTTGAATTGTCCGAGGCACCAAAGACAGGACCTCTGGTTGATACGCTGCGGCTTTGATATTGTCGGGAGTCACTGTCGTTCGCAACCAATCCTTGAACCCGGGTAGGTGTTGCGCAAGGGATCTGTGATGAATCGTACGCTCCAAGAGATGGTAGAAAGACCTGTATTGGCCCAGTGCTGGAACTTATGATTGATTGCGAGGGACTGGCTTGAGTAGAGCCGCTATGCCCAGAACGCGCGTCGTATCTTTCGAGCTTTCGATGTATTGCTCGGGCTGATGCCGTAAGTTGGTTGAGAGCAGTAAGGTAATGCTGAAACCTCCGATCTATGTCTGCGTCCGATCCTTGTAGGGCTGAGGGTAAAGACGCAACACGATAGCAATTGATCGCATCCTGAATATCCTCCTCTATGAAGAGGCGACGCTGCCTACTCTTTCGAACGAGGAATCGGAGCAGCCTCTTAGCAGAATCGACTGAGGTTCGCAGATTCGTTTCGTCTTGGTCGTCCAAGGGTATCACAAGAGGATGTGCCTCCCTGAATCGTGTGCGCGCCTGAGCAACGGCTTCTTGATGTGCAGCGAGTGCCCGCTGAACGGCGTCCGTCTCCTCCCACTCATACGGTTCATACGGCGCTGGCGGTCCTAGAGGGCTTGGGGACGGTCCAGGCGGTGCAGGTCCAGGGGGTCCCGAGTCTGGAGGAGTATCTGGCCGGTCGTAGTCCTGGGGAGTGGCCATCTGCTGTATCGAAAAGGTGCGACTCCAAGGCAACAAGGGATGAAATAAGAAGAAAATGGTTGACTAACCTTCGACCTCGATCCATCTTGTCGGCTCCCTCAGTTCTCGTCAAAAGCTGTCCAAAGTCTAAATGCGCCGGGAAGGGATCACGCGGCAGAAAACGTTGTGTTGGAAAGGACGTCTGGAAGTTGAGTTCGTGAAATATTTTGGAAGTCGTACCTTGGACGTGAGGATGGCGCTAGCGGCCGCTTCGACGATTAGATAAGCGGTAAGGGGACATCGCGGCTTTTGCGATGTGCAACAAAACTTTTCCTTCCTCTATAGCCCCACCCCCACGACCCGCATTGAGATTCCAAATAGCAGAGCTTACTTCACTACTCGAGGGCTTCCTCTCCCTTTGTATTTCATTTATATCCCAGTGTAGAAGTTGTTGTTGTTTACCTCCTGATTTAGGTGCTACTGCTATCACGTGTCAGGGGGTGAAGACTGGGAGTGGTCTGTACAACTCAGTAAATCTCACCCTAGCCGTCACATTCATCTTATGGAATATAGTACATGTAAGGCCTATAACAGCGTACAACTGCTTCGATTATGAATTCCTGGTATTACATCGACCAAACAGGAGGACAATATGCCTGTGGTCGTCCATCCGGATACCGTATGGTGCTATCTCATTGAACCGGCCTCCTTAAAATCTATAAGATCTCTCCTTTTTCTCTCCTCTCTTCTCCTCATCTCTCTTCTGCCGCTTCCTACTCTCCTGCGCAATCATATCACTCAGGTCCTCTTCGAAAGCCCTAGGAAAGTTAGTAAATGGATTATCCACATTCGGAGGATCACTTACCAGGCGCCCTTCTCCTCTTTCTTCTGGGCCTCGAACCTACGTTTCACTTCCTCCTTGCTAATGCCATCCTCGTTCATCAACGAATCGGGGTCAAGAGCAACATCCACATCCCCTGGCTTCTTCCGCTTCCGGTTTTCATCTTCTTGTCCCAAGACTGGGAGATGGGCATTCTGAGCACTGCGGACATCGTACGCACGTTCGCCACCGAAGAAACCTTCGGCCCGGATTTGTCGTTCGGGAATGACGGTGTACGCAGACCTTGGGTGAGGCGACTCTTCCGTTTCAGTGCCGCGCCGTTGTTTGCGGAGGTCGAAGTCGCCACTAACACTCATATCGCCAGGATATTCAGAAGGCACTGTAGATGCCATTCCACCGGGAGTCTCCATACCACTGGGTGTTTGAAGACCTGTACCGATCTCTTCCTCTTCACCTTCCTCTTCTTCTTCCTCGCTCTCTTCTTCTTCTGATTCTTCCTCTGGTGGTTGCAATTCGCCCCACAACGTCCGTTCAATCGGCTCCCCTGCTTGATTGTTAACTTGCGGTTGCAGAACACCGAAGATATCTCCTCCATAGAGTGGCCGATTGAACTCGTCAACGGGAGGCTTTCCATATCCACCGGGATGGAAACCCCAAGCACCACCAGGCGGGGGTGGAGCATTCAAGCCCGGAATCTTGAGAGACGGATATGAAGGCGGGGGACCAAATCTCTGTTGATTAATCAGCCATGGTGGCGGCGCTCCAGGTGGGATATTCAAAGCCTCTTTCAACTCGTCACTCAACTCGCCAGGACGCAGATGTCGTAGATTTGTCTCGTACTCCTTGCCCTCGTAGTAAACCTCACCATAGCGCGTTAACTCCGGCTTTGTCTGGAATCGGAAAAAGGCTTCATACAACTTTTGATAATCGATATCCAGCTTTCCCATCTTCGGCTGAACTCTTTCTCGTTGTTTCTGCTTCAAAGTAGCTTGATCTTGTTTCTCCAGGACTGCATCGCGCATTTCTGCTATGCCTGTTTCCTGGATGAATTTGGGGAGGGCAAACGGAGGCTTCTCGACACCACGCTTCGAAGATAGGTATTCACGCTTCAGCGACCAATGGCTTGGTACTGGAACGACGTTTCGGTATGACTTGATGTGAACTAGTAATCTGGGGTCCTGGGCCGAGGTATCTGTCCACTCCACCAGCTCTGGCTTCTTGACCAGCGCTTTTAGCTCTGCCACGGATAGCTTGTCTCGCTCTTTTCTCTTTTTCTTGGATAATTTAGGCTCCGCTGATTCCTCCTCCTCATCTGGAATTTCATCGTCGTCGTCGTAGAAAACCTCCCCCTTGTCCCCACCATTTGCTTCTTTCGCAGCCTCGTCCTCTTCCTTGGTAACACCGAATCGCGCCAGAATACCCTGGAACATGGCATAGTTGGGATCGTCTTCGCTGATATCTAATGTCGAAATATCCGGTTCTACGGGGTCGTCTTCCCCGACTCCATCTACTCCATTGACTCCATCGACACCATCGACTTTATCGGCTTTATCGACTTTATCGACATTAGTTGGGACGGGCTCTTGATTGGACCCCTTGATTTCTGAGTCTGGAGTTTGGGTAGCCTATACGATATCAATATACCACTCTATATCAGCTGCCAGGATGAAAATACTGACCTGCGCTTTCTTCTGCTCCTTCTTCTTAGCCCGTCGCATTTGGTTCTTGGTCATCTTTGGCGCCATCTTGACGGCGGAGGGCTGTAAGCCCGTTGATTTGGGGACAATTGTATCAGGTAGCTGCCGAATGTAAGATCCAAAGAAACCGTTGCAGTTTGGTGATGAGACGCGACGTAGTCGAAATCAGCGCGCGGTTGATGGTGCATGAGCTCAAGAATTTGGAGATCTTCAACATCAAAAGCTCCGTCGCGATTCACTAGCGCCGGCGATCTCCGCCAACTTTACGGCCGCCGCGACGACCTCGATCGAAGGAAAAGACGCTGATTCTGAATCCCCTCAATCGTTCGACGCATTATCAGTGATTCAATGCCATCTTTCCCACAAAGTCTCACGGAAGCGATGATATCGCCTCTGGGCGCCACAGTCGTTAACTAGTTACTTTCAATGCCTCACTCAACTCGGGATTCGTCAGCTCCTCGAGCTCCCTTTCTCTTCCCTGGCGAGACAAAAGGGTCCGGCCGGACGTCAATGGAGAAGTTTCCAGACATTGATGCCCTTGATGGGCAATCTGCATACTCAGCAAGCCCGAGTATAGGTGGATATCACGGTAGACAGCCATCTGCCGATCGTTGGCTACCAAGAAAGGACAGTGGGTTCAGGGCGTCCTCTTGGGGAGCGCAGGCCAGCACGGGAGGGCGAGGGCATGGCAGACAGAAGAGTCTGGGAGATGCTTTAAAGACTATAAGGACAAGGAGAGGGAGTGTCAGTGCCAATGTGCACGAGATTTCAGATGCGCTCAAGGCGCCGGTGTCACCGAAGTTGATTGTTCGTAACTCCTTTATTGCAGCTGGATTCATGCTGATAGACCGTAGATACTCTGTTTAGCCTGGTACATGTCAAGTGCCTTGACCAATACGTCCTCAAAATCAATCCTCAATACCTTCCCCAAGCCGGCGACCCTCACCCTCATCCAGTTCGCCTTCGTAGCCTCATTCTGCCTCCTCTTCTCCTGGCTGGCCAGCATCTTCCCCAGTCTCAAAACCCATATCCCCGCTCTTCGCCATGGAATCCGATATCCCTCCCGCGATGTCTTGTTGACGACGTTGCCCCTCGCAGGCTTCTCAATAGGGGGTCACCTCTTATCCGCAACAGCAACGGGCAAGATACCGGTGTCCCTAGTCCATACGATCAAAGGACTCTCACCTCTATTCACAGTGTTCGCCTATCGGGTAGTCTTTGATATCCGATATCCAGTCGCTACATATCTCTCCCTCATACCCCTCACACTGGGCGTCATGCTCGCCTGCTCCGCCGAATTCAAAGGCAACGTCTTCGGGATTATGTATGCTTTCCTTGCTACCATAATCTTCGTAACGCAGAACATATTCTCAAAACGACTATTCAACGAAGCCGCCGCAGCTGAAGCCTCGGGTTCCCCACAGAGCCGGAAGTTAGACAAACTCAACCTCCTCTGCTACTCCTCCGGCCTAGCCTTCATCCTCACATATCCCATCTGGTTCTGTTCCGAAGGTCTCTCCCTCCTCCGAGATTTCTTCCACGACGGCTCGCTCGATCTCGAAACCCACAACACAGCATTCGACCACGGTCGTCTAGCTCTAGAGCTGGTATTCAACGGCACATTTCACTTCGGCCAGAACATCATCGCCTTCGTGCTGCTCTCCATGGTCTCGCCCGTCACCTACTCGGTCGCCTCGCTGATCAAGCGCGTCTTCGTCGTCGTCGTCGCCATCGTCTGGTTCCAGAACCCCACCACCAAGGTCCAGGGCCTAGGGATCGCCCTGACCTTCTTCGGCCTGTACCTATACGATCGCACGAGCGGACGCAGCAAAGCCGACCGCAGGGCCAAGATGATGGACATCAAGGAGGAATCCATGTCGATCCTCCCACTGACGCGACCCAATGGCCCCAGCGGCTCGGGTTACGCGACGCCCGTCCGCTCGCACGTAAACGGATACGCGCTGAACTCAGGCTCAGAAGACAAGCGATCAGACGAGAACGGAGGACGAGGCAGAGGCCGGAGCACGACGGCGTCTTGGCTAGCGCCGGGCACAAAGCAGGAGGAGACGTGGCGACTGACGGAATTGGCCGCTAATGCAAACGGGAATGGGAATGGCAATGGGAATGGGAACGGTACCCAAGCCCATGTATCCTGAACCGCACAGGGGATTCAGGTGAACACATGCACATACACACATATAGAAGGGAGAGCGCAGGGCGTTTTTATTTTATTTTATTTTGGATAAGTTAACTTATACTACGATAGATGATAGATTGGTATTCTGGATCGATATACGATACGATACCTGAATGCCTCATGCCATAGACTAAGTTCTGATTGATACCCGACGACTGACTGAATTATCGTGATTTGTGCTCTATACGTGAAAATCCTGGACTGGCTCATAATCTAGGTACACAACCCCTGATCTACCTTATACTGGAAAATGGACCGATGTTTTGCCGAAAACCCCCTGTAAAAACAAGGGTAAAAACAAGGATGTTTCTCGAATTCTTATTGGCCCGTTACCCGGTTTGCTGCCTGAGGCCCCCACACGCGCTGTACGCGCTCTCTTACCTACCTACCTACCTACCTACCTATATATTTCTACGCGTCCATATCCTCCCTTCTACCTAAACAAGGAACAGGCACCTAAACAGGCACTCGAACAGGCACTCGAACAGGCACTCGAACAGGCACTCGAACAGGCACTCGAACAGGCACTCGAACAGGCACTCGAACAGGCACTCGAACAGACATGCTACAGGTGCTACTACAAGCGGCCATACAGGTAGCCCTACAGGTAAGCAGCCCTACAGGTAAGTGGCTCTATAGGTAAGGCATATAACGGCGTCGAATCCGGGTGTTGTCGAGGCTATATAACGGCACAGAATCCGAGCGTTCTCGAGGCATATAACGGCGTCGAATTAGACCGTTTTTAAGGCATATAACGGCGTTAAATCAGACCGTTTTCAAGGCATATAACGGCGTCAAATCAGAGCGTTTTCGAGGTATATAACAGTACAAAATCAGAGCTTTTTTGAGGTATATAACGGCGTCGAATCCGAGTGTTGTCGAGGCTATATAACAGGCTGAATTCGAGTGTTTTTACTAGCATATAACGG